ATTAAAATATAAATCAAACATTTATATATATATATATATTATATCAAATATTATTTTAATTTAATTCTTTTAATATTTTAGTCCAAATCTTAAAGAAACGCCTTTGGAAAAAGTTTCAAAATATATTTGGATTTCAAATTAGTAAATATATGAATTAAAATTCATTTTCAATGTAGTAAAATAAAAGGTAAAGTAATAAAAAATGAATATTTTAAATGTCAGATAATATACTATGAAACGAAATAAATTAGATTATAACATTTTTAAACATGTTATATTTATATAGACTTTTTTTTTAAGTATTATTTATTAATAGTAATTTTTCAAATTGTGTTACATTGTTTTTTTTTTTTTTTTTCCTTTCAAAATAATAACAAATTAAATTCAAATTTGATAAATTACTCATAAAAAATGGCGGCGGCTACAGTATTGAATTAAAAATTCAGCATTGTACTGAACATCACATCGTGTACTATTAGACAGTACATAATATTACTACAAATAGCACATTGTATATGTTAATATAACACAAATACAACACATGAACAAAACACACATGCTATAGTCTCAACAACACACAATATTACCACAGTCAACACACAATATTACTACAGACAACACATTGTATATGTTAATATAATACAAATACAACACATAAATTAACAGCACATACTATAGTCTCATACAATACACAATATTACCACGGTTAACACACAATATTACTACAGACAACATATTGTATATGTTAATATAATACAAATACATCACATGAATTAGCAGCGCATGCTATAGTCTTATACAACACACACAACAGTTGATTTTAGCACATGACATACTTGTATACAGGACGCTTGTTATTATTAAAAAAATACAATATACTTTTATTATAGATAGTATGTATTGTGTGTAATACTAATATGTGATGTTTGCATATATATGACGTTTGCATATATGAAAAATCAGCACCGTAATCGTTTCCCATAAAAACTATATAAAATAAAGTTTATACCTAATATACATTCTTTATTTATTTTTTAATAATATATTTCATCCGTCGCACTAAAAGTATTTATGTTATCGTAAGTACGAAAATTTTAAAAAATATAATTTGATAAGTAATTAATAAATATATTTAGTAAAAATAATTTTTGTATGGTATAAATAATTATATAATTTATTAAATAAAAAAATATATAAATTATAAAATTTAAAATATATAATTAATTTTTTGAAGAAAAATTATAAAACAGACAAAAAAAAAAAATTATACTCTATCTGTCGGCTTCTAAGGGTCACATCTACCTTTTACTCATTGTATTTAATATTAAAAATATCTTTTTATTTGTATAAACTTTTTTACAAAGTATCCTTCTATTAGTATTATAAAACACCAATTGAAGTATTTTGTAATTTTTTCTTAATTTAAACTATATTTTAATATAACAATTAATATTCAAATATTAATATGAAAAAAAATAAGTAGGAACTTTTAGTACAAGATGTAATATATACTTTAGAAAGTAATTTATAAATTTATTTTAAATAAAAAATTTAAATTTTATATAAGCTAATATAGAAATAAAATGTGAGTATATTCATTAATGACAGATACAGATACTGAAGTCTGAGGGCAATTCCTGTCGGAGAAGGCTTCCGGGGCCCACTTTAACAACGGCCACATGTTTCGTGGTCCCACCTACAAGCTATATCACACCATAATGCGACACGTCAGCACATGCATACTTAATGAAAATTGAAAACAAGCATACGATTTTTTTTTATTATTTATTTATTTGAATAGTCTTTACCTTTATAAAAAAAAAAAAAATTCTATCTTGTCCCTTTTACTGTAAATGCATCTACAAAAATTTAGAAATAATATAATTAATAAATAATTAAAAATATATTAGTAAAATTAATTATAATTTAATGAAAATAATTTAAAATTAAAATTAAGATAGTTAATTAGTATAATTAAAATTAAAAAAAATTAAATTAAAAATTTTAAAATAAGATTAAAATATATAATACTTTTCCAAAAAATAAAAATGACAAAATAAGTAGAAATGTGAAGTAATTTTTTTAAAATAAAATTGTGATTGTTGCATAATGTGATTTTATATTTTTATATGTAATTATAATAATTATAATAAAATACATATTATTTTATTTGATAAGATATTAAATTCAACTTATTATTAAAATGAATAAATAAATAAAACCAAATTAGTTTTAAAAATTCAGTATTCTATAAGCTTAAAAATTTGAAGTTGAAGCAAGCCTAAACCTGACGGGCAGGACAAATTTTAAGAATCGAGAAAACGTACGTGGTTGGTATTACAAGTTCTTATAAATATACTAGAAATTATTACAGAAAGATTATCGTCATGTGCACAAATCTAGAAATATAATTATCAAATTCTTGTTGCTTTTTATATTGTCGATGCAAAATAATACTCCATTTGTCCACGGATAAAGTATAAATTTATTTTAAATAATACTCCATTTGTCCACGGATAAAGTATAAATTTATTTTTGGCATGATATTTAAAAAATAATAGTATTTTAATTATAGTGGGTAATTAAAAGTAGTGTACTGATGTGATGATATGATATAAAGTAAGAGTATTTATGAAAAAAATGAAATATTTAATAAAATATTTACTTTTGTAATTGAACATCCCAAAATAAAAATATGTATAACGGAGGTAGAATATATTTGGTAATATAAAATTGCAATTTGTAATATTTGTGTGGCGTAGCTTTAAAAGTGGACGTTACTATAAATTAGTTTTTTTAAATTATTATTATTATTTTAATTTCTAAATATTTATTGAAATAAATATATTTTTGATTTTTTTGTTCATTAATATATCAATTTTACTCACTATTTTAAAAATAATAATTTGATATGTTATTAATTTAAATATTTTAATTTTAGTTTTTAATTATTTTTTCTTTACAAAATTAATAAATAAAATTATTACTCTATTTGTGACCTAAAAATGACTTCTTTTTTTTTTTTTTGTCATCTAAAAATGTAATTATTTTTATTTTTATTGACAAATCATACTAATTTTTTACTCTAGTAAAAGATTAAAAAAAAAAAAAGTGAACATCACATCAAAATTTGTGTCAAAAAATTGATTCTATAATTTTTTATAATAGAGGTAGTGTATGATTTTCATCCGAAAATTTTATTTATATTTACTATTTAAAGTACTGTTTTCAAATATCTCCATGCAAATATATTTTTTTGGGTAAATTATTGTAAGACAAACTTAAATACCAAATTTAAAAATCATTTGTCTACATAGTTAGATGTAAGTTATTTGTCTTGGTTAAATTATTAGGGTATATATAGGGATGGCAACGGGGCGGGTTCGAGACGGGTTCTGCAGGCCCCGAGACCCGTCCCGCTAGAAAATATTAGGCTTTGAGACCCGCACCGTTTCGCTTCCACCTGGCCCCAGGACTCGCCCCGGAGGGTTTGGGGCTAACCCGGCAAATGCATTTTTTTAAAATATATATAATAATATAAAAAAACAAAAAAAAAAAATCTAAAAACAATCAAATATTGATCTATAAAAATAAAATAAATAATAAATAATATATTTTTATTATATAAATATACATATATTATGTATAATAATTTTAAAAAATTATTTGGAGCAGACGACTAATTAAATTTTATATTTAAGTAAATAAATAATATATTTTTATTATATAAACGTACATATATATTAGTTATAATAATTTTAAAAAATATCCGAGTTCGGGTTCGGGTCCGGGTCCGGGTTGGGGCGGATTTTTAGTAAAACTGGTAACCCGCCCCGAACCCGGCCGGGTTTAAAATTTTAAATTCACAACCCACTCCAAAACATATTATTTAGACCCAAACCCGCCCAATTAAGAGCGGGTCCGGGGCTAACCCGTCCCATTTGACATCCCCTAGGTATAAAACAAAAGAGTTTTTTTTAGATAAAAGTATGATACTACCTCCCTTCTATTGAAAATTTACTATTTTTTATTTTTGTTCGTTTCAAAACAAGGTTATCATTTTCTAATTTAGTAATTGTATTATATACCTAACATAATAAATATCATTTCAATTTACAATATATTACACAAATGTCATTACTTTTATATTACACCATACTAATAGGAGTATTTTTGTCTTTTTTTACTACAATTTAATATAGTACTAATATTAAAAAATCTACGTGCAAAAAAGTAAACGCCACCCTTCCAACGAGACAAGAGAGTATTTAATATGGTAATATATATTTTTTGTTGATAAGTATTATAAAAAGAGAAATTTTTATGAAATAATTTTTAAAGGATATTATATTGGGTTAACAATGTATATAATAAGTATATCTATTAATTTTTTAAAGAAACAATAATTATGAACAAAATCTGAATTAAGATTAATTGATAAGAATCAAAATTATCATTCTGAAAATAAAATGATTAAAATTGTCACAAATATGAATAAAAATGAACAAAAATTTATTTTACCTTATATATGTGTTATACAAATTTTATAATTCTTTATAAAAATAAATCAATTTATTTCAAAAAATATTTCGTCAAATTTACTATTTAAATTAAAAATAATCTAAATCCAATTAAGACTATTGAATTTGGTATCATTGCTTTAAATGCTCATTTATGAATATATATAATATATTTCTACTTTACAGTTACACCTAAATTACATGCTATACTATTCAATTTCTATATATGTAAATATAATCAATATTTATTTAATTCAAAATAAAATATATATATATATATTCACATACAAGTAAAGCGAATATTATTAAAGTATGCTGTGGTTTAATAATTTACTTAAAATAATATTAAAATAAATATTTTTCTAAGATCACAAGGATTGCGTATCTCTTTATTTTTATTTTATTTTATTTATTAAATAATAGTAATATTATATTGTAAAGAATTAAATAGAGCTGTATGTATAAGCCCTCCCTCGGCTACGCGTTTATTACAAAGAAAGAAGCTTTTTTTCGACCTCGTCTTCTTCTTCTCTCTCTCTTTCTCTATCTTTCCCATTTCGGAAAAATCGATCAGGAAATCAATTGAAGCCGAGAATTATGGAGGCAGCGGCGGTCGTGCAGGTGGAGGAGCTGACCTCCGGCGCAAGCGGCCGTATAATACCGGTATTCAAAAACCTCCGTCACTCGATCCTCTCGTACGACACCTTTCGCAGATCTCTCCGCTTGATATATTCCTTTTTCGTCTGGATCATACTGCTGCTTCCTCGCCGCCGTCGATTATCCGCCACCGCGTCGCCGCCTTCGTCTCCGAGAACGTCTTCGTCAGCGTCGTCTTTGTCTTCGGTCAAGCGACGGAAATTCGGCATGCGGAGGGATGAGGAAGATACGATGAAGCGCAGGGCTTTAGCCGAGGCGATAGAAATGGTTGCTGAGGGTAGCGGCGGCTGCAAATGGACGACGTCGTTGTTTTTTGGCGTTCGACGGAATGCTCTATTTTGCCGGTCGTGGTTCCCGATTTCTGGTGAATTGAGGTGCGTTGGATTGATATTCAGTTCACTTTGATGCTTGCTTAACGGCTTTGTGATTAGGTCATGTAAATTTTTGTTTTATACAGCTGGATTTAGGGATAATGATAGCTATTCGGATTGATTTCCTTTTTGATTATATATTACTGTTTATGCCTCCAAATATGGATGCATGTCTGGGCCATTGCGCGTATAATATTCATTGCCGATTACCTTTTGCTGTAATTTTTTACATTATCTAAGAAACACAATCATTTGCTTAAGCTACTGGATCATTTTGTGTTTCAAGTTGTGAAAACTGATAGGGCAAAACTTAGCACTGTGGTATGTTTTTCTGGAATGCCTTGTTTGTTTATTTGCTTATTTTTTACTGGGGGCTTGAATTTGATATTAGATTATAAATGAATGTGTCTGAATAGATTCAATGATTGAGTAATAATTACACACGAAACATGTAGGTCGGAAATTGCTTTTGGATTTGTTGTTTGTATTATATAGTGAGTGGATGTTCTGGAAATATTGCAAACATGAGTTGACCAATTGATTTACTGAAATTTTACTATTGAAATGTTATAGCATAATTGGTTAAATTTGCAATGTTGCTCAACTATTTGAGACAATAATATGTTTATGACTTTGTGTTTTTACCATCAGATGAAATGGAAGATGTTGGATTAGTTCAGTGAAAATTGCTACACCAGAATTTCGACTGTGTTATGTTTAGGGAATTGAAAATCAATTATGCCAAGCATGAGACAGTTTTGGAGATGTTCATTTGGTTTTGATTTCTTCTTATTTTTGCATTAATAGTTATTTTGAGATTTACTTGCTTTACTACCTCTGCCTTATCATACATTCCTTCACCATTCTTGCAAAGGAATAACGAAACATCAGAAAATTTCATGGTTATGGTCTTGAAGGTATAGATGTCATTTAATGGTTTATCCTTTGTGTCTATATCTCAGAATTTTTTTTGTTCGGAATGTTTGTCAATTTACTGCCTGGTATTTTCTGGTTTATGTTCTCACAATGAGACTTCTATTTCAGGGGAATTCTCATTATCATACATGGGCTTAATGAGCACAGGTTCTGAATTAACACTTCCTTTTGTGTTTCCCATCAAAGCAGAGATTTTGTTCCTTGATCCATGGTTGTGTAACTAATTTCATATTGCAACGATGTTTTGCTTTCAGTGGACGCTACCTTCAATTTGCTAAACAACTAAACAGCTGCAAGTTTGGGGTTTACGCAATGGACTGGATAGGTAAGAGTTCTATTGGTCTTATGGAATTTCAGTCATTAGAAATTGTGCTATTTGAAAGTGTCGTAAAATGAAAAGTCTGAGTTATTATTATTCTAATGAGTAGTGTTGTGCATTCTCTGGCATTGTATGGGGGAACTGATTCTCTTAAGTTATTGTAAAATCACTTGTTTAGATTAATTGTTTGTAAAACGGATTTCAAATAAACAGGATAAAGAATTGATTTGGAATTCATCAATAATAAAATCATTTCAAAAATATTTCATCCCATCCAAACAGGTCAGATGAGTTTGAATTGTGTTTTCGAAATCTGCTAGTCATTTTTTTCTTATCTCCTTTCATTTCAACTCTTCAACAATTCAGTTTGATATTTTTCATTTCAGAAAGATCACTCTTTTTAGAATTTTAAAAACCAAATCCCGCCAATCGTATTGCAACAGTATCGATTAATTTATTTTATCCTCTGGCAGGTCACGGCGGAAGTGATGGGCTGCATGGATATGTACCATCACTAGATCATGTTGTTGCAGACACCGTAAGTTCAGCTCATTACACTTTAAATAATATATTTCGACGTATATCCAAGGTCTTTTACATCTTTTTCTTACATAGGGCGCATTTTTGAAGAAAGTCAAGTCAGAAAACCCAGGGGTGCCATGCTTCCTCTTCGGCCACTCGACTGGCGGGGCGGTGGTCCTGAAGGTATGTCTTTTGCCCATATCCCTTTTCATCTCCGGTTACACATTTTGCACCATACCTAATTACCTTACCAAAAATCCAATCCGATAATGTCAGGCTGCTTCGTATCCTCACATCGAAGAGATGCTGGAAGGAGTAATCTTAACTTCACCTGCTTTGCGCGTCAAGCCAGCTCATCCTATCGTCGGCGTAAGTCCCGACCCTCGAATTTATTCAATGTCTTATAGCACTCATGCAGTATCCCGTTTGTTTATATTTTAACTCTGTAATGTAGGCTGTGGCGCCGATATTCTCGATGGTGGCGCCAAGATTGCAATTCAAAGGCGCAAACAAACGGGGAATTCCGGTTTCCCGAGACCCCGCAGCTCTCCTGGCGAAATACTCGGACCCGTTGGTCTACACGGGGCCTATTAGAGTTCGAACGGGGCACGAGATCCTCCGCATCTCGTCGTATTTGACGCGTAATTTTCACTCCGTCACCGTCCCGTTCTTGGTCCTCCACGGAACGGCTGATCGCGTGACGGACCCTCTGGCTTCTCAGGACTTGTACAACATGGCGCCGTCGAAATTTAAGGATATTAAGCTCTACGACGGGTTTCTGCACGACCTTCTGTTCGAACCCGAGCACGAAGAAATCGGGCTGGACATTATTGGGTGGATGGAGAAAAGGTTAGGTGAAAATGTGGAGGAATGTTGGTAAGTAATGAGGTATGAATTAATGAATTTGGGAATAGGTTAGGGTTGGGAAGATGGTATTATTATGGGAAACTTTGTTTGGAGATTTCGATTTAAATGTTTGGTAAGTAGGTGTGACTTTATATCATATTTGTTGTGTATATGTTTATATATATATATATATATAGATATGTGTGTGTGTGTATTAATTTATTTGTTTTGTTAGAATTTCATAATTTGAATGAATTATGTGGTTTACGATACATTGTATAGTTTATTAGTATATGTATTTTAACAGATTTTATTTATTTTTTTTCTTACTTTTTTCTAGGGTGTTTTAATGTTTGTTGATAGAAAATACTGTACTGTATAATATAATTATTGGTTAACGATATAATTAAAGTTGATTTTTGGACTTCGTGTTTTTAGAAAATTTTAGGGGATATTCTATTAGAAAAAAAATATTCAATGCTATATTTGAAAAATACTCCATATAATAATAATAATAAAATATAAAATAGCAGAATCTCACAGTTCTCATTAAAAACTCATTAACAAATAAAGTCGAAAGCAAAAGCAAGAACGAAAGAAATCAATCAAAAAGAGGAGGAAGAAGAGGAGAAGGCCTTCTGGAACTTGGCAGCCATGCCTTGCAGACCCGCGTCAATATACCCCACCAAATCTCCATACCTCAAACCCTCCACCGGATCCGCCGCGAACGACCACACAATCCGGCAGCCGCCGCCGCCGTCGCCGGCGGCGGGCTCAACTCCGATGGTGGAGCGGTAGGACTTAAACCCCATATTACTCTCCAACAACTCGTAGCTCAAACATCTGTTCTCGGAATCAACCGACACCAGCCTTTCACGGCACCACTTCACATCGCCGCCGCCGCCGCCGGCGCAGTAGCGGAGGCCTTCATCGAGCTTGTGACACGTGTCGACGGTGGGGAGCCACTTGTGGATGGCGAAGAAATCCTCAATCAGCGGCCAAACCTCCGCCGCCGTCGGCCCCCGCACCTCCGCCGTGGCTTTGCCTTCCCATTTCTCTTTCTCCGCCGCCATTCGCAACCGCAGCCGCCGATCCGGAGAGTAGCTTTTGGGTTATATGGAAAAGATAATAATAATAAAATGTGGAGTAATAATGATGGATCATTAATGGAGTAATAGTTGGGACAAGAGCGAGCAGAGCACAGACAGGTATGATGCGGAACAGGCAGGATCTTCGATCCGGGACTTTGATCCGGTACCAGATTGCCATACATATTAAAAATTAATTTTATATTTAAAATATCACATTTAATACTTATTTATATTTTATTTTATTATATAATTATTACTCTTTCCGTCTCATAAATATAGTTTTAATTAAGTATTAATATTATATTGATAGTTGGTAAAAAGTATGAATAAAAAACTTTTTTGCCCTTGTGAATATATTAGTGTAAAAAAGTAGTGACAATTGTGTAATAAAAATAAAAAAGTAAGAATAATTTTACGATAATACAATTATTTATGAAAATAAAACTATTATTTTAGAACGGATAAAAATGATAAATAAAAATATTATATTGAAACGAAGAAATATAATTTAAGATGTATTTATTTAGAAATTAAATTTTAAATATATTATTCTTCTCATTTTTCTTTCCAAAAAATCAAATCATATTCAATTTTTTATTACTCAAATTCCAATTTAAAAGTGAATTGAGCTCCATTAATACAACAAATGCTCCTTGAAACGAACACACTAGTAAACTATTGCGTCGTGGGCCCTACTCCACCCTACCCCACCTCACCTCACTCAACAGTAGCAGCAGTCCCAAGTCCAACTACCAATAATTTAATTATTAATGTTGTTGGGTATTTATTCCCTTTAACATCAATGAATCGAATTCTACGTCCAACTAAATGATTCTCATCCAACTAAATATTTCTCATCAAGAATATAAATGAGTTAGTAATAATTAACTAAAATAAAAACTAAGAAAAAAACTGAATATTTGTAATTATTAGTAGGCTCATATTACAGTTTATTCTGCTCCAACTTTAAACTTTTTGCCGAGACAACACCATAAAATAAGAGAATTTGTAGGCACTCAAAAACCCGTTATCGATCACAACTAATGGAACAAAAAAGAAACACAAAATTGGAGGACAGAACTTCGGCGACCACCAAGCGTCGCACGAAGGAAGAATAAAGAATCATCAAGTTCTATATATTTATATATCTCTTCATCTCGGTTCTCATATCTCACAAATACACCGAACAATCTTATATTTATAAATGTGAGGGAATTGGATAAACAACTCAAATAAAAAAGAAGTCGGAACCTACCTGGTGCGAAGGCAATGGAATAGGGATAAACCAAGTTTGAAAACAAACAGAAGATGAAAATAGTTCATCATCTTTATCCCGTCAATATCGGAACAGAAATAGAGAAAAGGGGAAGAATTGGTCGGAACGATTCTTAAAGAGATTTGATAGACAAATCTCATTTAATATAGTTAGGAGTCAATGGGTCAGACTCGGGTCGGGTTGATTGGATCTTGGGTTGGGTTGATTCAAACACAAACCCAACAATCTCCCCCTTGTCTTTTATCGACCATCATTGTTGCTTTGGAGGGCATAACAAAAGTAGAGAACATGCTTATATTATCGTCTTTATATTGCAACTTACCACTTAGTTATTGCACACAAATTGTATAGAAAACACATAGCAAACACATATGCAAACACAATAAGAAATACCAAGTTGTAGCACATCCACTATTACAAAAGTTGACATATAACCAAACAATTTAACTTTAGCACAATTAATACCAACACAAGTATGCGATATAGAGTTAAAAATCGAAAATAAATTTATCAAGGGCAATATCAAGTAACCATTCATTTTCCCACATTTGATCAATAGTAAAAATTATCTCTTAGCATAAACACGTTACCTACGACCTCATTCTCTATAGTAATATTTGTTTTTATCATGTTGTTGATTTCTAAAATTTTCTTTAGGATGTGGACAATAACTTATATAACAATTCTTATTCCCACAATTATAGAACTTTCTATTCTTACCTTTCCACATGTCATTATTCTTTTGATTGTCAAAATTTTTCGTGACTTACCCATAGCAAACAAGACCTTATCAACCGCTTGTTTTTTTTTTTTTTTGCCATTAACTTGCAAGTCTAATTATTTAATCTTTAATCCATACATAATTATTAAAAGAGTTATACTATCTCTACTATATTTAATAGCAGATTTGACATAAAAAATAAAAATAGAAAAATTCATGAATCACATTCCCAAGCACAATAGGTGTATGTATATTCATCAATATTCTTATCTCCTATTTGTTTAAGTATTTTGAACAAGTTTAGTAAAAATATCAAGATTTTCATCTATTGATTTAGTTAAATTAAGTTTAAATCTGAAGAACTTTTCAAGCATAACGAATTTATTCGGCAAATATTTTTTCATTTAGATTTCTTCTAATTTTTTCCAAAGTTCTTTTGCAAAATTATGTTTTTCTACTTTTCTAATCACGGAGTTAGATAAGTTCAATATTATCAACGAATATGCATGTTCATCTAACTCAACCTTTCTATCTTCAATCAATAGACGATTAACATCACCATCAATAGTTTTAGAAACTTTTTGTATTACTATGATATTTTTCATCTTTTGTTGCCGAATTGAAAATTCAATTTATTTTTATTTTTGTCAAAATGTGCAATGGATATAATTGTCATAACGCCAAAGTAGCAACACAAAAGCCACACAATTACTATGCAAGAATGTTACACAATTCACTAACTATCAGTGATCAGTTACTAACTCAGTTACTAACTCGCTCTTTGAGCACCCATGGTAGCAGTATCAACCAATCAAAATTCACAAATTTAATCTCAACTTACCCTATAACTAATTAACAAATAAAAAGTAAGGATTATTGTTCATTACCAAATTCAGGGCACAATTTAATATTCTGATTCTCAAACTCATCAACCATTCAAGCTTGGCTCTGATACCACTGTTGAAAATTTATTACCCCTAAGATCAATGACTCGGGTTGTTCTTACTAGGTTAGTAACAATTAATCAAAATAATAACTAAAAGGAAAGTAAGACAACAGTGCTATAATTTAAACTGAAATAATTCGGTAAGCTCAAATCACAACCTACTCCGCTCCAATTATAAGCTTTCCAATGAAGCAACACAACAAAGTGGGAGGATTTGTAGGCATCCAAGAACCCGTTATCGATTCAAATCGATGGAACAAAAAGAACACAGAATTGGAGGGTAAAACTTCGGCGACAACCAAGCGTCGCGGGAAGAAAGAACAAAGAATCATCAAGTTCTATATATCTCTCCCTCGCGGTTCTCATCTCTCTCAAGTACACCGAATAACCCTATATTTATAAAGGTGAGAGAATTGGACAAACAATTCCAATAAAAGGTAAGCCAAAACCTACCTATTGTGAATGCGGTGGAAAAGGAATAAACTAAGTTTGAATTAGAGCCGAAGAAGAGAAGAGCTCACCATCTTTATCCCGTCGACATTAGAACCGAAGTAGAGAAAGAAGGAGAAGTGGATCGGAACGATTCTAGAAAGGATTTGAGAGACAAATCTCATGTATTCACGTTAGGAGTCAATAGGTCGAACTTGGGTCGGTTCGTGTCTTAGGCTGGGTCGATCCGAAACACAAACCCTTTTGCCACCAAAAGGTGCAACAAACACAGTTGTCATAATGCCCATTACCATTCAAGTCTGGCTTTGATAGACATTGTTGAAAATTGGACCTAATCGATACTAGTATATATTGTTCGATTTGGGCTAAGTTTGCACGAATTTATTTTTGAATTTCTTCTAAAATGTCTCGTACTAATAGAGGTTATGTAAAATTATAAGGTGTAAATTTTTCTGTACATCTTCTAATGTAAAATTTGAATTTGTACCCCTAACAAATATAGACTGATAGACTCGCCCATATATATATATATATATTGAAGTAGAAGAAAAAAATCAATGTTTATTTATCAAAATTTTAAAAGCATTATATAAATAAAGTCATAAATTCAAAATATTTATCAAATATTATTTTGATTTTAATTTTCTAATTCTCAAACTCTGGAATCAAATCCAATTATTCTCATCTATACCCAACCCAACCCAACCCAACCTTATTTATTATCCATAATCGAAAACTGCCATGTATTTGGACATAGAAAATTCAGTAAGCACCATATTAAATAATTTTAAATAAGCCCAAATCAGCCCCAAACTAAGATATCCAATCGAGGCCCAAAACCAGGCCCATTCATATATCGGATCCGGATTTCGCCCAAATTCCAGCGGGCTAACCCAGCCCAACAACTGCACTTCCTTTCCATAAAATTATCATTTCAACTACACGAAAATCAAAATCTGACTTACAATATCCAAACCCTAATTACAATCACTAGAAATGGCAACTGCATAATCTGCATTTATCAAGAAATTGAAGTTCCGGCGACAATGGCGGCCTCCATGTTTTTTACCATAGCCTCCAACCCGACCCGATACTTGGCCGCCAGATCCGCCAGCTCCAACCCCGCCACCGGATCGACGGTGATGCTCCACTCCACCACCGCCGCCGCCCCGCCGGCGGCGCCGTCCGTCACTCTGACCGTCGAAACGTAGGAGGTGAAGCCGATGTTGGAATCCACTATTTCGTAGCTCAGCGTCATCCGGCGGCGGTCCACCCACCGGAGCCGCTCCTTAGACCACGCCGCCGTCGCTGTCGCCGTCGCCTTCGCCGTCGCCGGCGATGATTCCGATTGGGGTTTGATTCCCTTGAATCCAGCGCAGTAGCGGATGCAGCCGGGCTCGCCGTTGGCACCGGCGACGCCGCGGCAGATTTGGAGGCCGGGGAACCATTTGTGGAGGCCGAAGAAATCCTCGAAAAGAGGCCATAGTTGCTCCGCCGTGGCCTTCTCCGCCGCTGCCCGCACCGTCGCCTCCCACTTCTGTTGCTCCGCTGATGTCGTCGTCTCCATGCCTGTTAACTAATGAATGCCTAATCTCTTTTTTACTTACTTATATATTAGGGTGTCAACCCGGCCCGCCCACTTTAATTTTTTTTTTTAAATTTTAAATTAATCGTCTCCAAAATCAAATACTATTGGTGTGTTTGTACGGGGTTTGGATTTTGAGTTGAGATTTGAATAGTAAAAGTTTTGAATTTGAATAAATATATGATGTGATATAAATAGGTGATGATGTGATGTTTTGAATGTAAAATTGATTTTTAGTATAATATAAAAAATGAAAAATAGGTGTTTGATTTGATGTTTTTGGGGGAAAAATTTTGAATGAATAGTAGGATTTTGTTAAAAACCTACAAACGAACACACCATATTACCTCTCGTTTAAGTTTCATTTATTTTTTAATATTGATTTTAAAATATTAATTATTATATCAAAATATAATACTAATAATATTTGTAAAAAAAAAATTATACAAATATAAAAATATTTTTACTATAAAATACAAAAGATAAATATAATTTTTATTAGTTAATGACAAAACCCTAAACTCTTATTAATTAATACACGCATAAATATATTAATTTTTAAATATAACAAAATTCGCATAAATATATTAATTTTAAATATAACAAAATTTTCGAATCTATTTTTTAAAACTCAAACATGAATTTTTAATGACGGGTTTGGGTTGGATTTTCGGACCGCATCTAATTGCCAACTCTGTTATATCTCATACTATATATTAATAAATATATATATTATTTTATTTGTATTATATAAAATTTTATTTATATTATATTAAAATATAATATTAAAAGTATTTAAAATAATAAAATAATATTTTTAATTATTAATAACTTATTAATATTGTATAATTATTAAAGGAGTATTCAGATTCGAGATGTAGAAAGTATAATTCAATTAATTTGAGATAACAATAATAATAATAAATCCCTGAAATTATTAAATTAAATAATTTTTTATATTATATTAAAAATAAGTTTATATTAAAATTAATATTTTAACCATTATTGCAATTCAATTTTATTATTTAAAATTACAAATTCATCTCTAAAATCCACAAACTAATAATAATAATAACTAAATTCATTGTTTAAATATATTAGATTAGCAATTTTTTTTAAAAAAAAAAAACTAATAATAATAACTAATGATTTTTAAAATTTTGTATCAATTTATATAAATATTTATTTTACATATTTATTTTTTGAAACCCAAAGATAACATTTTTAAAATATTTTAAAAGTTCATGGGTTGGCCCCGCTATGGGATGCAATTGAACTGCTAAATTTATTCTATTTTGTTTTTAAGTAAAAAATTATTACTTTTTTTAACTTTTTTTTTTTAAACCCAAAAAATTTAAAATTTTCTTATATTTAACTATATGACAAAACACCAAATAGGCGAAAATGATGGATGAAGTAAACGAGAATTTCAGTTAAGTGAGAATATGTAATAAAAATATTACGAAATTAAGTGAGAATATGTAATAAAAATATTACCGTATTTGGTTAGTGGTTTTTTTTAATAACAATTTAGATATAATTCTTATGAGATTGGGATAATACAAATTTTTTTAAAAAATAAAAATTTAAAAAATTATAAAAAAAAAAAAACAAAACAAAAACAAAAACAAAAAACATTGGGAATTCTCAATGTTCATTCTCTATTTGAATGCATAATGCATAAAATTAAAATTAGAGAAATAAAATTGAAACAAACAAGAAAAATAAGGATATTTTTGTACCAAACACACATAAAGGGGTGTGTTTGTGTTTGGGAATTGAGATCTTTCATCTGTATCCTCGGGCTGTTAATCTACTAAACTAAAACATCGTATTCAATCAATTTATTTTATTTGAAACATTATATCTAATAAAATATATTTATTTTTTTATTATTTTAAAAAAAATAAAATTAAATAAAACCCAAAACACAGCAAACCAACTCTAAGTTGACGTAACTAACCTGAATTTGTCGTACAAGAGCAGAGAAGTGAACTTGCATCTTTCAGTTTCATTATAGTAACAACAGGTGATATTCACCTGCAATAGAAACAAATAGTAAATCTTCCCTTGGTATCAAACTTGCTGCCTACATGGCAAACTTAAAAATACATACATATATATATATATCTAATATATATTACCCGATTCCGAACCAAATTCCGAACCAAATTACGAACCAAATTAGCAAGGTCGGGTATGCATGTGCATCTGTGTGCCCCCAAGCTCGGGTGATTGGAATAATTTGCCATCCAGTGACAGTATAAGAATAACAACGAACCAAGACAACAATGTCTAGTTCTCGAGGACACATGAAGAACTGTGTATCGTACATAATGAAGAAAGGTTAATCCCCACAACTGAATTGCCAAAACAAAACCTTGCCTACACTTTTGCTTTACTACCTAAATGAAAGTTGATTTTCATACCTGAAATAATGTCGAATATGGCCGTACTGCCGAGACTAATCAAATCTACAAGAAAAATGCCGCTAGGATAAATCCAGTATCAATGTCTGCAGCAAAATAGAAATCTAGTAATGGTTATAGAATAATAAAAATCTTGGTAGATAACAATGCATAATTGACAGCAATAAAAGATTCACTTATTAATTGAATTTGCTGATACATCATTAGCGAAAAGTCGAGGCAGGGCTTGCTAGCTTAGCAGAAACAGCATCTCCCTATACACCAGATGAACAGAGACAAGGCATCATGCATTACAAGACATAGAGATAGTTAAGAGAAAACATCGCACAAATAATCTGTAGAAAGCAAAATTTTAGTTAGTAATAGCTAATTTATACAAGAGACTACATTCTACACCACAAATCCACACTTCAGAAGAGCTAAACAGCGGAAGCAAAAGATTATATGTAGAATAATGTAAAATAAATTCATGAACAGCACTGAATAAAAAACTGCTAACGTTCAGCCCAAACTCCTGTTGCAAATCAGATACAAACTTCATAAACAAAACCCAAATCATGTGCAAGGATAAACAAATAAAATGAAGAATATGATCCATGAAATCCAGAATTCATTGTAAAACCTAACTGAATATGTCACAATATCATCACCAATTGAGATGCTCTCTTCATGTAGTCATCTTTTGATGCTATACAAACTTTTAAGTAGTGAGTAATACACCCACTAAAACGGCAAAATAAATTTGATGCAATTGCACTACAGTGCACAGAACACAACTTACAACTCTTAAGAAGATCGAATAAGTAAGCCCATGTCAATGTCTCAAAAGGCACAATGAGTCAGCTTGGAAGAAGACGAAATGTGATATTGGGTTCTGAAGAGAAAATTTGCTACTCATTGTCAATACCCAATAAACTTCCCAAAAAAATCTGTCAATGTTTCGATCCTCAAGATACAGTTCTTCCATAGCACACAGACGCAATATAAAGATTTTTGGCCCATTTATCCTGCAAGGAACATTAACTTTAAGAAACAGAACAAAGCACAAGAAACCAACAATATATAGTATAATTAAAAATTAACCTTGACATGTGCACTCGGAAAAGCAGAAGTCCGAAGAGTCTCCTGTGTTTCATCTGAAAGTTTCCTTCTGGGAATGCTAAGAACAAGGGCAGTTTGATCACCTGTGGCTGCAGTTGCTGTTATGCGATATCCAGCATCCCACCGTCTATGAACTCCTTCGCTGGGATAAAGAAAGTCCAGCTCCACAACCTAAATACATACAAGAACACAATCATTTTGTTTCCTAACAGTTTGGGTCATCGGGAAGTTTACGAGAAAAGGTGGAAATCCAAACACGAAGAGGAGTGAAGCATACTTGGTGAGAAAACCCAGCCCCCCGAGACATAATGATTGTCCACTTATTTCCAGCAGTAGCCATGGCAGTCACGTAGAACCCCTCCTTCCACTTTTTGCTGATCCACTTAAATGGAAAAGACTCGCTGACTTTGTAAGATTGCTGCAGATACTGGACACCTGCAATATTGTTTTAAGTAAGCTTAATCGGCTGAATAACCACCATTAGAACAACATATTCCTGAACTGTGAAGCTGACCTTTAGACATGACTACTAATGAACACCCATTATTGGCCCCTGCAACTGCAGTAATGTAGTAGTTCTTCCCCCACTGCTCCATAATCCACTCCTGAAATTAATTCAATACTAACTACTCAATTCAATGTCCTGCCGACACATCTTAAAGAAACCAAACAATTGGCAAGCAGTGGCTCATCAAACTTAGCTTCCATAACTAACAAATATATGTGCAGTTTCAAAGAAGTACACAGGGCCACAAATTATTAGACCTTGCGAAGAAAAGAAGGTGATAACTCGTAAACTTGTGCAGAAAAGCCAGTCCCCGCATCCATAATTAAGGCCCAAAGGTTCGAACAAGATGCCACAGCACTGATAAATAATCCATCCTCAGTTCCTTTAACAATGTGCTGTGGAAGCCTCACATCCGTAACATTGTAATGATATCTAACAAAGCAAAAGGCAGGCAATCAATTCTAGTATATAGATATACACAAACAAAAAATCTAGGTGAACTTGAAGAGAAATAGTGGAACCTTTGCTTCATAGGTTTTCGAGCATTATACACACTGACCCATTGGTTTGCAGGCATCCCCATGCGAACCTTTTTCTTTGGCTGCTCATCATCTTCATTATCCACCATAAGCCGACCTCTCTTTTGTCCCACGTGATATATAAGCTTCAAATTGCATAACAGAGAAACAAAAAATATATAATTTCCTACAAAAACTCATGATAGAAAACCAACCAAACAACAGGGCAGCAGAACCTGGAAATTACCTTCTGTGCACCTTCAGTGTTCAGTGGCCTGATATCGGGATTTGGACCAACTACTCCATCAAAAAGGGATATATATTTTGCATAATTTGGCTCCTCGTCAAACTTCAAGTTAACTACATACTCAACAAACTGTCTGAAAGGGGCAGGCCAGAAGCAACAAAGTGCTTCTGGAGAAGAAGCCATCTTCTTTTTGCACACAAGGAAGCTTTTATTCTCGCCCTAAATAATAAAGGTTGCAAGCATCAAGAATGATTCATTAAGCTCAAACATAAGAAAGGCAGCTAGATGCCAACCTGATAACCTTGCCAAGGAAGCCGACCTCGGAGAAGAAAAATTAGTGTATATGCAAGGGACTCTAAATCATCCCTACGGCTACCAGTTCGTCCAAGATGTGCATGAACACTAGCGTAACGAACTGTTCCTCTGCAATATCATCATTTTCATGATATATGAATTATAAGTTGTTAAACGGTAAAAAATCACACGGAGAAGGAAGAAATTATTAATCTTCACCTGAACACATCTGGCCGTTGATCATATTCAACATGACCACCAGTTGAAAGATCACGCCATCGAGTGGCTGCAACAAAAAAATTGCTCATATATTTTCAATTATTTGGAATAGTTAGCAAAGTTTTCTTACAAATTCATACAGTAAAAATATTGTTACCTAATCCCAGATCAACCAGAAAAAGTCTCTTCTCATCAGGTGTTCCTGGTGGACCAAGCAAAAAGTTTTCCGGCTTCACATCTCCATGCACATATCTACAGATTTTACGGCATCTTGAAGTAAGGCACCCAAGACAAGCTTTTAAGCATAAATGTAGAGTACATCAATTAAGCAGCAACTGCTGAATCCAAAACTTCCCCCATGTCCAAATATGAAAGGGAAAAACAATGAATTTCCAGTGATAAAGACAGAGATCATAGATGTTGCTTTCTTTTGCAGTGCATACAGGAGATTCATCCATTCATCACACATGATCATGGTATTCTAATACTTCAAAATCTCCTGCATATCTCTATATGTATCCATTAATGTCTGTAAAATTTATTAACCCATGGCTTTATAAATTACACCATATTTAAAATCTATTAATGAAGTTTTAATGAATTCAGACTCTGTGAACAGGAATATCAACTAGTCTGATACCTCTATATTTATCAAGATAGCATATCATTGTAGCTGTAGCACAGTTTTACTCACAGTAACAGCAGCACCAATTCCATGAATACATTGCATAGTCTAGCTCACATCTTTCGTTGATATGACCAAGTTCCGTGCATAATATTAGTGCTAAATCAACTACCATCAATCCTGTATGCTGAAATTAACTTATTATTGAGGAGGAACTCTGAAAGAATTACCCTCTAGAGTGCAACTTCTCTAAAATGGAAATGGCTTCAATAGCAATGCATGCCACCATTTCAATGGTCATTCTGTAAAGGGGTGATTGGGTATTAGATTGTTACGAGAAGATATCATACCAGAAAAACCAGAGTAAAATATGAGTAATATTTATCGGAAACATGAAACTAACAAGTGTGCATTGTTGTTCCAGACATCCCACAGACTAGGGCCAAGCATATCCATGACCTGAAAGATTGTAAAGTTAGACACATCCTCAAATAGAAGAGTGAAAGTGTGCTTGTGTAAAGACAGAAATGCTGTTACAAGATCATTTACCATAATATAGTAGTCATTCTGACGACCTTTGAAATGAACACGCGGTATGCCATGACTGCCCCCAAGTGTACTAGGAATGGAAGAATATACTCAGAATTTATGGATCTCTTCTTGACAACTTTAGATAGAAACATGTAGCAGATAAAAGAAAGCACACTACTCACGTATAGACTTGCCATTCATATGGTGGTCCATTACTACAACCCTTGCTGCTGGAGTGCTCAAACTTCATTGCAACCTACAAAAGTAAATGATATACAGTAGTTAAAAAGAGGAACTTCCTGCCGCCAAAATCAGGAGATGGTGAATATACTCTACCTCTACAGCTCCTGGACCAGTTCTTTCATTTGGATTTGGGGGGTTAACTCGACGGCCTACATACACTTGCCCAAATCCTCCTTTGCCCAATTTCCTCTCTACTCGATAAGCAGGAGAACCACCAACCTGCACCTGCTACGACGAAAAATCCCAATAATAAATGCCCACCAAGGCAAAATTATAAAACAGGATGAGATACAACAAGACTGAGCCAGAACATTGAGGATTTAGAAAGTCATGATTCAAATACAACAAAACTCTTAAAGCAATAGCTACAGAAAATCTTCTCTCCAAATAACATCAACTAAAAAGTTGCAACATAAATAAGCAGCACAGAAGTCCCTTGTATGGAACCAAATGTCCCTGTATGCTTCTTTATTTTGCAACACCATTTGTTTACAGGCCTAACAAGTCAATTAATAGTCTTAGAAACCCATATGTCAAAAACTGAACATGCATCTTCAGGTAAAACAAGGACTCATAAACCTGGAGCCCAGAGGAACTAAAAGGTAAACAAACCTTAAGCAACCAATATACAAAAAAAATAGATGAAGCTGATTCTTATATCCCCAATCCTCCAACGGGCCCCTCATCAGTCATCCCTCACAAACCACTCCCCAAAAACAATATATATTTATATATATATATATATATATAATAAGATACCTACAAACACAAAGGGGAATGAAAACTGATACAAATTGTCTCAGAAATAAATAAATAATACTGCACTCTGAAGCTCAAGAAATTTCGAAAGAAGATACGAAATACTGACCCTTTCTGGGACGGGAGTGGTGCTCCCCTCGTCCTCAGCTCCCAACCCCTTATCGCTGCCATGTCCACCGCTATCGTTCTCATCCATCTTCTAGACTTCCCTTTTTCTTACACCACACCAAACTCTATAACAATCTATAAACTTCAATAAAGCTGTTCCCCCGAAATCAGCACCAGCATTTCCTTCTCCAGTCTAGCCACCGCCGTCTAGCGGCGCCGCAGCCTTTTTAGATTTTTTGCATGTGCAGATTAAAATATTACTCCTCTCTGCGGATTGTTTCGTTGAAATACGTACAGTTGGATTCTCAGTGAGGGACTTTTCCTTAACCTGAAGGGGCCGACGACATCCACACGCTCTGCTACGCAGACGATGCATATCGATGGCCGCCCATCAACTCCGCCGCGAATTCGTCGGCCTGAAACCCATCAAAACAAGGATCGGCAGACGCTAACCTTAGAACGAGAAAGCCAATCGATGATCGGATACCAAAGAGAGTGAATCTTGTTGATGCAGGCGGTGTAGGAGAGAATTTTGTGAAATTAGGGCTGAGTGAGAATTGGGGAAAATGAAAATGAAATCTGCTAGGGATGAATTTGCATTATCAAAAAATGTCGGATTGCAGATTTTCCGCTGATGGACAAAAAGATGACGTGTCATCATCCTATTGGTTGTAATTTGTGAATTACTCTGGTACGTTTTTTTTGTATTTTGAATTTACAATATTTGTACTGAAAATTACGATAATTTGAATTCAAATTTTCTATGCAGTAGATTTGCATATCAGTCCTCTTTCATGTTCAATACAGTGTGCAGGTATTTTAAAAAGGATTGTTGCTATGCATCTAAAATCATAAAATATTATATTGAATATAAAACTTTTATATTATTATTGTAAAAAAATTTTAAAATTTTCAAAATTTATACTCAAACTATGGTTGTGTTTCAGTGTTTGTTTAGTCAGTCAAATAATTTGAAATAATAATTTATTTATTTTTATGAAAAATATACAAAATTATGCAAATAATATAAAAATAATAATTATATAGTATAATATATTATTTTTTTATGCATTAATTTGTTTTGATAAAAAATATATATCATTGTTTTTTATTTTTTTCATCCCATTGATAAAAACTGTTAGCAACAGCAGTAATGAATAATCTGTCAGTAATCTTGGACAGTGCCGGAAGGCTTAAAATTTAGGGGGGCAAAATAACATTTATTTTTTTTATTTAATATTGTCTTTTTTTTTAATTTTTCTCAATGCAACTGAATAAACAAGAAAAAAAAATAGTTAAAAAATAAATTTTTAAAGAAATATTTAAGAAAATTTAATAAAATTCAATAATTTCTACTAAAAATTAAAACTTAAAAGTATAAATCAACAAAATTATAAAAAATTTTATTATTTTTTACACTATAACATAAAAAAAAAATATTGAAAATAGGGGGGCAAAATAATAAAAAAATACATAATTTTATTATCTCTTACACTAAATAAATCATATATTTAGGGGTTGGGAGTTACCTGCCTTTAGCCTCTACGTAGTTCCGTCTCTGACGTTAGACTATTTTGTCTATTCTCGGTTTGGTAAACACATAAGACAAAATATATGATTTTGGATAATGAATTGATATCGGAATTATGTAGGAATATACCATACTATTAATGTGCAAATGAAATTAATGTGTTTGTTTTGCATGTCAAACATGGCTTGTGTTTAGAGAGAGGAAGTGAGTTTGATGCTCTCAATTTCAATCATTCTTTTCTCTATGTTCTAATTGAGTGTTTATCAATTTAATTTGCTGGAGAGTTCATCTGAGGAATGAGTTATTGAAGTTTCGATATTCTGAGTTCATAAGAAGAATAAGTTATTGAAGTTCCGATATTCTGAGCAACCTTACTATATAGTAGTTGTTAGTATGATTCTGAGCAACCCTACTATGTAGTAGTCCTTCCGTCTTATTTACCATTTTTGTCTGTTCCAAAACAATAGTCTTATTTCCATAAATAATCATATCACCATAAAACTATCCATATTTTTTCATTTTTATTACAAAATTATTACTATTTTTTACACTTATAGACTCATAAGGGCAAAAAAGTATTTTGTCCATATTTTTTTACAAGTACCAATATAATATCAATATTCCTTAAATCTCGTGTCCAACCCAATTAAGAGACGGAGAGAGTAGTTGTTAGTACGAGCTTGTGACAACTTAAATCTATTGACGAGTTTTCCAAGATAATCATGTAGAGATACGGGTTGAAGGAGTTGTGGTTTGTATTTGTTTTTTAATCAATGTTTATTAGTGGAACTGCTCCTAAATTGATATCTCCAAATGTAGGTTGATTTATAACCTAATCGGGTTAACAAACTGCTTTGTATTTCTACATACATATGGTCCTACTTTAAGTGTTTTGGTGTAACACACATTCCCCAACAAAAGCAAAAAAGAAAAGGAATGTTAATTAACTAAATTCACCTAACTTATAAATATTATCTCTGTCTCCAAATAAAATATCAAATTGTCTTTTATACGTAATTTTGTCAACATTAATTAATAGTATTATATTAATATGTAATATAAATTAAAAGAAAAATATAAAAAAAAATTATTATTATATATATATAATAATATTTATTTAATATTTTATAAATTGTAGGAATTTTTTAATTTTTCTTTATAATATGGTAAATTCTCATTGTCAAATCCAATAGCATGTAATTTTAAACTTGCAAGTCCACTTCAGTCTTAGGGAATGTTTGGTACAAAGAAATAAGGACAAAAAAATAGAAATATCTCAATTTCTCTTGTTTGGTTAAGACAAGGAATTGAAAGTTAAGAAAATAAATCATTGCATATTTCATACTCTCATTTCATGAATTCATGGGTATTAAAATTTTTTTTTGTCCAATTAATCAATTATTATTATTTGATCAATTCAAATAGTTGCAATTTTATTTTTATATTTATGAAGTGAATTCTCTATTTTACCACAATTTTCAACTCAATTTATTTTTATTTTTATTTTTTGCAATTTTATTCTCTTCTATGTACTAAAGGCCCTTATAATACTTACAAAAATATTAATCTTTTTTAAAATTTACGTACAATAATCAAATAGATAAATATTGAATGTACGAATTATATTTTATTACTATCAAAAATATATGTGCTGCATAAAAATTAAAAAAATAATAAAAAAAGTACTCCATATATATATAATTATACTTATAATATTTTATTTATATATAAATATATGTGTAATATTTGTTTATGGGTGTATTTTTTTTCAAAAAAAAAATATATAATAAACATTCATTATTTTTATTTTTAATATTAATTAATAGTATTATATTGGTATCAATGGTATGTAATATAAATTAAAAAAAAAATTATAAAAAATATTATTATTGTATAATATAAAAATAATAATATTTATGGTGTGTTGTTTGTTGGATTTTGCAAAAAATTACTAATCATAAAATTTATTTTTCTCAACAAATATTAAATTCAACATCTATTTTTTTTTATTTTTTATATTATACTATAAGCCAATTTTATATTCAAAACGTTTATTTATATCACATAATACAGCTATTTCAATTTAAAATTTTTACTTATTCAAATTCAAACTCAAAATCCAAAATCCCAAACAAACACACCCTATTTAATATTTTATAAGTTGTAAGAATTTTATTTTATTTTATTTTTTATAACATGATAAACTTTCACGGCCAAATCCAATAACTTAGGATCTTAAAGTCACAAGTCCTAACTTATAAAAATAGTATTAACTTTTAAAAAATTATGTACAATAACCAAATAGATACATAGTGAATAAACCAATTATTTTATTACTATCAAAGAATCTGTGTTAGAAAAAAAATAATAAAAAGAGTACTTCATCTATATGTATATATAGAATTATTATTTTATTACTATCAAAGAATCTGTGTTAGAAAAAAAATAATAAAAAGAGTACTCCATCTATATGTATATATAGAATTATACTTACAAAATTTTATTTATAATTTAAAATTTATATATAAGTATATGTGTAATATTTGTTTAAAAATTACACTGCAATTTTTTAATAGTAACTAAAAATATTTTAAAATATTTATAACAATAATTATAGTTTTTTCTTAATGCAGTATAAAATACAATATAATTTTATTAATAATTATTTGTGAGGTTCAGTTATAAAAATCACTCAAAAAAAATTATAAAATTATAGAAGATTGAGTTTTACTGAAACAAATAATTTAATACTAGATAATATTTAAATTAGTAATTAAATATCAAATGTTAAATCTACACTGTTATATACTTATGCATTTATGAGTTAAATATAAATTATTACTACATTGATAACAATAATAATAATAAAAAAAAGTAAGTAAAAATAAAAAAATATATGTATTTTATGGTAAAGAGAAAAATAGAAAAAATTATATTTTTTTTTTTACTAAAAAATTAAATTTGGATGATAACAAAAACAAAAAAAAAAGCGAGAATCAATTTAGATGAAAAAAAAAAAAAAGTGGGAATAAGTTTGGATGTAGTACAATTTTCAATAAAAATACTTTATTTTATTTTGCAAAACATCCTATCAAAATATTATTTAAACAAAAATTTAAATTAACATCTATATCTCAAATTACAAACAATGTTTGTTTGGGGTTTTGAGGTTTGAATTTTGAGTTAAAATTTGAATAGTAAAAATTTTGAATTTGAATAGTTGTATGATGTAATATAAATAGGCGTTGACGTGATATTTTAAATGAAAAATTAATTTTTAATATAATATAATAAATAAAAAATAGGTGTTTAATTTAATTTTTTTATTTTGAATGTAAAATTAATTTTTAGTATAATATAAAAAATAAAAAATAGATGTTTAATTTAAATTTTTTTTAAAAAAAATAGAATTAACAATGTATTTAAAATTTAATCCCTCAAACAAACACACCCTTAACCAAAAATATCACTAACTGAAATGTTATATCACTAAGCATCCATCTCAATCAAAACAAATTAGTAGGGGGTCTGTTTACTTGTGAGTTTTTCACCCATATTTTAATATTCTAATTTTTTTTCTCTTAAAAATATAAAATCAAATATTTATTATTTATTTATTATATTACACTAAAATTTTATTTTACATTTAAAATATTATATACTTACGTATTTAAATCCCATCGAATTACTATTTCAATTTTAAATTTTACAATCTAAAATCAAAATCTCACCGTAAACACTCCCGGGAAGTACTTATATTTTTAGGTATAAGATGTAATATTGCAAGTGCACGTTTTTGGATTATATAACATTATTACTATAACTAATACTATAAGTTAGTTTAATTAATTAATCAGGTTTAAATTTTGATTATTTTTAAATTATTTTATATAATTAAATTAACCTTAAATTGTGGCTCATTTTTTTTCCCATTAAGTCTTTCATATTCAAAATATATTTGAGAAGTAACAAAAATTAGCTATGGACAGTTTTTCTTTTTAATTATAAATACTTCACATACGGGTTACTAAATTTACTATCAGAAAATTAGAATACATCATCGCTATCTGAGAGATAGTGTTCGACAACGTCATCTTAGGATTGCACGATCTGACAACATCTTCTCAGGTTCCAAAGTTTTGGCAACATCTTCCTAAAGTTACAAGGTTTGGCAACACCATTTTCCTAGGGTTTCAACCTACCTTCAGCTTGAAGAAAAAAAATCTCAAAAACAGATTTAAATTTTAGCGATGGTCGAAAATTTGTTAATTATCGTATTCGCATTCATCAATATTTGATCTAAGAGTTATTTTCTCCCACTATACACATGCCTCAAAATTAATTGATAAATATTGACATTAATTATTCCCAGTCAACTTGCCTTCTTTCACGTTCCCACAATTATATCCTATTTAAGAATACCCATTGCCCCTTTTATTTATTTATTTATTTATTTTTAAACAGAGGAATTTTTACATGAGCTTTCAAATGATATATGCTTCGGTTAGATACATTTTAAAGGATATTTATATTTTTTGAAAAACTGGTTAATTATTTAATCGATGAAATTAAATTTGTAATTTTTGGAACCGATTATTCGAAGTATAATGGTTATTGATAATGTGGTGAGGCATGGTAAGCCACAAGTGCGCGTGCCACTTATCCGGATCAAATAATCATATGCATATATAATAAATTATTATTTAAAATTTTGAAATTCAAATAATATATTTATGATTGGAATTACATTTAATGTTTATGACCGAAATTAAGTATGGTATTTATTGTCGAATATTACCGAAATTATGATCAACGGTTACAAGCCATTAAGAACCGACGGTTTCGACTTGGTATTTAAACTCTAAGGGTTGAGTGCCTATAAAACGCCCAATCCACTACTTCATTAAAAACACACAAAAGCTTGAGAATTTTCTCTCATCTCTCTCTATCTTATCCTCTTTTATCGGGCAAAGTTTTCGGTGAGTTTTCCGGTTAAGTTTTCCGGCGACTTTCCGATCTCTAACCTCCCAACACTGTGGGTTCCTCTCGTTTTAGTTCACCGGAACTCCGAAGTATTGGGGTGCTACATAATTCGGAGACGAACGTCGTTTTATCTTTCGGAACGTTACGTCGTGAAGCGGAGGCACTACCTGGACGTATTCATTTTTACGGAAAGAGGTTCTACCTCGACTCGATTATCAAATTTATTACAATAAAGTTATTGTATTATCAAATTTATTTTGATAAATTGATTATCGAATTTATTTCGATAAAATTATTGTGATTATCAAAATTATTTTGATAAATTGATTATCGGATTTATTTCGATAAAATTATTAAATTCGATAAAACTAAATTATTGTGATTATCAAAATTATTTTAATAAATTGATTATCGAATTTATTTCAATAAAAATGTCGTGATTATCGAATTTATTTCGATAAATAATTATTGATTATCTAATTAATTCCGGTAAATTATTTTGATATCAAATTTTAAATTTTGATAATTATTTGATATTCTCATGTATAAAATTTTCCCAACAATGTTTAGAATAGTTAACGTTTTCATGAATATATATATTTATAATTAGATGACTATAATGATGCTATTTTGCATCACACAATATTATTGCATACATCACATTGTTAATATAATACAAATACAACATATTAACTAACAACATATGTTATAATTACATACATTAAGAACAAATAACACATGTCTTTCTTAGACAACATATATTGCGTATAATAAGAACATATATTATATATATATTATGAATGCTAAAAATGAGCAGAGTGCTAATTTTTCAAATTCATGGCCGTAACTATTTCTTATAATAACACGGCATTACATATGTTTAGATATACATAGCTTATTATAAAACATTATCAATTTAGAAACAAATCCCGTACATATAATTTTATGCAATAAATTTTATACAATGCATTTACATCAATATATACTAATTTCGAAACAAATCTCGACCACAAGAAACTACGGTAAACATAATCAACACTTTTCTAGATACCTTAGGGAAGGAAGAAAGCGTTAGACGCCTCGATAGTTCGACCGCGGCCGCGCGCTCGGGAGTTATAACCGAGCAAAGATAACTTCGAAAAAAAAAAAGCATTCGGCGAAAAAAGTATAAACAGTAAGCCAAGTTTTGTAGCAGACACTCTTTAAATTATGTAATAACCAGACACAATCGGCGAAAAATAATTTTCAGACATATGTAAACTCTTCGACTAACCCGACAAGATCAGGTCGATTCTACAGTCGAACTAAGCATATGGCTTGAAGCCTTCGACTCAGACAAGCATTTCAGGCCGGCAGCAAATTCTCCTCAATCTCACACGCTCCTGCCAATTAGATGTTGATGAAACTGAACTAAAGACTCGAGTTCATTACAATAGATATATATATTTATATATATATATATGTATATACAATACCCACCTCGGAATCATCGTGCAGATACCTGACCAGGAAAAGACATCTGCAGCCCCTAATATCGTGCCATCTCCTTTGAATCTCCAAAACACGTGCGTCGTAATATCTTGCTTCGTCTTGTTTCTCCTGAAATCGGAATTCGGGGATAGTCCCGACATTGAAAAACATTTTTGTATTCTTTCATGTGAAACATTGGATGATAAAGTGTACCTGGAAGCACACCACGAGATCCCCGACTTTCACTTTCCGGCATTCCGAGTGATCCAAAGCAACAGATCTTTCTCGTAGCGAATCCTTAGCATTCACCCACTCGTTTTCCTCGGGACACAAGCCAACATATCGAACACAAACTTCCTGTTCAAATTGATTGTATATTTGAATTTGAGAGTGTGACAAGATTTAGGCAACTTTCTAAATGACTATTCGCAAATTAATAAAGCAAACCGGTAACTTCTGAATACAACCCTACGGTGGCTACTATCGACATTGTAAACTGTTGGGAGGAAAAATAGCTACTCACTATTTCACCGGAGCTGCGAAACCTATGGGAAAGCAAAGCTTCGACGTCGTACCTGTTAAGCATCAGGAAAGATTAATAAAATTGGATGTACGGCAGAATATGCTCCTATGTGTTTGAATGAGGATTAGTAGCCATGTCTATCCCAGAAGAAAAATAGACTCTGAAATCATGTTTGAATATTTGCGGAAAATAGAAATTGTATATTAACTTAAAAAGAAAGTTTCAATGTGCATATATATATATATATAGGCATATATATGTGGGCCCCAAATAAAAATATATAAAAAATATGCTAACACTAAGGATAATAATCCAAGAATAACTTTTTGCATGCCTTGAGATTTCGGGTAAAATTAGAAGTTGAAATTCAAAATGAGAAGATGCCAATCAAATAATAGATATAGAATTACCATGCTCCATCCTTCGATGATTTAGCTTCAAATTCCAGCATGGATAAATCATTTCCCAACTTGTCTACCACCAGTACAATCAATTACAACCTCGGAACTGAACATCTTGAAAAAAACCATGAATCTTATGATAAAAGTGAGAAATGTACCATAAGGTAATTCTGTATGATCCTTTGCTTTGTTAAGAGACAGAGCCGAGACTGCATTAGCTGCATCCGTTGAAGTGTCGTGAATAGCTGCATCCGTCGAAGTGTCTTTAATAGCTGCATCCGTCGAAGTGTCTTTAATATCTGCATCAGTTGAAGTGTCGTTGATAACTGTATCCGTTGAAGTGTCTTTAATAGGTGCATCCGTTGAAGTGTCGTTAATAGGTGCATCCATTGAAGTGTCGTTAATAGGTGCGTCCGTTGAAGTGTCGTTAATGGGATCTTGTTTGTTCTTCTCGAACCACTTTCGTACCTAAAACAGAGAACAAAAGAGGCTCGAAATCACCATCCAAAGCTACAAATTTTAGAGAAAAGCAGAAGTTAGAAGAAGAAACCTCAGTCCACTTAACAACAGATTTTCCGGCACGGGCACTGGTACGGCTGCAAATATAACAGAACTTCCATGTTAAAACAAAAAGCCATAGTTCATGTTTGACAAGATAAGCGAAAAAAATGTTAATATGACATCAGAGAGAAGGTAGTGAACACTTTGGCACTAGCCCAAGGCTGAGACCTTAGGACTGAAGCTACTACATCGAAGGCTGTAAAGCCAGCAAGCAGGCAACATATTATAGTTTCCAGGGATCACCAACATATCGATAAATCAAACGGTAACCAAGCGAAGAAGTAACTTTTTAAACCATAGGAAAATTAAACTACAAGTCCAAAGGAAAATCGAAATCTTTAAGGACTTAAGGTCAAGAATTAAAGAAAATACGGATAATAATCCCCAAACTGTAGTAATGTGATTTTTGACAATTAAAGAAATACTATGCATAGTGGGATAGAAATCGACATGCAATGAAAATCGGTGATAAACACTATCTACACAAAACAAATACTTGAATGATGGAATCAATCACTTAAGTTGATGGTTAAGAGGCAACAAACCTTTAGATAATAGTCAACAAATCCCAATTTCGGAACGCAAATGAACTACCGAAGAGAGATGTACAGAGAACATGAGTCAACATTAGCCAAGGATTCATTTTACAAATGAAGCAAACATCTATTTATGGAGGCTGAATGGCAAGTACAACTAAGGTTAAAAAACCTAAGAACAAATATGCAAAATTGAACCTAGAATCCATCAAAGAATTAAAGCTTACATGTTACTGAAAGAGCAATAAATACAGGCGCAATAAACCTCGAGGTTGTTGACAAGTCATACATACGAAGATCATAATTTCAAAGAAAAAGCCATCAAGAATAATCGAGGGAATTATGAATATTGAATGCAAAATGAAAGAAATGGTCAGACAAGGTCCACGTGTGCAGTGGCGTTGGCCACAGGTTCGGTAGTAGTCATGGTCAATCTTCCACGGTCGCAGTGCATTGCAGCAACAGCCTTGCATGTCCTTTAGTCCATTGTTCGAATTTCAAGATCTTATCTTAATCTTCCAAAACTGGAGTTTTCAACTGCACTATTTCTTGACAACCATAGGCTAGACTTTGAGTTACGGTGCATTTCACATCCTAGTCGGGTCTTGGATACCCATATATCACACCCTTTGTTTTGAGTTCATATGTTTGAATGTAAAAGCTCTTATTGTTCGAGTTAGAGGTACCGAATGTACTTACCTTAGCTAAGCAAAACTTATAAAATAAAAACTCACTTGAAATCTCTTGTCAATCTTTTGCAAAATGGCTTTTCCAGCAACTTTTCTTTAGGTTCAACGAGCAATTGCTCCATCCTTTTCACCTGTTTATTGACAGCAGATAAGTTTTCCATATCACTTCCCAAGCTAGAAATCTGATTTCATCAAGTAAGAAGGTCTAATACAATGATTTGTTTTCAATCTCAATGGTTTTACAACCCTAAGAACACACATTCTCCGAACGATACCAGTGATCGTTCAAAACTAACATTTCACCTCTATCCTACACATAGCACATAATCTTACATCCAAAATCCAAGCATCATCTTCCTTCAAACTCATATTACTTACCACACAGAACACAAATGCTCACAACAACACGCCCAATTGTTGCATCAAACGAGTGAAAATCAGACATGTAAACTTACTACTTTACTACTATGTTGTTTTCACAAAACCACTTGATCACACGCAGTTTTTATTCCTTTAAATCAGACAAACTTAGAGCCTACTCGTCAAATCAAATTGCCTGATGAGGAATCGTTAGCCATTCACCAAAAGCAAGTAAAACTTATCCTACCATTCTAACGTCACTCAAACCAACAAAGCAATCCATAAAACCTAAGAGTAACATCAAGCGGTTCTAATGGTTCAATTCGAAGTAGCTCAATTCAGTAACCGAGTTCATCAGCAATCCAGCAAATCTAAAATTTCAAAGACAACTAAACCCCCACACGCACAATATGAGCAACTTGGAAATTTTTGGTCGAGTGTTGAATCTTATATCAGAAAATATATCAGAACTGTAAGGGCTGCGGAGATGACCTCTGCCTCGGTGAATCCAGTAAACGTTCGTCCTCGCCTCGGCCGGAGGTCCATGTGCCACTGAAAATGTCAAGTTTGTGAGGCCTCCTCCTCCGCAAATGAATCAAACGATTTTCTGAAGAAATGAAGTGAAACGGTGCAGCAGGAAAGTTGGGGAAGTGAAAAATGACGTTCTAGAAGATGAAGAAAGCTGTCACTCTTGTTTGCTCCGTGGTCTGTATCGAAGGCAAATTACGTACATTCAATTTTTATTTTTCTTAAAAAAAAATAAAATTAATTTCGACCGGTATATATATTTTTAATATTTATTAAAAATTTATAGCATTATTTTTTATATTAGCTATCAAATATAATTGATAATATAAAAATAATAGTATTTTTTTATAGTTTAATTATTAATTTTTTTAAGTAAATAAATTATGCTTCATGTGCATTTATTTTGAATGATAAGATTATAATTCAAGTAATTATTTGAATAGATTATATATTCATAATTAATTAATATAATATATAATTTGATTGATTAATTATTTGATAAAAATATATTCCTATGAACCCTTTTATTGCGAACATCTATACAATAATATATATACTTTTTTTTATAATATTTATAAAATAATTATAATACCAAAAAAATATTAAATGAACAAATCAACTGTGTATAAGAAGAACAAACTTTATTTCTTTCTATGAAAGTATCAATATTAATATATATTATATTAATGTGTGTATATATATATTTTTTAATAATATTTATGAAAAAATCTTCAATTAAGAAATATTTGGTAAACATACTGTATTTTTTTCTTAAATATTATTAATCAATAATACAAAACAAAAAATGTAACAAAGTCTTTAGTATGGGAAATTAAATAATACTCTATTAGGAAAAAAAAGAAAAGAGTAAATATATATATACTTTATTATTATTTTATCACGTGAGAACCCGCAAACGCTAAGGTAAACTTCCGGCTGAACTCAGGACCTCACGGTCACGTGTCTAATCCTACTTCAATTAGTCGTGGAAAAGGAGTTTAGGAGAGATTGCCGCTGTCCTAAACACTGGACACCATTCACTAATCTCTGCATTAATTACCGCTCACTCACACACATATATTTATATAATGCTATATATATATATATAATGCTATATATAGAGTCGCCTTCTCTTCTACACCGGTCTTTGTCCGATTATTACATGTTAATATATATTATTGGTGTTAAGTATTAAATACGAGTATTAAATATGGGATCATCGGAAAATTTCAACAAGATCACTGCCGACAACTGTGTCCAAGGTACGCACTACGCAGTACTCGTCATTTCTAGATATAAATTTGTCACGCAAGGATGGTCTGGTGGTGTGGAGATTGGACATATAACCTTAAGGTTATAGGTTCAAATTCCCGACGCATCAGGTCACCTATTACACATCTGTCGGGCCTAGTTTGCAAGATATTAGGTCCGACCGGAAATTTACTATTGAATTTATTGAATTTCATATTTCATGTGAAAATTTAATAATGAATATAATATTATAAAAATAATATTAAAAAATTGTAATATTTCAGCGAGTGCAATTGCTGGATTTAAATCGGCATGTGTTGCATGTGTCGCCAGTGCAATTCCTACGGTACGTACTATTAGTGCACAACTTTCAATTCTTAATTATTCAACAAAATCTTATAAACACGATTTTTAATATTATTTGCTTATTCGATATATATATTCAGTTGGCTGCAGTTCGTACAATTCCTTGGGCAAAAGCAAATATAAATTACACTGGCCAGGCTCTGATCATATCCTCAGGTTCGTGTTTACCCATGAACATATATTTGTATTGATATACCAAAAATATCATACTATTACTTTTTTATTTTTTTAAATTTTTTTATTATAAAAAAAATAAAAAAATACACATTATAATAATATTTGTGTTCAAATCAAATTAATTTATGTTTATGTAAGGGATGTAGTATATTTTTTCTGAATAAAACAAAACCAAACTTCAAAATAAAATAGGTAGAGTGAACTGTGAAGTTTTGATCCCTATTATTAGTTTTGTTAAATATTTAAGGGTGTGTTTGTTTGGGAATTGAATTTTGAATTTGAATTTTTTTAATAATACTTAGAATTTGAATTTGATTAGTAGTTTGTGATATAAAAAAATATTGATATAATATTTGCATATATAATTTATTTTTATTATAGTAATATGAAAAAATAATCCAGCAATGAAAAATCTTTTAAAAAACCCCAAACAAACATAACTTAAATTAATTTGTCTTTAAATCAATAATTTTGGGGCTTGTTTAGTATTTTAATTTGAAAGTTTTTTTTTATATATATATATAAGACACATAATAAAGAATGATGTCGGTAATATAAAAAAATAATATTTTATATTAATGTTGATTTTTGTAAAATATATATATTAAAAATCTTGTTGAAAAAAAAAAATTTGAGAAAACAAATGTTATCACTTTCTTTATACACTACTTTTTGAAAGTTTTTATAATAATAATTTTTTAAAAAATATTTTATCAAGTATTTATTTTCTTATTGATTGTTTTGTTATAAATTATTCAAATATTTATTATATTTAAGCTCAATTTATTTCTCTATTTTAAAAAGTTTTGACACTAATTATAGGTCGTAAAAGATTACTGTATTTAATATTTTTGTTTTATTTAAAAATAGTATATTTAAAATTTATTTATGTTTTTTTAATATTTATTTATTGTTTCAAATATTTTACTATTTTTCAAATCAATTTAAAACTTCAAAATACTCTCGATACAACAATTTAATTGAAGCACAACAAACATATTTCGTGCAAATTTAACGGCTTGTTTAATTTTGATTTGAAATTGAAATTATGGTTTTAGTTTTAGTATAAATATTATTGATTCCGTCCCGCTGCAAGATTGTCATTTGGGTTTTTGCGTCATTATACTTTGATATTAAAAATATTATTATATTTGAATAGTTTATTCTACAGATGTTATTGTATTGATATTATAAGAGACTAATACATGTATTTATGTCTTTTTATCTTGATTTGTACTATATCCTGATATAATAATTAATATTCCCTCCGTCCCATAAGTAAATATCTATTTTTTTTTTTCACGTAGTTTTAAACATATTAGTATTATATTGAGATATAATAGGAATAAAGTAGAAATGACTAAAATAACCTGTGATATAAAGGTAATGATATTTGTGTAGTATATTGTAAGTTGTAAGGGAATTTGTAATGTTAGGTAGATAGTACGATTACTAAAAAAGTAAATGAATACTTTGTTATGAGACGAACTAAAATAGAAAAATGGATATTTTGTTATGAGACGAAATGAATATTTAAATATTAAAATGTAAAAAATTAATGGTAACCTTACAGCGGGGGACGGAGGGAGTATTTTGATTTAATATATGTAAGATAAAATAGTCTATTTTTATCGGAATCTTTACTAGTCGAATAGTATTGATTTGTATTTGAAATACAGATAAAAAATACCTGACAATAGCTATGTTCTTGTATGTTTGAAATTGATTTGAAATTGAGTGTCTGAGATTTTATTTAAATGCTGTATTTTAATATGATATTTTGTGAGATAAAATAATGTATATTTATTATAAATAATATCAAATGAATAATATTGATTTTGGCTTAAAATAATAAAAAAACAAAATGCATCGTTTGCTTGTTTGCTTTTACAAATGTTAATTTTTTTACATAAAAAAAAAGTCTTCTCTTAAAAAAATGAAAATAATTCAATATATATATATATATTTAAAACAAATACAAATAGTTAGGTCCAAAACTTATTTATTGTTCTTTGATGAATTAACAAAAAATGTTCGTATATTAATTAATAACGTTCTGTTTAAGTACAAAATTTTTTAAAATTTGATACTATCTATCACCTTTAGCATTTTTTGTTTTTAATATCATATCAACTATTTATTATTTTCAAATATTATACTAGCCTCAAAAAAAATAAAAAATAAAAATTTAAACATTAATTTGCATTTGCAGCTTCCATAGCAGCCTATTTCATCGCTGCGGATAAAACGATTCTTGAAGGAACCCGACATAATGCAGAGGGTCGCTACCGTAGGTGTACATAATTGAATCGATATATATATATATATATTGATCTATGGGTGTATAGTCTTGCTCCTATTTTGTCTCTTAAGAAAAATTAAATACTCCCATCCGTCTGTCTATAAGGATCACATTTATTTTTTTTCATCATTGTACTTAACATTAAAATTATCTACACTAATTAAAGTATTTTTGCAATTTTTATTTAACTTGTACTATATTTTGATATAATAATTAATATTCAAAAATCAACACGCAAAAAGTAAATGAAAGCTTTAGAGTCGGACGAAGATAATAATATATATAATTTAAAATATTACATTAAAAATTTTTATTTAAAGATAAAAAATGAACTAAGCCTTACATTTTAAATTATCCATCTATTATCTTAGGTATATATAAAATATTTATATTTTAAAATATAATGTACGTCCAAAACATAAATGAACATATTTACACCGGACACGTGTCAATCATTTACAAAAATTTAATAGAAATATTATCTATTCTCATCATTCACAACAAAAATATTTTAAAATATTAACTAAACACACTCAATGATTGTTTTGCTTGTAGGATTTTTACCCTTAAATTTTACTATTTATAAAACCTTTTTGTTTTCATAAACAAATTAAATATTGTTATTATTATTATTTTTATATTATATTAAAATTTAATTTTATATTGAAACTCCACAGACATAACCTATCCTACATATATTAAAGCACATCATTGTATGTAATGGGCTTTCGCCCATTTATCAAATGGCCCGAGCCCAAAAACAACGCATGTGACATTGTCACGTGCTGCTCCCATCGCTTCAGCACCACCAGCATTTCTTCCCACTCCCCTTCGAAACCCAACTTCCCCAGAGAAACCCTACATTTGCTCTTCTGTGTTTCGATGTGATTCTTGGATTTGGCGTTGTCAGTGCTTAATCCACAAGGTATATGCATATATATATATATATCTTTTATAATTACGTGACGAGGGTTATTTAATAGATGATGTGCATATTTGAATTCCGATTTTCCTCGGACCAAATCGATGGCCCTTGGGTTGTGCCTGTTGATTTGGATTTAAGTAGGAGCTTGGTTTTGGTTTTCCAACCGATTCTTTATCATTTTTTGTCGATTTCGGACTTTTTCCCGCCCCCATTTTTATCGGATGTTATGGTTTATTGTATGCACAATAATCAATATTTGAACACAGTTTGTGTTCTGCAGAGAGAGAATTGCGTGCATGCCCGAATTCTTCTTTATGTGTGCTTTGTAATTCTTGATTAGATAATGGAAATTACTTATTTACTGAATCGCGTGTGCAAGCATAAATGTTGAACGAGGTTTATTTTCTCTGGCGACAGAAAACTGCATACATGCTTTGATTTGATTTGATTTATTTTTTGCTTTTTCTTTTTTTTTTTTTTTTTTGATGAGATGATGTAATATGCTATTTACTAAATTGCTTGTGCATTTATTTATTAACATTGAACACCATTTGTATATTGCTGCCGTGCTGGGGAAGGAGGGTTCCATTTATGCTTAGATTCTTCTTTTCCCGCTTCTGTTGAAAATTTGGATATCTCATCTACTGAGGTCTGCTGCAATACTTGAGCTAATTAGCTTTTTCGAGGTTCCCCAAGTTTCTCTATGATACAATGATTGACTTCTGACAAACAGTAGTCTATCTTCCAATTTATTAATTTTTCATTATAGGGTTTTGATCATATATCCCATTCTTGATTGAATGGATCTCATTTGACTGTGTCAGGACTCAGGTCGTTGCTTGTTGTATCCATCTCGTGCGCTAGTCCTATATCTAATTCGTTTCATCGTTTGGTTAATTATAACATATCATTAATGAAAAAGGTAATATGTAGGTACGGCGGCGCCATGGAGTCCCAACGCTTTTTGAGGAGAGCCGGGACTCTTCGCCTCGCCATATTAATAAAGCAGCTTGGGTTGGCCTTAGCGACGCCGTGGCGATGCCATGGCACTGGGAAGGCTGGCCCAGAGCCTTGTAAGTCTCCACCCCAGACCAAGCCCCCAACCGCATTGACCTCAAACCATAACCTTGAACCCGATTGAACCGAACTTGTCATACTCTCTCCCCCGCTCTTGTTATCTTCTTAGGGCTATTATTATTTTCTTAATACTATTATAGTATTAGTATTTAGTGTATTACATTATTATTTATTATTTATTTTTATAGTTGTTTATTTTTAATTTTTAAATCAAATTTTTTTATTTTTGTTTGTTAGTTATTTTGTATTTTCTTATTATGTTACTATAAAATATAATATAGACATTAATTTCACATAAGATATAATATTTGTATATGTAAGTTTTATTATTATTATTATTATTTTTTTGGTAATAGGTAGTGATGAGATGAAGTGGATATTGGTCTCGTGTGCTTGAGGTGGGTTTAGTGAGCTTCTTGGGCTGATTTGTCACCTGGATGGATGTTTCATGGGGTTATATAGGAAACACGAGTTTGAAAGTAAAGCTGATGTTGTGAAACCCCATCCAAATAAGTTGAGAAATTGAGGGATAGTGAACAATGTTTTGTTCAAATTTATATTTAAATGTTATATCAATAATATAACATTTAGTGATAACAACTATTCGAAAATGTTCTTTAGCTCAATGCCTTGCAGCATGTCTCTATTAATTGAAAGGGTTGTTTTTCCATTCGATAATAGACGTCCAGTTTTTAAAAAATTCCAACACTGAGTATGATTAGATGATATGCTATCTTGAAGTGAATGAATAAGTTGCGAAGTTGATGACCTTGGTAACTTTTTTTTAATGTTGATTTGTTTTGGTATCCAAGAGGGCATTATTAAGAGTGATTTATGCTCACCATGCAACAATTTTTCGCTTTTCCCCAGCTCTGATTCATGGGGACTCCAGAAACCTCACGGGAGCCATGCCCCGACCGCATTCTTGATGATGTAGGGGGAGCTTTTGGTATGGGTGCTGTTGGTGGTGCTGCCTTCCATTTCTTGAAAGGCATTTACAACTCCCCTAAGGGTGAGCGTTTGGTTGGTGCTTCACAAGCTGTTCGTATGAATGCCCCTCGTATTGGTGGTAGTTTTGCAGTGTGGGGTGGGCTGTTCTCCACATTTGACTGCACGATGGTGTACCTTCGACAGAAAGAGGATCCATGGAACTCCATTATAGCTGGTGCAGCAACTGGAGGCTTCCTGCAGATGCGCCAGGGTTTGGGTGCTGCCTCACGGTCAGCAGCATTTGGTGGCGTATTACTTGCTTTGATTGAGGGAGCCGGGATCATGCTAAATAAAGTCATGAGTGCACCGCAGAACTTACCACCCATGGAGGAGCCTCTACCTAATGTCACAGGTGTGCCTGGCTATCCAATGGGGCAAATTCCAAATCAAAATCCGGGAAATGTTGAAAGTGCTGCAACAAGTTCTGCATCGTCGTCTTCATGGTTTGGAGGCTTCTTTGGGAGCAAGGAGGAGAAGGAGGGTGGCGATGGAAGCAAGACAAAGGTTTTGGAGAGCTTTGATGCTCCAAATCCACCATCGTTCGAGTACAAATGAAGCCAATGGGATATAAATATCTGGTGAGTGAAAATATACTGATTGTCTCCTTACTTTTTCGAGAGTATAAATGGAATCATTATATTGAAAAATTGAATCATGATATTGAATGAATAGATTTGGCATAGTAGTCAATAGTGCGCGGCAGCTTCACTATTGCGGCGCTGTGGGGCAGAGTGGCTGTCCATTGCCATCCCTGCTCCATTGCAGTGCATTTATACTCTCACAACAATAGTCTTTTCGTGGTGGGCAATTGAGGTTGGAGTGGATATGTAACTATTGTTTATCAAGAATAGCAGGGCGGTGAAAATGAGGAAGAATGTGTTTGTCTGGGGATTTGGATTTTTTGTTGGGATTTGAATAGTAAAATTTTTGAATTGAAATAGTTGTATGATGTGAAATAAATAGGTATTGATTTGATTTTTACTATAATATAAAAAATGAAAAATAGATGTTCGATTTGATATTTTTTGGAAAAAATAGTAGAAATCCGAGGAAATGTGATAAAAGAACACACCCTTACTAGATTTTGAATTTAATTAACTTTGACTATCTATATTTAAATTAGTAATGATCGAATTGTTTATGCTTATATATCTATGATTGAAATATTGTGGCAATTTGAAAAGTTTAAATTGGAATGATAATCATAAGATTAATCTGTATGCATTTTAATTGTTGCATATATAATCTTGTTTGTTGGGATCTATGATTGGCGGCTATGATATATAGTTACCTTGCTTCTTGTCTTTGTTGTTTTTTGGTATCTTTTTGTTGTTGTTTCGCTTCGAAAATATGTCAATATTTTGAACCAATTATGGCGCCATGTTTATGCAACTTGGCATTTGTATCATGTAGGTCTTCAAGCTCATGTCAGTCAGATGGAAAATGTTGTTATCTTGCCATCTTGGAGCTCATCTAAAGGCGACGAAAATGATGGAAGGTAACTGGCTTTAAACCCAGCAATTCTTTTCGGATTTAATGACTTCGAAATATGGTGGCTAAAATAGGCATGTCTTGTTTCTGCAATAGTGAATCATCTTGCATTAACATTTTGGTTCATTTTAGGATTAGGAACAGGAGCCTTGATGCCTATAAATGTACAAGTATGAAAAGGAAAAAAGTGAAATAAATAAACAAAAACTTAAAATTGTGTTTAGATATATTTAGGAAGCTTATTTTCTTTTGATTTGGTTTAGGAATAATAGAAAATTAGAATAGAAAATAAGTTTTTGATGGGAAATAAATAAATGTACGGTATATGATATTTTGAACAAAGAAATGTTTTTTGATGTAATAATTTTCATATGATTTTTATTTTTTATTTTTAAAGGAAATTGTTAGTGAATAAAACAAAAGTAAAGGTGAAAATATAAGTAACCAGAGTTATGCTAAGGATGTATTTTGATTCATTTTAGTTATTTTATATATTGAAATTTTTAATTCAAGTTGAGATTGTACTAGTCTTCTATTTGTGTTTTTTGCAACTGAAATTATCTTTTATTATTTTTATTATTTTTGTCGTTCATTAAATAGTATCTATTTTCTATATATATAAAAAAAGTAATTATTTTGCATTACAAATAATGTATATATAATAATTGTTAATTAATTGTTATATGAATTATATATTTTTGTTATCTTTGAATATATTTAAAGATAATATTATTATTTTTAGACAAAATTATATGAACCCACTTTTGGTTTCGCAAAATTGCGTCCGAATTTCTATATTTTCAAAATTGTGTTAGAATTTCTTATAGTTTCATAAATTTTGCATTTAACCCATTTGGTGGTCCGTCCATTTAATGGTGTTTGTCTTGCACAAAATTTTTATTTCTAAACATTTGAAATTAAAAATATAGTTATTTATTTAATTTCAATGAACAGTATAAATATACTAAAAAATAATTATTTTCCTAGTTCTAAGATATTTTTAGTATTTTTTTGTGCTAAATATAAGAGAAATAAATGTATTGGTAATGTAAGAGGCTTAGAAATTGAAAAGTTTGAAATTCATTTGTAGTTAGGCCAATGGGTTGCAGCGGCAAGGGGCCTTTGTTGGGGTTCGGGGATTGTGCCTCATTTCTTTGTTTTTATTGGATAATCTGTATAATTTATTGGGCCGCAAATTAGAATTTATCTATTTTTTATTTTTTATTTTAATTATTGATACCTGAAAACATGGCTTGGCCCGTTGGCCGCCCAAAATATATACTTACTTTTATTCATTTATTCATTTTGGTTTCAATCTAATTGTACTATCTATTTAAGTTTATAAATACATTTATAATTTATAATATAATACATAAATGTTATTAATTTTATATCATACAATATTAATAAGGTTAGTTTAGTTTTTTTTATTTTTGTTTCTAATATATTTCAATATAATAATAATTTTTTTAAAATTCTATATAAAAAATAAATTGATGGATAGATATAGGACGGAGAAAGTATCATTGTGATAGAAATGAGTTAACAAGATTTTGCCTTTTTTATGTTTGCGTCTGCATGTGTTAATGATTATTTTGATTTTCTCGATTTTCATAATAAACATATATTATATACATATATAGTATTTAATAATAAACATATATACATATATAGTATTCCCTAGGTCCAACTTGAAGTATATTTTGACCAATTTCAATTGTTTATTTATAAGTTTTTTTTATATTATTTTAGTAAATAATTATTTGTTCGTACCAAAATAATTTTAATTTTTACTTAAAATATAAATATATTATATATATAATTAATTTATACATAAAATTAAAGGGCAAGAATATTAAAAAATTTTACACAATTTTACTAACCGATAAAATTATTTATTTTTTTTGTTTTCCGTGAGTGAATTGAATGTGTAGGTCCCTGTATGTTTTTAAATTTGTGTTTTTCCTTGTATAATTGAATGGGTTATGTGCGGGGACGGAAGTACGTTTGAGGGGTCAATTGACCATCAAGCCAAATTTTTTATAATTTTTTTAGTATTAAAAATATTAATTTTTATGTATTTATATACCATTTATCCCCTCAAAACTATTTAAATTCATATATAATTCATTCATTATTATTTATTTAAGGTCAATTTAGCCACGCCCCTCCACCTATTTTGGTGCAGTCCAAACACTATTTTGGTGCAATCCAAACACTAACACAAGTACAAACAAACACACACAACCCCACTCAATTATCCACAAAACAAGCTAACAAACAAAATACATTTATATATATTTATTCAAAACGTATTCGAAGAGTAACGAGTGTTCATTGTACGTGCATTTAGTTATGGTAATATATAACCGTTAAATTCTTATAGATCAAGTTGTAAAATATTTTTCTTTTGTGGGTGGGGATGGGGGTTAAAGTTTCGAATTTGATCTCTAATGGGTGCACGTATTGTGTGAATGTGTGGGGTTAATATATATATATATATATATTGTATTAAGATCAACTACAATACTTGTGGTACATAAATTATTACCATATATTCTCAGTTCATGTTATATATGTTTATATTATATTGTATCATTGATATTTCATGTATTGAATAGAGTTAATTAACACATTATGACTAATCGCTACGTTAAATGTGGCCATATGTATGCGTAAGTGTCTACGTATGCTTTTTTTTTTAACATACAATATACAAATTCTATAATTTATTTTATAAAAATATTAGTATATCTAACGTCTATTTTATTTTTAATTATTTAAAAACAAATGTACAATGCGCCATTCACGCTGGCTAGCATGGACAGAGCTGCAGGAGAAAAGGTGGGGATGGCGACGACCAAAATAGGTGGTGGTTATGCATGCTTCAAATGAAAATATCATAATACAAAATTAAGTATTTAATATAATATATTTTGTGAAAAAAAATATATATTTAGTCTGTTTTCACTTCATATTTTTCAACAGAATAATTTTTAAATATAAAAGTATTTTTAGCGTTACGCACAATTATGTAATATATAAATATAAATTTATTAAATAAATGGAGGAAGTAATTTTTTTTTTTTTTTTTTTTTTGTAATATTAACCAAAAAGAAGCTGAAAAAAAAAAAGTACTGAAAGAATATGCTCTTTATATCTTATACAAGCTCATTTACCAACAAAATGTCTTTGTAGTCGAAAAGCCACCAGCTCGTGTCAATAATTTTTTGGGGTGACTATATTATATTTCGACTTTTACAGGGGCAATGTGTCAATTATACTTACTGTATGGGCTATAATCCAATTAACTCGAAAGTATATACAGTATATTGTTTTGAGGATAAATTTGTCATTGCACACGTAAAGCGGAGGAGAGACGCTTCCATCCCCGCCGTCGAGGACTCTGACGTTCAAACCAAACCTCTGTTTACAAAATCTCCAAATACTTCAGGAAACTCAGGTAATCGCCGATTGGATGCTTTCGCGCGTCTCTCCGCTCCTCCGCTCTTCACCGCCATCCATGGCGGCGCGTGTTCTTTCCCTAACATGTCCTACCGTCATTCATCTCCCTTCGACGATTCCGCATCAACCGCCGCGTCCTGGTTGGAAGGTGTCGATGTCGTGTTCGGAGTCTGTCTCTGTTGTTGGAAGCAGAGGATTTGCTAGCAATGATAACTCGTACATCGCGCGTCGATTCAGGAGCAGAAATGGCAGTTTCGCCCTGGCGGCGGCTGCAAAGAGGGAATATCGGAAGTTCAGGGGGAGAAGAGCGGCGAAGAAGAGTAAGGATAAGGAGCTCGAGCTGAGTGTGAGGATTTGCCTCGAAGAACAGTTACCCGAAGATCCTGAGATTATGGTAGGATTTCGATTATAGCAGTTTACACTTTCAATAGTTTGCACTTGTATTTACTAGCATGTTTCAGTGTGCATTCCATTAACATCTAATTGCCGCTGCTCTGAATTACTGCTGTTCTTCTTCTTCCTCTCTCTCTCTCTCTCTCTCTCTCTCTCTCTCTCTTTCCCTCCCTCATTTTGCCCTTTTTTTCATTAATGCTCTCTAATTCTAAATGCTTCCAAGTGCAGGCGGTATATATATATATATATATATATATATTAGTTTTGCAATGCTTTGCAGCCGTGTATAAGTTGGCATTTGATGTATTTGTATGCATCTGATATGCCTTCAATCTATGTTCTGTATGTAAAGGTATTCTTGTTTGTTTTGTCCATCGTTTGTGATGCACTCAAGTTTTATCTTAAGTTCTACGGGAGGAGTAATCTCCTTTAACCCCCCACCCTAGGATGATGATGTTTGTAACTTGCATCTGCTTTATGAGATGTGATAGACAGCTTTAAGATATCGCATGTTAAAGTGTAGGCAGCGGGAATACAGTGAATCTTCATTCTGGTTTAATGTGAAACCATAAGAAAGTAGCTAAAATGTCAGTACCTTGCAGATAATACATCCAGTTCTGATTCATATTGTGTAATCTTGTCATTTCTGTTGGAATGATGCTTCTGACACCTGTAGTACTTCCAGATCAGTTTTCTATTGAAATTGAGAGTTTTGTAAGTGCTTAAGTGTCATTGCAGATGATTTCCTATTAATTTCTGATTGACTCTGTTCTAATTGTTTTCTTATTACAGGATATTGCAGAAATGATGCGTCTCAATGCTCCAATGGCAATGAAGTTAGCATTCGAGCGATTAAGTGATTCAGAATATAAAACAAGGGATGCTTCTATACATGATGTTGGCTGTTTTAAGACTGTTGAGCTTTCGGTACTACTTTGCAATGATGAGTTCATTAGGAAACTTAATAAGGAATGGAGAGATGAAGATCATGCTACTGATGTCCTTTCAATGTCCCAACATATACCTGAACTCAAGCTTCCCATTGTAAAGTAACTCATGTTGTCATTCATTTGTACAAATATATATCTTCTGCCCAACTGACAAGCATTACTCTCCTGCAGCTAATGATGGGAGACATTGTGATTTCTGTTGAGACAGCTGCACGCCAGGCAGAGGAGAGGGGGCACACACTTATTGATGAAATACGAATTCTCATGGTTGGTTTCAAACGTTTATAGCTTTAGTAATATCACCCATATGGCTGCCTCTTACAACATAAGAGGAAGTTCAATCAATATTAGATGAATTGACATTTATCTGGATGCACAGCTGTGCTATTTTCCTTCCAGCCTTTTTCTTGTGTATTGTATATTTCTTTCTTGTTTTTGTTTTAAAATGGGATATGTGATTATCTTCTAGAAAATAATGAGTTTCATGCATTTTGATATCTTTTTGGATGCTGAGTTGCATGTTCATAAGTAGGTTGGCAGTAAGCAGTTTAGAGGATGTGGATATTAATGCAGCTTCCCAAGTATTAATAAATTGCAAGCGCAATTGATCTTAAGTCCTGCAGAGAATGATTTTTATGTTCCTACAGGTTCATGGATTACTGCATCTTTTGGGATTTGATCATGAACTAAGTGACGAGGCAGAAGAAGAAATGGAGAATGAGGAAGAATATTTATTAAATGGTCTTGGTTGGAAAGGGAAAGGTCTGATTCAAAGTGCATGTGATGCTGGTGCAAATGGAAGTACACATCTTGTGTATTCAGATGGTAAACTTCTTTTGATACAGCTCTAATGAGAAGACTCATGCCACCATTTATAGCCATTTTTCTATTTGATATCCCAGAGAAAATTACATTTCTCGATTTTCAAAAGACAGGAAGAGAGTAGGCAGTCTCCGATTTTACAAGCCAAAGTATGGTTATATCTTCTGTGACATGGATGGTAATATATTACAAACATAATGATTTTTTGGTATTTTCTTCTCCATATCTTATCCACGCATATACATGTTGCCAGAGTTAGCATTGAGTCTTACATACGCTTTCATTTTGTTGCACAAGGTACACTACTAAACAGCCGAAGCCAAATTTCTGTATCAACTGCTGAAGCTCTAAAAGAAGCCTCATCAAGGGGTGTTAAAATTGTGATAGCTACTGGAAAAGTACAGTATTGTTAATGCTTATAGCTGTACATTTTGTGGCTACTTGCGTGATACTGATTCTTGTTTTCCGTTTATTGGTTCAATCCAGTCTCGTCCAGCTGTAATTCGTATTTTGAAGACGGTAAATTTGGCTGGTAGTGATGGCATTGTCTCGGAGTTCTCTCCTGGTATTTTTGTACAGGTCGACCTTTTTCTACTTATAATGCATATTTACTATACACTATATTGTGGCATGACTTAATTGTAATTCATCACCTATATCCTTACAGCAAGATTCTTAATTCTTTCGTGCAAATGATATAAATGCACACTGTCAAGACACCCAAATAGTGTTCTTGGGTTGGTTCGTGTAAATCAGATTATTGGAAAGGCAGAGTATCACATTATGTGGAATTTAAAAAGAAAAAGAATCCGCACAATGTGATATACAGGTGGTGATTAGATGTGGGAATTGGGCTGATGCTGTTCGTTATTCACTATGGATGGATAAGAAAATTTTGGGATGAGATTAATTTTTTCAAATATAAATTTTCTCATTCCATTTCTCCTTGATTCTGAATTTCAGGGGTTGCTTGTCTATGGCAGGCATGGTCAGGAAATATTTCGAAGGAATTTGAATTCGAATGTCTGCATTGAGGTGGGTACATATATCTTTTCCTGCTGATGTGAAATGACTAATGAGATTAGTGGTGTACATATTGCGCCTATTTTGGGTGTGGGGTAAATTTGTAGTATTGACTTTCATATTGGTTAATCAAGCAAGTGGTTATGGTTGATTGTTTTTTACTTCATGGTTTATTGTTTGTGGATAAATGACCTAATCAGAGGATGAATATGGCCGTTGAATATGCTACCCCTGTTTATGTCAGCTATTTATTTGTGATCAGGATATTATTTTATCTCCTTAATTATTTTAAAATGTAGTTTTCAAACTCAGCTGCATAAATGGCCAACAATTAGGATGAATATTGAGTAGGCATTGTTTTTGATCGATTTTTGACCAAATATCCTGATGTTCACGTTCTTATGTATTACAGGCGCTTCAATACTCTATTGAGCATAAAATTCCAATTATTGCCTTCAGCGAGGACAGGTGCTTAACATTGTTTGAACACCCTCTTGTGGACTTGTTGCACACTGTATATCATGAGCCGAAGGTGTCTTATTCATGATTATGTTAGCATTCTTTCTCCCAGAGGCTCGGGTAACTTGTGTTTTGACATTAAACCTTTTTGCAGGCGGAGATCATACCTTCAGTTAAGCAGCTCCTGGCGACTGGAAATGTACAGGTTTGATCAGAACTTAAGAAAAGTATCTTATCGTCAAGAGCGCAATTTTGTGTGTTGTCTTGGGATCTGTGGGACCTTTTAACTGTTTAACTGTATGTACCATAACATATAATTTTTACATCACATTTTATTACCCTGTTTCCATTTTTAAAACTTAAACCTGACCAGGCTCTGTGGCATTCATAAAATTTTTTCTGATCAAACACATTAACAGTGACAAATCCAACATAAAAATTCCTGTCATATTTCATGCAATTTTGGATGTGTTAAGTAGTTTGCATTTTTTTGTGTATGTAGTCAATTCATTTCTTAAAACATGTGTATATATATTATAATAAATGCTATGTGATTTTTAAACATAGAGGTAAATGGCAATACCTAGATTTTGAGTTACCCCTGCCAATGAGATACATTTTTACCCACAGAGCTCAATATAATCGAGGTGGATAACTAACTTTGGATACTTCTGATTCATTTATTGTTCTGTGCCGTGATCTTGTTGCTTGACTATTTTGCCATTTCAGAAACTGCTCTTTTTAGACACTACTGAGGGAGTTTCTGGTACTTTGCGACCATACTGGGAGGAAGCAGTAGGGGATCGTGCATCCGTTGTCCAAGCAGTATCGGATATGCTTGAAATCGTTCCGCCTGGGACCTCGAAGGGAAATGGTGTGAGAGTGCTTCTTGATCATCTCGGTATTTCTGCAAAAGAGGTATTATCTTTGCTAATCTCCTGATATTTGAACAAAGCATCTCTTAATATAATAAAGTATTCGGGAATTGGGACCTCTTTTTGTCTATAATTATGCAAACTTGCCTGTTTGTTTGCCTGATTCTTATCTTTCGACAAACCTACTATGTTGGCTAGTTCCTAGCTTCGACTATTTAAATTTAAACATTTTTTTTTACAACTCTAAGGTAATATAAGCAAGTCTGCATATATAGAGATCGACATTCATGTGTTTGGGCGAAGATCGAACACCGTCAATTATATGTGCTAAAGAAAGAAACCTAACATGGATATACAAATTCCATAGATCAAATTTATGAATCGTTTTTAAGTGCAACGTAGATATGATTATCCTTTATACCCCAAGTACCTCTTGTTTTGTTATGCAATCATAATTTTGATTTATTTGGTATGACTATTCAATATTCGACAATAGATGATTGTCTGCGATCGAGATTTGATAACCTTGAAAGATGTTGTGATTAGGTGATGGCTATCGGTGACGGAGAGAATGATGTGGAGATGCTCGAGCTGGCTTCTCTAGGCATTGCTCTTAGCAATGGATCGGAGAAAGCTAAAGCTGTAGCGAATGTAATTGGCGTCAGCAACGACGAAGATGGAGTAGCTGATGCAATATATCGATACGCATTCTGATCATTTATATTTGATTCAGTAAGGTGATCATTTTTATTTTTTGTTTTATATTTTTTATGACTCAATCAGATTTAAATTTTATATTTTTTATGACTCAATCAGATTTAAATTTTATATTTATAGCCTGTGCGTGTTTGTTTTTATTGAAGGGTGGTCTGATCTGATCTTTGCTGCTGCCATTGATTTTAAGATCTAAGGTAGTTTTTTGTCACCTGTTTCTTTTATTTGTGTTTTGAGGTAAATTGATGCATCCAATTTCAAATGATGACTATGCTTTATTATGTGTTGGTTATTAATGAATTGCAATTTATTTTTTTTTAATATTTAATGATGATTAGGCTATGAATATTAATTTAAATTAGCATGGAATGCAGATAGAATGCTAGTGTTAAATAAAATATCTATGGAGTATTTTATTAAAATAAGTTAATTAATAGATTTGGATTATGGGTTAATTTTGATTTATACTCTTGAATAATGTAGAAGATATGAGATATATTGAATCATTGAAGTCTCAGTGTAGAAATATAATGAAAATATATATCGATCATATTGTAAATTCGTTAAATATATCAATATATATATATTGAATAACAAAAAATTATTGAATTTTAAAGTAAATTTGCAAATCACCTGTAAACATTATTGGTGTAAATTTGTTAAATGTTTATGTATAAATAAAAAAAATAAATTAATATTGATGTTTGGTTTAAAATTTAGAATTGTTAAAGATTGAGAATAGTAAAAGTTAATATGTAATATAGTGTAATGTTTTACAAGGAGAGAATATAAACTCTCTTTACATAATAATTGGTAATTTTAACAGCATTTAACTTTTCAAAAAAAAAATAAAATCACCTCAAATGTGTATATATATATATATATACTCACAAAATATCATATTGAATATTAATTTTTTATTATTTTCAAATTTTAAAATTCCAAAATTTCTAAAAGTTCATTGTCTAAACGAACATATACAGTTAATAAGGTGTTTCTTCAAAAAACTAAAAATTATTATAAATGAATCGTGTCAAAAAAATATTTGAAAAAAAAATATGTGTAATCGGAGACTGTCCTCACTATTGTCTCAATATTTTGAATGATTAGGTGACAACAAATATTTACAACCAAATTCAGCACATAATTCATCAAAACTTCCACACACACACACACATGCATATACACAATATCTCAGTCAAAAGAGACATTCCCAAATTTATTTTAACTTATAATAACTTAAAATGTCTCAAAAAATCTTGACACAAAAATGAAAGTCCCACTCAAAATACATAAATATATACAAAGAGAAGGGAGTTGAGTAAATGCACCTTGGCAATAGAAAGAAAAGCATGACGTCTCGAGAGCTCGAATTCGCTATCTTTGATTAACTTGGTTTGTAGTGAGTGTTCCTCCTTGCGCACTCCAAAATAGCTTTGTCCGCCGTAATGAAATACGCTGCTATGGTCGCTGCTCATCATCATCATCGACAACATAAACAAGTAAGACGCAATCGATACCAATATTCTTCTAACTAAAAGAAATAGAGTCCCTATTCTTCTAAGCTTCCCACAAACCGTGCCAAGTTCAATAAACATCATCCAAATTCACATACCAGCAGATATAATCAACGCCTGTGCTGTATAGTTCAAATTTGCCTTAGCCCAAGGAATTGTTCGAACGGCTACCAACTGAAAATCGGAATTGGGATTCATTATGAAGCAATTGCACCAATGACAATACAAAACACCATTAAGTAACTAATAATTTAACCAGGTGGAATCTGGTTTAAACAATACTCGATCAATAATCTATTAGCAAATAAGTTGAAGCCTGGAAAATCAGTGTCAAATAGCACTCAATGTACCAAGGCTTCTATGCTCAATCAAATTTAGGCAATTTTCTCTTCTTATATACATCGTACTTCAAAACCTGTAGCTTTGCAAAAGCTCCATTTTATATAAAAATCATATATCATCATTACTCGCATATTCAAAAGATAAATACAGAATTCTACGATCACACCGCTCCAGTTAACGTTCATTTATTCATCATAATCATTTCTGTGATGTGGTGAATACTTATTGTCTAATGCTACGTTAACTGTAAGTGATTAGCGCTATTTTATTCTTCTTAGTATAAGTATTTACTTCAACTTATTAAGCCTGCCTTGCTATCCTTAACATACTAATTTGAAGAACTATCATGTCCTGTCGAATTGGCGTGATAAAATAATGTTTCCTTCAATTAAGGGTTTGAGAATATAACCACATCTTTGTATCTTACTTATTTCAGTCGTGTATTTACTCTAACTTATTAAGCCTGCCTGGTGACTATCCTTAAACAAAGATTAACATACTAATTTAGAAAATTATCATATCCTGTCGAAATGGTGTAATAAAATAATGTTCCCTTCAATTGGGGTTTGAGATTATAACCACATTTTTGTATTTTATTCATCCCAGCAGCATATTTACTCTAACTTATTAAGCCAGCTGTGACTATCCTAAAACAAAGATTAACAACATACTAATTAGAAAATGATCATATCCTGTCGAATTGGTGTAATAAAATAATGTTCTCTTCAATTGGGTTTGAGATTATAACCACATCTTTGTATCTTATTCATCTCAGTCGCGTATTTTCTCTAACTTTTTAAGCCTGCCTATGACTATCCTTAAACAGAGATTAACTTACTAACTTGAAGAATTATCATATCCTGTCGAATTGGTGTGATAAAATAACATTCTCTTCAATTAGGGTTTCGAGGTTACAATTCACATCCTCTGTATTTTATTCAATATAAGTAACATATTCACTTAAATTAGGATTTTGAAACTCTGTTCTTATGGAATTTGGTTGCTATTTTCCTCTCAAGAATTAACATATCTTTGTGGTTATAGGTTATTTCTTCTCAAGAAACATCTCATCCATAAATGAAAAGAGAACAAAATAAAAATAAGGGTAAGAAGATAAAAATAGCATACAGTGGGGACAGCGCTGGCAACACATGCAATTGAAGCAGCTTTGGCTCCTGCGCGCACCGATTCTGCAACTCAGGAAACATGATGACAGACGCAGGTTAGTTTTCTGCTTAGGAACTTGTTTTTCTGAAGACTTAAAAAGTTCAAAAAAATCAATAGAATCCTAATTGTATACAAACCCTAACTATCGACTAGTATCAGAAATCAACAAGAAGGAGCACGCAATCTCTAATCACATGAAAATTGAAAATTCTCCACAAAAACTAGAAGAAATAAATACACGATCTACTCTCTCGCAAACCACGATATGTACCTAACCGCCAGAGAATGAACAAAAGTACCTGATGCAATCAATATAAAACAAAATAGAAACGAACTAAAATGGGGAAATCAGAAAGACTCCTCTAATAATTTCCTTAAAACAACACAATAATTACCAAAAAATAAAAAACACGGATCAGTCAACCTTGAGTACACTGCTTTGTGCGAAGAGATTTCTCATCCTCAAACGGAGATTGAATCACCAAAGCATTCCTCCGATTCGCGAGAAAATCCTTAATTTCTGACGGAATCCCCATTTCCCCCAAATCTGGCACCAAAAATACCTTCAACAACGGCAATCGCGATTCGCGACGCAGCTCTTCAACGGCGGCGAACTACTTGAGAATTCCGAAATCCAAAACCAGGAGAGGAGCAAACTAATTTGTGCACCGATTCTTATATATACATATATAGCCAGAAGACCAATTGCGACTTTGCTGTGATCTATTCTATTTTTATTTTTATTTTTTTCCGAAATATAAATTTAAAATATATTACCACTTCATTTATTTATATTTTATTATTTCAAAATATTGATATATATATATATATATTAATGAGAGAGAGAGAGCCAAACTTGGGTAAATGTAACTAACTGAAAGTGGCGGAGGGAGGAGTTGTTCATATGGAAAACACTAACAACCAACCAAATGAAGATTTGCCGATAATAGAACAGGTACCTTCGCTATTTATGCTCTTTTGCGTCTGAATTCTTCGCTGCTGTTTGTTTTCCAATTTTTCTGGCTGGATGCATCTATCTATCTATCTATCTAATCTGATTGAGGAGGAATGGATTCAGAAGAAGATGTCCATTTGAAGGTGTCTACAGGGGAATTCGGCTACGTTCTACAGGATGTGCCTCATCTCATCGATTACATCCCCGGTCTTCCTGTCAGTGCTCTTACTCTGCTCTCTTTTCTGTTTCTGCAATTTTCTTTGCCTTTCGATACTGAATTTTGTTCCCAACCCTATTGGTTTGTTTGTTGTGCATTTCCTTGCATGATCTTGCCAGATTTTCGGTTTGCATATTTGATTTGATTTTCATTTTTTTTCTAAAAAAAATAAATATAAATATATATATATTTGAATTGAACTAGTGTAATGTATAGAAAGACCAACTGTAGATGTGTATATCCTCAATATGCATGAGCCTTGAATCCATCCTCCGTGAATTAGACCATCTTCAACCTACGCCATTAATGCCGCTGGGTTGGCTTATTTGGCGTTGGTGGTGTTGCACTATAGCAATGTCATTTTTTGGCGTTGCTTTATTTTATTTTTTAATTTTTTTTTTAATTTTTAAAATTATAAATTTGATTTTTATTTTTTTTAATTTTTAAAAATTTTATTTTAAATTATAAAAATAAAAAAAATTGTTTAAAATAATAGAAAAAATTGAATATTTAAAGAATAATAGTGAAAAATAGAGTTATGGTTTGAGTAAAATTACGATAGCAACTGCATATTTGAAATTAAAACTGGATAAATAGAATTGATGGGTTGGAGATGGCCGTACAAATTTTGCTTCTTATTGAAAATAAGAACTACTCCTTCGGTCACCGACGAAAATAGACATTTGAATTTTTTTAATAGATTAAAAAATAATTGCATATTATTGATCAACATGATTGTGATTTTTCATCTTTTTTTTTGTTTATGTATATAATGTAATTTATATAAAAATTAATGATATTTTAATATTACTTTGTGATTACCGTTATTATAATAGAAAATAAATACTTTTGAATAATAAGATAAATAAAATTTTAATAAAAAAATATTTGAGATGAAAGTATGAATATGTTTCTTTTGATGGGTTTGAAAATTTTGGTATTAAAATAATGTACGATAGAATATTTATGTAAAAACCTAGGATTTTGGGTAAAAGAAACAAATTCTATATTTTAGTGGCAAGTGTATTTAAAAAATAATAATAATAACTTTAAAATTAAAGGATTTATTTTTAAATAAAATATTTTATATAAAAAATTATTAAATATAGTCTTATTAAAAAATAAAAAATAAATGGTGAAACAATTTTAATTTGCAAAAATAATAAAAATAATACCAACTAAGGATGCAATTTTGAGTTAAATGAAGAAAAATGCATGTGTCTGCATGCTTGGATGGTTGAATCTATATCTTATCTAGGTGATGACGTTCAGTAATTTTCAACTAATTTTCGTAATTTTGAAATAAGAGCTGTTATAATTATATATATTTCAAAAAATTACTTTAATATTTGAACACATTATATATATATATAAAGATAATATATACTTTAAATAACTTTCTAATAGTTATTATTTTAAAGGATTTATTTTAACAAGCTGCATTTGAAGAATTTATTATAATCAAAATATTAATATAACAGCTTACAATTTTAATAAATTCAAAACTTTTAATATTTTTCTTTTATATTATTTGAGTTGCATTTATTTATGTCTGCATTTTATGTATTTTTTAGGTAAAATAATGAGTTGATATATTTTTAAAATATTAAAAATAAACCTTGTTTTATTTTATTTTATTTTCTTGAGAAGCAACTAAACTTTATTTACAAATATTCAATGGTGATTGAAAGTGATGTTTACAAATGAAAATATGATGAGTATATTTGGTTGTAATTTGAAATATAATATTGATTTGAATTTGAATTTAAATAGGATTTTAATATAATCTTCTATAATTATAAATAATATTTTTATTGAAAAATAAATTAAATAATAATATTTTTTTATTTGAAAAAACAGACAAAGAAACATACATCCGTTTTGTCTGTTTTTTCACCCCCTACCACTTTACACCATTCCGTATAAAAAGAACAAATATATATATTTCCCCATAAAAAATAATATTCCCTAACAAAGTTTGTGATGAAATGAGAAAAAAAACAAACTGATAGTTTGAATATGTAAGTAGGAGTAACATATTTATAAATAAGTGTAATTTGGAAGCATATGAATTAAATAGTATCTTAAGAGTTCTTCTTTATAAATGGATAATACATATTTTAAATATATATATACAATTTGATGACCTGAGAGTTAACTATTTTTCCTTATAAAATAATAAAAATTACTTCAATCAAATATTATAATTCCCAAGATAGTTTTACAGTGATAACTAACGAAGTACAAAAATATCAATAAATCTTAAATACTAAAAGAACAAAATTACGTCTGTTCATTTCCAGTCTCTACATAAATTTTTAATATTTGAACTTAAAAAAAAGGTAAATTATATAACACATCCTTGTGTTTTACAAAAAATACACAAAAACACCATATATTTTATTTATTGCGTTAAACCCTTTGTGTTAATGGAAAGTTTGCATGAAACACCCTTACTGTCCAAAATTGATGTTTGGTTCAAAATAAAAACCTAAATTACTTAAGTTTTATACAAATATAAAATATGAAATATATTTTCTATAAAAACGACACAACAATTTGTCTTAAAAACTATGAAATGAAGGATTAATAATTATTTACTTATTTATTTAATGCAAGATATTTTGCGCTGTATAAAACTTGCATAATTTAGGTATTTATTTAGAACTAAATATCAATTTTGGACCAAAATTGTGTTTCGTACAAACTTTACATTTAACACAAGGAGATACAATAAATAAAATACAAAGTGTTTTATGCAATTTTTACTAAAAACACAAAGGTATTATATAATTTACCTCTATAAAAAATACTCCCTTCGTTTCTACTAATAGTATTTTAAATTTTAGAATTTAGAATTTTTTAAATTTTATTAAACTAATTAATTATTTTAATTTTAATATATAATTATTTATATTATATTGTATTTAATTATTAATATATTTTTAATTATTTACTAATCACTTTGAGAGTAATATCTTTTTTTTAAAAGAAAAGTAATTATAATAATAATTAAGCGTGCTTGTCTGTCTTGTTTTCCTGCAGACTTATTCCAACCCTCTAAGCTCCAATCCTGCCTACTCAGTAGTTAAGTGAGTTTCACTTTTCTTCTTCCCCAGACATACATACATACATACACACACACCTATTTTACTTATTATCATCACATGTATGTATGCTTCCTCCTGATTCCATTTTATTTTTCAGGCGATCCTTTGTCCATGTCGACGATAGCGTTCCTCAAAAGGTCAGTTGGAAACAAACTTTACCAAACTAACTTTCTTCCAAGGATACAACAAACAATAAAATGTCCGAATAATCGTACAATGTCTGTGTTTCTCTTGTATAGATTGTTGTTCACAAGGATTCCCAAAGAGGGGTTCATTTTCGTCGAGCAGGACCTCGCGAAAAGGTACACAAGTTTTTTTTCTTCCGTCAATATTTTTTCTTATCTTCGGCAAATTATCCATTCGATTCTAAATAAATGCAATGCAGGTCTATTTTAAGCCAGAGGAAGTAGTTGCTTGTGTCGTAACATGTGGAGGTTTATGTCCTGGACTCAACACAGTGATTAGGGAAATAGCCCATAGCTTAATATACATATATGGTTGCAGCAAAGTCCTCGGGATCGATGTAAGCATCGGGAACTAAAGGTGATGTTTAGTTAGTTATTGGTAATGGGTTCATTTGATCGTATATTATCCGTTGTTGTAGGGAGGGTACAGAGGGTTTTATTCGAAGAATACGATCACCTTGACACCTAAGGTTGTGGATAACATTCACAAAAGAGGCGGAACCATTTTGGGAACTTCTCGCGGCGGTCATGATACAGTTAAGATTGTCGATAGCATTCAAGACCGCGGGATTAATCAGGTGAGTTTCGCAACATAAGCATTATGATTATGAACGCATTCTTTGCTGATCATTTCACCTAAAAACTTAAGCTAATTGAAAAATATATCATTAATTATATATTATTATAGTTTTCCAATACGTCTTCTCACGTGCAAGCGGGATTCATCTTACACAAACCTTGCACATAGACAATTTTTTTTACAAATGATGGCAGTTAGACTCAAACATGCCCTTCACTCTATACTATGTTAAATGACCATCTTTATTTAAAACCTTAACTGATAAAGAAATGCATCATTAATTTATAGTCTTCTATTCCAACATGTCGGGATTCATTTACACAAATCTTGGACGTAGACAACTTTTTCCACAAACGGCGGCGGTGGGGCTCAAACACTGGCCAACCTCTATATTTTTATAATTGATCATCTCACTTAAAAATTAATTGAGAAATGAATCATTTATTATATATTTTCTCCGTCCCACATAAAAAGATTCACTTTTTTCAATTTCTGTCCATTCCACATAATATGTCTATTTCTTTTTTTAAAAAATGATTATATAATCACATTTTAAATTTATAATTTTCTTAACCTATAATTATTTGTACTAATGTATTTCTTAATTATTCACTAATTATACTTCTTCTAAATTCCTGTATCTTCGTGGACAATTGTCATGGGATGGAGGGAGTATTATATAGTCTTCTATAGTACTGAATATTGATCAGCTGTATCTATCTACGAATCTATCTATCTCAGGTTTATATAATTGAATATTGATCAGTTGTATCTATCTATGAATCTATCTATCTCAGGTTTATATAATTGGAGGAGATGGAACTCAGAAAGGAGCAGCTGCTATATATAGGGTGGGTAGCTAACTCATAAATTAGCAGCACTATGAGAGGAAGTGACTCATCTTCATTACATAAGTTCTAGGTTTTAGCTAAAGTGTTGTTCATTGCTGCTGCTCTATTGTTGTTTTTTTTCATATGTTAAAGGAAGTTAGAAAGAGAGGTTTAAAGGTCGTAGTTGCCGGGATCCCCAAGACGATCGACAATGACATTGCGGTAATAGGATTCATTTTTCATTTAAACTCTATTGAATCCTCTGTCTCTCTATAACTTAGATTTCAGGTTTGATTGGCTTCTATTATTGCTAGGTAATTGACAAGTCATTTGGTTTCGATACGGCAGTAGAAGAAGCTCAACGCGCAATTAATGCTGCGCATGTTGAAGCTGAGAGTGCCGAGAATGGAATTGGTGTCGTCAAATTGATGGGTCGATACAGTGGTAGGATGGATGATTGGATGTAAACTTTGTAAAGAACAAAGTTGGATTTTTGAAAAAAAACTAAGTTATTTTATTGCTGGCCTTTAGGATTCATCGCGATGTACGCTACGCTAGCTAGTCGAGATGTCGACTGCTGCTTGATTCCTGAATCCCCTTTTTATCTAGAAGGAAGGGGAGGACTATTTGAATACATTGAGAAAAGTTTCAAGGAAAATGGACACATGGTTATTGTCATTGCTGAAGGAGCAGGACAGGAGCTTCTTGCAGCAAAAGACGAAAAAGATGCTTCGGGAAATCGACTACTTCAAGATGTTGGCTTATGGATTTCTGGGAAAATTAAGGTTTTGGCATTTCTATCCTATTTCTATTTCTTAAAGTTAAAGCTACTCAAAGAGTGGGAGTGTATACTTTTGCTAAACTACTTACTATGTTTCTACAGGAGCACTTTTCAAAGCAGAAGGTTTCGATTACGCTAAAATATATAGGTTGGGGGGGTTCACCTAGAGGAGATAAACTGATTCTATGTTATGTATAGCAGATAAGAAATTAATTTTTTTTTGGCAGATCCGACTTACATGATTCGCGCGATTCCCAGCAATGCATCCGACAATGTGTACTGTTCTCTCCTTGCTCAAAGTGCTGTTCATGGAGCCATGGCTGGTTTCACAGGCTTCACCAGTGGTCTTGTCAATGGTCGCCACACCTATATTCCATTCAATGTAAGTTTGTTACAATTCACTCATAAGTTACATTGTTCTGCAGCTATGAGCAGGTTCTATATTCGATTAAAATGAAAGGATTCGCGGCTTGAAAGCAAATTTCATGAAAAACCTTTGCATGCAGCGCATCATCGAGCAGCAAAACAAGGTTGTTATAACCGACAGGATGTGGGCAAGGCTTCTCGCCTCGACTAATCAGCCAAGCTTCCTGGGGAATAAAGAGATCAAAGATTACCAAAAAGATGAAGGGCCGGCAACTCAGTTGCTGGACGATGGAAAGGCCATCAAATCTGGGAAAACAGATGATAATGATAATACTGAAAACAGCAAAGAGAACTAAATTGATAGATAATACTCTGAATATTTACCATTTGCATGAAGTGGCTGACAACTAATCTATTGTTTGTATATATGCATCTTTCGAGTATGAGATGCATAGAGCACAATATTAGATTAATGGGTTCGTGTTCGAGGAACATGGGCAGGGACTGAGATTCTATTGTTGTCAGAAGTTTTTTTTCACGTAGAGATGTCCACCTCACAGAAGTGAGGATCCGAATGTATGTATGTAAGTACCTGTTCGAGGGAATAATATGTATGCTTGATTCATGTAATAGAAGCCCTCTGAAAGACCGGAGAAAACTGCAAGACAGAATACACTAGTAGCAACTACTTCTGTCATTGAATACTGAAATATTTTTCGTAAATCATATTTTCTACCACATGTTTCGTGTGTGTGTGTATAAGTTAACTACAAAATTACCATAACTAATCCTTGTGATTCAGGGAAATGTCAATGAGATTAAAAGATCCAACACAGAGATTGCTACATGATTCCCTATGAGCAGTGTATGTAGTTTAGTAATTTCCAAGTTAAGTGTCTAACTTAGTTTGAGTCGATCTACTGGGATTTGAATCCAGTTGAGAATTACTAAGTATTTGTAACAAACTAGCAGCAGCTTATATTATAAAAAAAAACAAATGTGGGAATCATAACATGTTTCTTTAAAATGAATAAGTAATAGCCAACTTGGTACAAGGCCAAGAATTCAATTCTACTATAGAAAACTATAGAGTGGCATCAAGTTATGACGTACATTTTGAGACTTACTAAAACACATATGAAAGGCATCAATAAGGAGATGGACATGAGAACAGACTTGGAAGTATTCGAGTCAAGAAAGAGGGTTTACTCCATTGCCAGCAAACATCGCTACGACTCCTTTGTAAATGTCAAATGATTCCCATTTTGGGGGAGTAAAAGCGAGGGAAGAAAAGATGGAACCACAAAGGCCAACAGCAAACATGCCAGTAACAGGCCTACAACATGCCAGGCCTTGTGGGGAATCCCAAGCAACAGCTCGTCGCAAACTGTGATTGAGTAAAGAGATAGAATCAGGCAACCATACTGAATGTGTGAAATTGAACAAGAATTCATGAATTGCAGAATAATCACATTTCCTGGAAACAACAAACAAATCCAAAAGAGATCAAGTAACAGTTCAAACTATGCGACTCAACAGATAAGGGCAGATGCAAAGAATTATTAGACAGGATGACAAAGATTGTAGAGATGAGACTGACATTGGTGCAAACATAGCTGATTGTTGAAAGTCTCTACCACCCTTCCCGAGAATATGGTATATAAACAAGTAACAAAACACCACGGTACCTATATTAAACATGATGTATTCTCTTTCCTGTTTCCCGGGTATAGCAACGACACCTTCAGGTTTCACATTCACAAGTACGGACATTCTGACCTGACCAAAGGTTCCAAAATAAGAAACTCATTTTAATAAAAGAATGAGACCACTCATTTTCAGACATAACAAAAGCATTAACCAACCCGGTCATTGACAGTCTTGAAAATTAATTTTTCAGTATTTAACAATTTCCTTCCTTGATTTAGCTCCAAGTCGGAAGCTCCTTTCATTAGTTGCAAAGACAAGCTGGCCGGTATCTGTAATTAACATGAGCTTATTCTATTGCTGTAACTAACATTGGATAAAATAGGCAAGGTTTAAAGGGCATTCAGAAGCAGGGTACGATATCTTCACTTCATACCACGTATGAGGTTTCAATTTTCTCAATTGGTAGACACAATCACCATTCTGTAATGGCAACTTTTCCTCAAACAGTTCCTTGCCAACATACAAAATGTTTTTGTTGATTCTGTCAAAATAAAATAATATGAGTATAATATAGAATAGGAGATGGCAACTGTCAAGATACCTAGTAACAAAAATCAAACTGAAAAACAAGGAGGTTGTAGTGACATAAAATACAAGCATATGATGGATGAAGTTGCTTTTGCTCGTCAATGAACATTAGGGTGACAGAGTAATTTGGGTTCCAAAAAAATTGTGACATCTAAGCCATCAACAGTAGCAGAAGTAAATAAAGTTGAAGAAATAAAAAAGTCGTAATATTACAAAATGTTTCATTTTGCAGTTTTATCTGATCACACGCCAGTATAATTCCTAACAATGGCAATGTGCATGGTCATAGAAAAACTTACATACTTCCTCGACTGGATGATGAACAATTGAGTATGGTGATTAAAGAGCACAAGGAAAACCACTGCAAGTGTTTCATCTTTCAGATCAATTTAAGTTTCCAGACTCACCTAGGTTTGGTACCTGAGCAGTAGAACAAACTAAATAAGTTGTGACAAACAAGGGCAATACAAGCATCCACATCAATTTCATAATTCACAGCATCAATTCATCATCTTATCAACTAATAAGAAATACTCTGCTGAATCAAGACATCACTATATCAACTTTGTTCTAACACAGAGGAACCCAAAACTCATATAACTCATACAGAATCTTTCAATAACTAAATTTCATACTCAAAGATAATTGAGCTACAACAAAGTAAAAAAAGTTCATATTAGCAATGCACGTGCCTGAAAAAAGGTAAAGTGATGACTGCGTGCAGTAAACCCTAGCATTCTTAAACTCTGCACCTGCAAAGTTACCCTTTTCAATTGCCATTATTTGTTAACTCTGAAAGATTTATGTTGCCAATGCAACGACTAGAAAAAACAGGAAATGCAAAAGTAAGTATCTACCCTCTACCCTACTTTTCATCCACAATGCTACTAAAAGCTTGTTTGGTTGTGTTCTCACAACCACATTTTCATTGTACATCTACAACGACTTAATCCCCCCAACCATACATCATACATTTATTTTTCATCTAATACATTACATAAAAAATTTATTTTTCATTCAAAATATATCATCAACAACCTATTTATATTAGATCAAACAACTTTAAACTACAAGTATTTAATATTCTTATAGAACACCGAAATACAACTAAACAAACCTTACCATTTTAGATTCTACTGGTGGAGCTGAAGAATAAGTTTTCTTAGAAAGTATAGTGAATTTATTCAAGAAAATAGCTTAGTTACACACAATTAGAAGTGATAGTCAACAATCACCAACTGGTTTACGCAAAACAGAAAGATAATAGATCATCAACGCATCCAACTCTATATATTACGAAGACATTGAGGCATCCAGAATAATCCAAATAATGTGTTCAATGTTTAGAAAACTTATAATTTGATTAACTAAGTTTATTAAAATTTGTGAAATGCGTACGAACACAGACGCACAGAGTAAACATGCAATCTCTTAAGAATGATCTGAAATCCACAACAGTTCAACATAAATGCTTTAGTCGTCGCGATTAAGCTAACACACCAATTCACAAGAAGCAATTCACACGTATTCACAATCATTTCCTCCATCCGATTCAAAGTAATAAAACTTCAAAAAAAAAAAAAAAAAACCTAAACAAAACACCTTGTTAGCGTAGCGACGGCGGGTGGCAGCAAGGAGAGGTGTGCGAGCAAAAGGAGATGGCGAGGACCTCTGCATGACTGCATCTACACCTGGATAGAGTGAACAATTACGTTTAGACAGACTTCCTTTTTTTTTTTTTTTTTTTTTCCAAAATAATAATTTCAATTTTTTTTTTATTAGTTTTTCTAATAAAATTTCTATTATCATTTTATTTTTATATAAAATAATACTCCCTCCTTCCAATTAGAAGATTGGTTGAGATTTGTTTTTTATTTTTTATTGATCTTTAAATATTAATTATCATATTAAAAACATCACATTAATAACTAGACTTTACAAAACAAATTACATTAACGGAATCATATATGGAAGATGGACCTGGAGGTACCGGATTTGAACTCATTCGTCTTATATAATTTATCGTTTTTTTTTAAAAAATATAATAATTATACACTTTAATTATATTTAATTTTTTTTTTTTTTTTACCATTTTAGTAGTCTCATTTCAAAATATCAATTTTTTTTATAGTAAAAGTAATTAAACTTTAATACCAAAATAATTTTAGGTATTGTATAATTAGTAAGTAATTAATGAAAATAAATATGATTTAATAAAAATAATTATAAATTAAGATTAAATTAACTAATAGTTTAATTAAAATAAAAAATTTATAAATTATAAATTTTAAAATATAATTAAAATGTATAATTATATTTTTTAAAAAATGACAAATTATATAGGACAAACAAAAATATAAATAGAGGACAAATTAAATGAGACGAATGAAGTATTATTTCTTAATCCATTATAAACCCGAAAGACCCCCTTTCAATATATTTACTTTTATTAGGAAAATAATATATTGGAATGACTAAAATAGTAAAAATAAAAAATGATATCATTTTCTTTTTATTTGTCCCAAGACACGGATATCTGCATACTTAATATAATTAATATTCTTATAATTTTTAATATATTATACAAATATTATAATGTATTTTTGTCATTTTCACTGTAAACTAATATAATACTAATATTTAATTTTGATACAAAATGAATATAAAAATAATTTTAATATAAATTAAAATCGTATTTTTCAGAAAAGTAAAAGTATAAAGGACGGAAATAAAAATAAAAATACCAAAACCTATACACACCCACGCGAAACAGGCGAAAACGGTCGTCCTCTTGACCACCGTCGTCAATTCATAAATCATAATCTCCCCTTTCTTCGCCGTCGTCTTCTTGAACACAATTGAGAATAGGAAATTCGTGTAAACTACTCGCCCAGTGCGAGACAGCCCGACCTTAAAACAAACGCAACGCACCCTCGGATTTCGGCCAGCGCGAGTTTTTTATTTTTTTATGGGTGCTCAGAGCAAAGCTTCGTAATCTCCATCCAAATTTCGTACAATGGTACAATATTGCACACCATGCGAAAGTTTTCTCGTGAAATTAGTTCTACTATTAACTTGTTTTTCGAATAATGGTGCTTACCCTTTTTATTTATTTATTTTGTTTATAGTTCTCAATTTCAGCGATTAATGATTCGGACTCGAGGAAGCAGTGGCAGCCGTTGGCCCCGACGAAAGAAGCTCAGGCAAGATTTCTTGTTTTCCTGTTCCAATTGTTTTAGTTAGGTCTACTCTTTTTTTCTTCTTTTTTTTTGGTGATAAATTTAGTTCATCACAGTTTCATATGTCCTTCATATCTGTGTATAACACACACGCATATACACACACATATATATATATGCATGTTCTGAATAAGGATATGATGTTGAATTGTGATTGAGCGATGTGTCAAATTAGTTCCATGGTGTGCCAAGAATTCCGTTATCAGTGGACAGTAAATAGGCCAAAATCCAATGTTACATATTAGGAGCCAAGTATTTTAAAGAGTTTAATAAGAAAATTATTTCTAAGACGACGCATCAGTAACACTCGTGATCTCATCATCAGATATGTATGTAGATGTTTGAAAAAGGAAAAGAGCTTTCACAATGCTGTGTTGATATGAATTATGAAAAATAATATCTTTGATGACGAGTATGAGAAGCTTTTATGTGTATTTTACTATCTTATTTGTAATGCTTTGTTGGAAATTGGTGGAGAAATAGCTATTATATTAGATTCTAGAATGAATGCAATGCCCATGTGTCATCTTGATAGCCAACTTCTCGAAGTATGATAAGATCGCTTTGCACATCACGCCTTGATATTCTGAGATATTATGTGTCCTGGACCTGTGAGTAAGTGTTGATTTTGCTGGTCTGCATTCATATGACTTCTTTATAATTGGGTTCCTAGCTGGGTTATCCAGCAAGAGCATGAGTTGATATGTTAATGTTCATAAAGCCATTAATGTCATATACGATTAAATTAGATGTTTTAAGGCTTTCTGTTGATGAAATGGGTTATTGTTTAATGATATTGTTTATGCTTAGCCATAATCATTTCGCAAAACGTTGTTTAAAATGGTTGCAATTTACGGATACTTGGTGACTAAACTCATCCAAAATGCTTCCTTTAGCATGTTAATCTTGTTTCTAAATTTTTGGTTGGTTGTCTCTTTTTTTTTTTTTTTTTTTTTTTTGCATCGAATAGATTCTTCTTAACACTGCAGATATAATGACTTCTCTTATTTTCACTATAAGTAGTTGCCAACTGTAAAAGGAAATCAATTTGTTTACTTTGGTTTCTTTTCAGGAGTACCAGTTATCACAATTATATCATGATGGACTTCTGCGGTTACAAGCCAAGGACTATGGAAAAGCTCGCAAACTCTTAGAATCTGTTTTGAAGGATCCACTGGTATCAAATGCTCAGGTTGAGTGATTAGGGCCTTTTGGAGTCTCTCCTTCTTGATAATTATATATCTTCTCTTCATGTATCTATATCTCAAAATATTCTTTCTGTCTGACAGGTCGAAAATAGTGCAAGTGATGGTCATCTTTTACAGCTCAGGTTTTTGACAAACATATTCATCTGTTTAATTTAAGCTATTCTTGTGGTGATTGTCTTTGACAAGCATTTTTATCTAGCCACTAAAAGATTCAGAAGACTTTGGGTCTATTTGGATTTGAAGTTTTTTGAATGAAAAATAGGTGCTGGATGTGATTGTTTTTATTGGAAAAAATATTCTATGATAGATTGCATAGTGCGGAAATGAGATTGAAAATGTACCCTCATTGATTTTCTCTTCTAGATAACACTGTTATGACTCTTCTGGGTTCACAATTTCCCCCTTTTTCTTTTATTTATTTAACTATTTGTTTTTCTTGCTTTAAAATTAGTCTTTGAAAAATTAAGAAACTTATCTCTCTTTAATATCATTCACCTTGTCATTCTTCCTGTCTGTTCATAGAGAACATACAGGCCCGAATCTTCTAAATGCTCCTTTGTTTTTGCTCACATTATAATTGATACGTTCGGTGAATGCTTTTTTGTTGATCAATAGACTTCACTCATTATAATCTTACTTTGCATATGCTGTTTCTTGTCATTAAGCAAATTTTTTTCCCCTGCTCTTTTCTTTGTCTGTGGTTAGGTTTTGAGGATTGGGTCAGATTTATTTGGAATAAAATTGATAAAACTTAAATGAGGCGTATGTTGATGCAGGAATGCTATTGAAGTATTTTGTTCATAATCTATAGCATTAAACTAAACATTCTTGCTCTCTGCAGATTTTTGGCCCTAAAAAACCTTGCTACAGTTTTTCTTCAACAAGGTCCTTCCTACTATGAAAATGCTTTGCATTGCTATCTCCAAGCCGTTGAGATTGATAACAAAGACTCTGTCGTCTGGAACCAGTTAGGAACACTAGCTTGCTCCATGGGATCATTAAGCATCTCCCGTTGGGCTTTTGAACAAGGGCTAGTTTGCAGTCCTAATAACTGTAAGCATATTTACATATTTCTTGTACGCCAGTACAGATTGCCAAACAGCGCAGTAACTTACTACATTTCTTTTCTTGGCAAGTTGGCATGTTGTATTTGTTCGTTTTTTGCAGCTGTTATTGTCTTAGAATACCTATTAACTATGCTTATATTTATAACTATTGCAAAATCCATCTCTTCGCTTAAAATTTAAATATTCAGGGAATTGCATGGAGAAGCTCCTGGAAGTTTTAATTGCAATTGGTGATGAGGTGGCCTGCCTATCTGTTGCAGAACTAATACTAACACATTGGCCATCTCATTCTCGGGCTTTGCATGTCAAAAGTACCATTGAGGACTCTGAACCAATCCCATTTACTCCAAGAGGTATAGACAAGTTGGAACCTATACACAGTAGACTAAAATTTCCAGAAAAGAGAAAAGCTGTAGATGATGATTTGGATGGGACCCCAGCATCAAAAAAACGGAAGCAAAATATTGAAATTCAACTTTCAGAAACCTCATGGATAGCTGTTATTGGTGAATTACTTGAGATCTTACGCCCTTTGTCTATGCCTGACTGTGAACCAGAAAGAAATTACAGATCTGGGGATGTTACACTAGCCATAAATTTGCCTTCATCTGCAGCAAAACTGACAGGTTCCTGTGAAACTAAAGATAATACAAATGGCACCAATAATCATAATTCAATAAATGAGAAGGTAGGCATGGTATTTGAAGAGCAACCCCAGGAGAGACGGAGTAGTCGCCTTGAAAGGCTCAGAAGTCGCAAACCAGGTAAAGAAGAAGCAGATTTTCCTACCAATAAGGATCCTGCTCAAGTTGTGAAGCAATTTTTGGGGCCTTATCTAATGGATGGAACTGGTCCTATAAATTGCAATTACAATACTGATTCTTCTCATAGCGCCGAAGCAGTGGCGGATTCACCTGATACTGAATCTACTGATGTTATTGAATTTCTGCAGAATAGTTCCAACAATTTTGGTGCTTACCACTTGGGCCACTTGCTTCTTGAGAAAATAGCAAGTAAAACTATTTTATGCCATGACAATATTGCAAAATTCTTGGAACTTGAGAAGATGATCAGAAACTGGGGACAAGAAAGAACTCCTGAATGTAGTCTTTTTCTTTCAGAATTGTATTATGATATCGGGTTACAGTCTTTTGAAAAATCAGCAATGGGCAGTTTCACATCAGAGGTATCCTATCATCTTTGTAAGATTATAGAATCTACAGCTCTGGAATATCCATTCCAGATTGCAGGAATGGATGAGAAAAATAACTATGGTGTGGAAAATCTTTCTGAGCATAATAAACAATCTCCAATGGACAACTCTTCTTGGTTGAGAAGTAAGCAATGCTTCTGGATACGATTTTTCTGGTTAAGTGCACACTTATCTATATTGGAAGGTGACAAAGCAAAAGCTCAAAAAGAACTTTCTGTTGTTTATTCGCTTTTTGTGGACAAGGAAAAGATGAACGATTCTCCTGGTTCGGTGTTCCTGCCGCACTGCAAAGTGATTAAAGAACTGACAGCTGATAGGGTCATTCATGAAATGAGTTTGATTGAAGTTGATAGCTTACTGAAAAAGTCGGTCCCTGAGATGCTTGAGAAAGACATGCATGATAAGTGTATTGATCTGCTTGCTCCTCTTCTGTTGTCCGCAAAGGATGTTCATTTTGATGTGTTGCATGACTGGGGTAATGAAGGTAAAGGATTTAATACTATTGAGCTGGCTGCATTGGATGTTTTGATCAAATCATCTGAACTGGCAGAGCCTATGAATGTTGGTGTCTATTTGGATTGTCATAGAAGGAAACTCCAAACACTCGTAACTAGAGCTGGTATGGAGAACAGCTCCCCTGAAGTTGTACTTCCTTTCTATGAAAATCAGTCAAAAGAAAGCCTCTTGAAGCAGTGGGGGCATTTAGCTGCTGAAGAGGTGAAATCAATTTCTCAATCCATATCAAAAGTCAAGAGCATCAACAATCCCGATGAAGTTTCTGTAAGCACTTATCCCAAAATCTCTTACTTCTAATATGAACCTGAGCTTCAGTTTTCAGTCTTGCTTATAATTGTTTGATAAAACTAAAACAGATATCTTGATAATTGATAACAGTGATAGACGGAAAAGGACTCCTATAGCAAGATCTGAAACTGATTGTAATAGTGTAGTATTTCCATGTAGATGGGCAGCTGTTTCTTCATTTTTCTTGTTATATTTAAGCAGTCAAGTTGCTTCCATTCTTTAGGAGTGTCACCATTTTAGTCGGTCTCCGATTTTTCCTGCACTGCATATCATATATATGATGCAGCAGCATGCATCAATACTCAGCAAGTTTCTGGCAGTCCTTGTGTTGAACCATCTATTAACAAGTTTATGTGCATTTGAATTAATGAATGGCCGATTATTGGTGTCTTATAATTAAATTTGTAGTATAATATAAAATTAGAAAAGTAATTGTTTGATTTGATATTTTTGGAGAGAAAGAAGAATCTGAATAGTAAAAACTTGGGTTAAAACCCATAAAAAGAACACAATCATAATGTTTTTCAGGGTTTTATCACTTTGAAATTTTATGTGTGCTGAACAATGTTTCTTTGCATGCTGCGCTTTGAGAAGAACTACTTTGCCTTTGCAAGTAGAGTACTTTTATCATGATAGTCAACTGATGGTTAGAGAATTTATTCCATTCTTGCACGTCTACTTGTTTCTTTTGTAATGAATAAAAGATGTATGCTTGAGGTTTCTCCAATCTGTAGACAGAAGGCAGTGCCGAATGCATTTAATACTTTGTCTTTGATATATTGACCCCAAGCTGCAGGCTTTCTGGATTATATGAAATATTTTACTTACAATGTTTTGACATTATTGCAGAAAAGCATTCCACTGTCCATCATTGGGGATATCCAGTCTTTATTGCTGACGTTTATTTGCAATGTTGCTAATTCATGCCTTGCAAAAAAGTCATCCGAGCTTGGTGTCCAGGAGTCAATTGAGCAAACTGAACAATGCTATTTGGTGGAAGCTGCTATAGCATTCTGCAAGCTACAACACTTGAATTCAAATGTTCCAATAAAATCTCAAGTGAGAATATGATCTGAGATTGTGTGATCTCATGTTTTTCTTCAGTATGTTTAACTGTCATATCATGACCCCATAGTGTTCTCATTCTAACCTTTTTCTATCATATATGTCTCAGGCTGAGTTAGTTGTGGCAGTTCATGATATGCTTGCGGAGTTTGGGATCTGCTGTGCACATGGAAGTGGTGAAGAACAGGAAGGGACATTCTTGAAACTTGCTATTAAGCATCTATTGGCCTTAGATATGAAGCTTAAGTCTAGTATTCAATCCGTAAACAAGGGACAAGATACAAAGTTTGATCACCAGATCTCTAAAGAAGACAACATTAAAATGCCTGAATCTCTTTCCCAGCATGCTCAGCTCACAGCATCTTCCAGTGGATCACAGTCCAATGTGCTTGATGTGGAAGTATCCGATATTGCCAAGGATATAGCCAGTTCAATAGAAAATGCTGCTTTTGAAAATTCAAGTACAGAAAAAATTTCCTCTGATCTAGATAAAGAAGAAATGAAAGCAAATTGTGACAGTAATACTGGTTATGTGCCTGATAGCATGTGCAGCAATGAAGAAATAGAGAACAATCAAAGTATTGGCTCTGGGAATGAGCTATCTGAGGATGAAAGAGAGGAACTTGAGCTCATCATTGATAATGCTTTGGATCAATGTTTCTATTGTTTGTATGGTTTGAATCTGAGATATGACTCATCTTCTGAAGAGGATCTGGTCAAGCATAAAAACACAAGCCAGGGAGACTATCACACTAAGGAGCAATGTGCTGATGTTTTCCAATACATACTCCCATATGCAAAAGCTTCTTCTGTGAGTAAATCTTCAATATACCTCCTCTGCCTCTTCTGTTTTCAAGGCCTTTGATGTATTTCAGATTGATGTTTGATTCTCATTTTATTTTGTTTTCATCCAGAAAACTGGCCTTCACAAGCTTCGAAGGGTTTTAAGAGCCATACGCAAACATTTCCCTCAACCACCTGATGATGTTTTAGCTGGAAATGTAATTGATAAGTTCTTAGATAATCCAGAATTGTGTGAAGATAAGCTTTCTGAGGAGGCTGGATTAGAAGGCTTTCTGGATACTATGATGAAGATTATATATCCGGAGAATGAACCAGTCAAACAGTGCACATCATCACTTGATAGGTATAATTGGGTTGCTTATTCATATTTAGTATTTTAAAAATGAGCAAAAATCTCTGTAGAATTACAGTAAACATTGAAACCAAAATCCTTTGATTGCAGCTCAAATCCATACCAGGAAGTTTATCGCAATTTGTATTACTTCCTTGCACAGTCTGAGGAAATGAGTGCAACCGATAAATGGGCTGGTTTTGTTCTAACTAAAGAAGGGGAGGATTTTGTTGAGAATAATGCAAATCTCTTCAAATATGATTTGTTGTATAACCCCTTGCGAGTTGAAAGTTGGCAAAGGCTTGCAAATCTATTTGACGAGGTACTGCATCGAGGTTCTTGACAATTTTCTTGTCTATCAATGGAAACAGATAGAGATAGAAAGGTAACATGAAACCTTCTTAAATCTCATGACTATTTTTCCTGATTTGTAGGAGGTGGACTTGCTACTGAATGATGGCAGCAAGCAAATCAATGTTCTTGGGTGGAGGAAAAATGCTGCACTTCCTCAGCGAGTTGAGATAAGTCGAAGAAGAAGCAGAAGATGCTTATTGATGACTTTGGCTTTGGCAAAAACAGCAATTCAGCAGGTTTCATTACTTTCTCAGTTGATTCTAAGAGATAGTTTTAACTTTTTTTAGCATGATTTCATTTCATTGTGCAAATGAACAACTAAGATAACAATATGTTTCTTGGGTATTGTTGCTGAAGGTCATAGATTTTTCTGTTTTCTTAGTTTGTCCTCCAATATTAAGATGGCTTCACTCTAATGTTTTGGAAATGTCTTGATGCAACTAGAGCCTTATTTGCCTTCATGTTCGGCTTGTTCATAACTGAAGTACCTGTGCTAGAATTTTAGTTTTTTGGAGAGCTATTAAACTATGTTGAATTATACTTGGCACATTAAAGTATGACTTTGTGGTTTTACTTGTTATTTGCATGCTGTCTTGTTTTCAGGGTGAGATACATGAGTTATTGGCACTGGTGTACTATGATGGTCTTCAGAACGTCGTACCATTTTATGATCAACGATCTGTAGTCCCTTTAAAAGATGCTGCATGGAAGATATTCTGCCATAACTCTATGAATCATTTCAAAAAAGCATTCAAACACAAGTATTGTTCCTCCTCAACACTCTATACCCGCTTAACTTTGCATGGCATATTCAAATTTAGTAATTTGAAACTTAATACCCTGACAGGGAAGATTGGTCTCATGCCTTTTATGTTGGAAAGCTCTGTGAGAAGCTTGGATACTCTCATGATGTATCCTTCTCATATTATGCCCAGGCGATAGCCTTAAATCCATCAGCAGTAGATCCATTCTACCGGATGCATGCCTCAAGGCTGAAGTTACTATGCAAATGTGAGAAGCAAAATGAAGAAGCTTTAAAGGTTACTCATCTGTTTACACTATATATAGTCTGTTATGTCAATATTACTTCTTCCATTCATTATTTTAATGTCCATCTCAAATTTTCCTTTGGAAATCGGAACATATAGGTGATGCTTAAAGTGTGGAAGAATAATTTCTACCTTTTCTATTACTTTGGAAGCCAAAACATATGTTGATACTTCAAATGTGCTTGAATTATGTTAACCTTAGCTAGCTGGTAATTTGTTTTCATTCGTGTAGTCCAGCATCCAAAACTCTGCAGCTGTTTGACAACTGTAAGTCATTGCTTTAAATAACTGCTCTACGTATTCCAGGTCGTTGCAGCACATTCATTTGATGAATCAACCAAAGATACTGTAACAAGTATCTTAAATGGAATTGGTGGTGAAAATTCAGATGCGTTAACACCCATTGAGGTTGGTGCATGCAATAGTGATTCCGATGCTGTTGGCTTGCAAAAATTTGGAAGGGCCTGGAATCTGTTATACAGTGATTGCCTTTCAGCCCTTGAAACTTGTGTTGAAGGAGACCTTAAACATTTCCATAAAGCAAGATACATACTCGCTCAAGGATTTCATAGAAGAGGCGGCCATGGAGATTTGGAGAGAGCAAAGGAGGAACTTTCTTTCTGCTTCAAGTCATCTCGCTCATCCTTTACTATAAACATGTGGGAGATTGACAGTATGGTTAAGAAAGGAAGGTACAGGGTCTAAGTGTATTGCATATTAAATTTGAATCCCTCTTCGCTGCCCTTCCCTTTTGTGTCTGGAGACAAGCTTCTTGAAGAACCCAAATAAGCACCTTAAACATTGGATTTTTTAGAAACAGAAAAATTAGATATTTAAGAAAAAATTTGGGCCACAAAGAGCATGTAGTGCTTCATATTCTCTAGTAAAAATTTAGTGAGGTTTATGTTGACTCAATTTCCTCTTAACAGGTCCCCACAAATTGTGTTTGATTTAGAAGTTTGCTTGTATTTTGTAATATAAAATTATACATTATTTATTGTTTTAATGTTTTCTTATGTTTTTGCAGACGCAAAACACCAGGTCCCTCTGGGAACAGGCGCTCTCTTGAAGTTAACTTAGCAGAAAGTTCACGCAAATTTATAACTTGCATTAGAAAGTACATCTTGTTTTATTTGAAGCTGTTGGAAGATATTGGAGATGTTCCTATTCTTGAGCGGGCTTATACCTCTCTCCGTGCAGATAAACGGGTATTAATGCATTGCACAAAATGATAACAGTGTTACATTTAATCTTCTAGTGTTTATTGATATATGTTCATAACAGTTTGTTATATATGAGGGTGGCAGGAGAACAAGTAAAACATTTCTTGATAAATCAAATAAATTAAAATAAAGCACAAAATGATTGGTGAGAAGGGAATATCGGTTTTCTTTCACTTTTAAGAATCCACACCACAGGTTTGAGTTCAGTATTTGGCATCTTATTTTATCCCATAAGAACAAGATATCATTATTAACATGTTTATTTCTGTTTGTGGTCTGAATGTATGTGAATGCCAGTACAAATTTCCTGGTACTGTCTACTTTATATGTACAAAATAACTCTTTCTCATTTCATTCTTAATTTAAAAATTGTGATGTCTAATCCAGTTTTGAATGCAGTTCATCTTGTGCCTTGAAGACCTCATGCCAGTGGCCCTTGGGAGGTACATTATGACGCTAATCAAGTCCGTCCGTCAAGCTGGTTCTGTCTCCTCTACCACTAGTGACAATGCTGAGCATTTGCTGGAGAAACTGTTCAATTTGTTCTTGGATCAGGTCAACTTGTGGTCCGATATTTGCAACTTGCCCGAGTTCAAAAGCCCAGAATTTACAGAAAGCACCTTGTACGGGTAAGTTTGCACATAAATTTCTCAACATTTGTACAATTCTTGCTTGTATTAAATCTTGCAACTCATGTCCCTTCCTTTGTGAGTTTCTTAGATCGGTATCTTATTACTATCTTCTTCGATCCTGTCCAGATATCTCTATCAATACATACTGCTTCTGGAGAGTAACATTAAGGTAGAAACACTCGAGGTGATCAATGAAAAAATCCGTAAGCGTCTAAAGAATCCAAAACTGTCCAACAGCAACTGCGCCAAGGTGTACCGACATGTTTCAGCTGCCTGGTGTAGATCTCTTGTCATTAATATGGGCCTGATTACGCCATTGCATTCAAGACGCTCGACGGACATTCACGGCTTGAGTTCCTCGGGAGGTTGCCTGGAAACCGAACAGCTGCTTTGCGTTGATCTCCAGTCGGAGGAATTGTGGTGTTCGGCATTTGAGGATCCGAACCATCTCAAGATTCTTGAAACCAAATGGAACCCTTCTTTGTCGAAGATCAAGAATGTGATCGTGAAGAGGGTTTCGGACGAGGATTTGGAAACAGCCACGATGTTGCTTAGATCTGCTTACAATTTCTACAAGGACACGTCCTGTGCGTTACTTCCGTCGGGCATAAACCTCTACATGGTTCCGGCTCAGCTGGCGACAGAAACTTATATTCAGCCGGGCATTGATGGGGTCGACATACTTGATATGAATACTTCGCGGAAGCTTCTATTATGGGCTTACTCCCTTTTGCACGGCCATTGCGCAAATGTCTCGAACGTCATCAAGTATTGTGAAGAGAACATCAAGGTATGTTATTTATTGCTTACATATATATTACTACTTCCGTCCGGCTCTAAGGGCCACATTTACTTTTTATGTGTTAGATTTTTTAATATTAATTATTATATTAAAACGTATTACAAATAAAAGAAAGTGACAAAAATACTTCTTATTAGTGTCTTATAGCATTAGGGGTAACGTTTCTTTGCTATTTATTTTTCGAACTTTACTATTTGTATTATGTCTTTTCCGAGAAAAAAATATATATTTTCTTTATCTCAGGAGATATTACATCGAACTTGATTTAAATTCAAAACTAAAGAAAACGCACTCTACTTTCCTGCATTCGATGTTTCTTTACTTACCAGTTTTGCATTGCAGTCGAAGATGAAAAAGGGAGGCGGATCTGCACCTAGCACCAATGCGCAGAATGTTACAACAGGCGGAGGTAAAGACGGGACAATTAGAACAACAGAGCCGGAAGTTCAGTCAACAGTTGGTACGACTCCATTGGCTGAAATCCATGTTAGCAGCAACAAAGCTGTGCCGGAGACCGAGAGCATACAGAAGGAAGTCTCCGGTTTGGGGGAAAATCAGAGTGCACAGATTCCGGCAGGAGATGCTTTTTTCGACAAGCAGTGAGCGATGATCATGAATGTAAGTGATCTAACCGGATGCTGCGCTGCTCGTAGGCTCCGGTGCAACGATACTCGTGCAGGTATGATTAGTGTTGAATATCTCCATCTCTATCTCTATCTCTATCAATTGGTCCATAGAAAGCTTTTAAGTAGGGATGGGTGTTGATGAAAATGCTATAGAGAAATTAATGTTCTACAGAATGAAGAATGTTATGTTTGTTGGACTTTGGTGGCTATACATAATCTATACATTTGTACTTTTATAGTAGGTTAAAAATAATAATATTTTATTATTAAATAGGGTGTGTAGAACTATTTTAACTAGGGGGGTGTTTATTCAGGGGGATTTTAACTAGGGGGTGTTTATTAAGGGGGTTTTAATTTTTATTTGAATTTTAAAGTGAGTTTGAATTTATATGTTTTAAGTTTGGGTTGAGTTTAGAGAGTTTTAAATGTATATTGATTTGATGGCAATGAATATAATAATATAAATGTGTATTAATTTATATAATTTGATTATAAATTTATAATATACTTATATATATATAAATATTTCAAAATTTTTATTTTTTTGTATTATAAAAAAGTTTATTCTCTAATTATATATATTGTATATATTTTATTAAATTATAATTATTGTAATTTTTTTTATATTTATATAAAAGAAATTATTAAAAAAAAATAAAAAAATGAAAAGAGTAAGTATCTGTCCTGAAACCTCTCCAATCCAGTTTTGGGGTTTTGGGCTTTGGATTGGAGAAACACACCCCTATAAAGTGTCACATGTACTTTATGTATAAAATAATAGTCCCTCCATTCCCTTTTGTTTTTTTTTTTAAAAAATTATACATTATAATTTTATTTTAAAAATTTTATTCATAATTTTTTTTAATTTTAATTATATTAATCAGTTATTTTGATCTATAATTATTTTTATTATATGTAATTATTTTTATTAATATATTTTTAATTATTTATTAATTATACCTCTCCTATATTATATTAAAAATTAAATTTATATTTCAAAATATTATATTAATTTTTATTTAATCACATTAAATAATTATTTAAATTTAAAATCACCCATAAGTACTTAATCCCTCATGTCGGAAGTGATATATACATATGTTAACAAAACCAAATTTACAATATATAACTAACATGTAAGACAATAGATGTCTCAACAAGCATATGGTATGTATAATTAACTCATCAGCATCATAATCAATCTGAAATGTATGATATCCTTTTAAAAAAGAATCATTCAAAACATTTATTATATCCCCTGAATTTTCTATTTACAATGCACTTCTACCAGTAATTTTTAATAAAACCTTTACTATATATATATATCCAAAAGAAGCATTGTTATAATACAGAGTTGATGACATAAGCAGCTCATTACATACTCTACCAAAAGAAGAAAGATATTGGGCAGCAATTATTGGTAATGAAAAGTAAGATACATAATAAACTAACAGTAAGACTAGAATATGTATGTATCCATATGGGAATATCCCAATTGATATTTACATCCAAAAAGGATTTTACTGCACAACAAAATGCTACAAAACAAAGAAAGTTATGCCTCAGCTAAATAAATCTATGCTCTGCTCTCTGATCTGATCTGATCTGATCTGAACCCCCTTTTCAACCAATTTCTTTTTCTACTTCATTCTATTTTCTAAAAGGATTGTCATACCATACCATACCATACCATACCATACCATAAACACGGTTTTATGCGAAGAAACCCACAGAACAAAAAATGATGGGCGGGCGGAAATGGTTGTTCGGTGAATGTTATGACTGCCAAAACAAGTCAAAGTCGCTACTATACAGTGAACGATCCTGAATTTCCAAATTTGCTACGTGCAAGTTTATGAGCTTCGATTGGATGCATTTACACAAAACAAGTGCTAAAGGAAAAATCCACCACTCATTTTCATCCCTGCAAAAAAGAGGAAGTATATAAGGACAAGAAAGACAATATCCAAAAAACCACAGAAAAAGAAACCAATAGCAAAAACACACATAACTAAATCAAATATGTTTAGGTTTAGCTACACTTACATATTCCATGGCTGAAAATTCGGAAGTCCTTTGCTTGGTTGAGTGCGAGAGTGAACATAACCACAAATGAATGCAACAACCTGATGTATAGCAAGAAGGAAAATAAATAAATAAATAACAATTAAGGTAGTGTAAGAGAAGCTTAAGAAATCAGTCTAATAAAATTAACAAAATATTCATGTGAGTTTTTAGACTTGATTAGCAGAAAACAGGAAATAAAAGTTATCGAACATTAGTTTAAATAACCATATAACTAAGGTAAACACGTGGAAGAACATAAGCTACTTACAATATTTATCAAAGACGTAATGTTCCACAAAGCATATATACGAGCAAGGCCTGCTGACCGCCTAGGTCCATGACTGAATAAAGCATTGATTCCAGCAGGAAAGGGAAGTAAAATCCCCAGAGGTATAATGAACAACACAAGAAAGACATCTACCAATGAAATCGAATACAATTGTAGCAACGTGAGCAATACTAGGCTAAAATCTCCTAGAAGCATGATAGAGATAATCAAGCCAACAAGATCCTGAAAGAAAAAATAGAATGCATCTCAGGAAGGGTAATACCAAACATGTAAATTATATTGTCCAAAAGAGATTGTTATGGAGCACATCTAAAAGGGAAATTTCTAAATGGATTGAGTTATGATTTCGATAAGAGAGTGAGAGAAAGTAATTTGGGATAGTCATATACCTGGTGGCCCACAGGCTTAGTGTTGTGAATTAGAAAAGACAAGACAAAGGTTATGTCTCTTTTCTCCCGAAGCACCTTCAAATTGTTGACATTTATAACCAGACCATAGGTTTTCCTCCGTGGATTGCCCTGAGGACTTCTCCATGTTTGATCCCGGTCACTCTTATAGAGAATCTCATCTGTTCGATAGATGCTTGCTGTACTGCTTCAAAAATAAATGCATCAACAAACAAGTTCAGAGTCCCGGAATGGTCGAAATCAGTTCGTATGCAGAACTAACAAGCAGACAACATTGTATAATAATGCAACCTTCACCAACTTCAATACAGAATTCAATATCCATGAATGACAAAGGTGTCTATAAATCAATAATGGAAATGTCATTCAAAGAAACTCATAGCAAATATAACCATTAATATTGAGTGCTCATGCATCAGCAATATTCAACAAGGCAAAAGGCATGTCAATATATTTCAGCTTCAACTCCAGAAAAGACGCATACCTTGACCGCTGATGATTTTCAGGTTCTCTATCAGGTAATGGTAAATCAACATAGTCATCTTCTTCTATAGCATCACGTATCACAAGTCCGTAATGACAGTGACCATCAGGGATAGCTTGAAACAGAGCAAGATTCACATGCACACCATAGACCCTCATGGCAGGATTCGCAACTGTTTCAAGCCACAGAAGAATGGGCCGAAACTTCTTTCTGAGGCAGCCCCTTGTTACCAGCCGTAGCTGAGCATTCAAGCCAGCTACAAAGCGATACCATGTCGATGGTGGCACTGACTGAACCAAAGGTAAACCAGGTAAAATGATAATTTACCAAGAATGTAAAAACATTTCTTGGTTAAAGCAAAATAAAAAATAAAAAATCTCTCCAGTCCATTGCATTAACAACAAACCTGACTCATGAGGCTAGTGATGATATTGTCGTTGTGTAGAGAGAAAGGAGTGAGGTAACTTCCATCGCCACCAAACAACAGAGTCATTGGAAATCTTTGGTGGAGGCGAGGAGGAAGATCATTTCTCTTTTCATCACCACCAAGGAAAAAGTCAACATATGCCAGCATCAAATCTGGGGTTGCAGCAACCTACAGTTATAGAAGTTAAGTCATATCTTGCAGTTCATTTTTCTAAGGCAAACCAAATGGTGGTTTGAGACTGTATGGACATGGAGATGCTGAGAGATGAAACATAAATATAAGAAGAAAACTTCAATAGTAGTTTATGCATGTTATGTGACATGTAATTAGGCAGCTTTATGTAAAGAAGCCGTAACAATATGTGGGAAAGGGCAAAAAGAATATATATAAGAAAAAAGTAAGCCCTAGTCGAGTCTGTTTTGTAAGGGCCAGTTGGTTCAAACATAACACTCTATAGCATAGATAAAGGGAGCCAATTTAGAAACTAAGTCATTGTTGAAAAGACAAAATCATGTGTCTCTTTAAAGACTTATCTCACAAGTTAATAACATAGATAATAGTTCATGAGAATCAAACCATTCAAAAAGACACAAAAAGGTCAATGCAGAAAAATATTTTTGAAGAGCTAACCTTCAGCCCTTCATAAAGAGCACGAGAGCGGCACGACCGCAAGCAAGCATGGTCATATTCAGATCGGACAAATTCTCGTATTTTCTGTAACTTCAATCTCCTCCGCCATTGTTGCCATGACCAAGCAAAAGGGTAGGCGAGAATACAAAGAATGCTGTGCACTGATCCTTCCCACCACTGATATGCAGCAAGTGCATTGATCTCGTCCACAAATGTATTAAATGCACCCTCATAACTGCCATTTGGCATATATATATATATATACACAGTTTTCAAGCTCATGTAGAAGTTCAAATCCACACATCTAAACTTCTGAATTTTTTAGTAGAATAGCATAACACGAGAAAAACTTACACTATTTCTTTCACTTGTTCAGGAGGTGTATGAGGAAGGTGCCAAGGTTCACTAAATGTGTTTGGGCCCACAAAGTACATCCGATGTACATGACTTTGAGACTCCTCTACTCTGTTAGTTTCCAGTACCTGATTTGTAGGCAAGCGAGCTTATCTTTTTCAACCACTTAACGATTACTAGAAAAAGAATGATATTGCAGCCTTATTTTCCACAATTTGACCTTCACAATATGAGACTCTATACCTCATTAAGAGATTCCAGAAAAGGGAATGAATGATCTATTTGAGAACCTTGTTGTGTAGGAGCTGGTCCTGGTAACTCATCAACCCCAATGAACTTCATCCGTGCAACACTAAGAACCAATGCCAATAAAATGAGAAGACCCAAAAGCAAGAGTCCAAACAACCATGGTCCTCCAAAAGTATACACCAACTCTTCAAGAGCAGTATAACAATGTGGCATGTGATATCGCTCGGAAATACACTTATAAGGACAAGGTGTTTCAGTGATACCACCTGTCAATACAGAAAGGATATTTGATTAAGCCAGTAAATTAGGCAAATATGGTGATATACGTGGAACCTGGGAACTCGATGAACAACTCCCAACTTGGATATCTGATACCACTACACTAACATAAGCAACCAAGCAAAGTTTCGTTAAATGATTAGGGTGGATTGATTATTTATTTATTCTAGTCATATATTTACGTAAGACCCATAATTAAATTAAAACCATTATTAACATTCTAATTTATGAGATTATCTTATCATATTGATGAGTGAGTTCAATTAAACACATAAATTAGAGCTAGCTGATAAAAGAAAAACATGCCTTGTACTATAGCAACGCTAAAAGTACAAGTTTGTAATTAAACAAAAAAAGAAATACATGATAAAAAATTTGACTGACAACACTCAATAAATAAGAAACCCTTCAAGATACCTCGGACACGTGTATGAACTGCACGACTAGGAAGCTCATCACTTGGGCATTGAAAGCAGAGGGAGCTATCAGATCCAGTGACATTTTTATAAGTACCAACTGGACATTCCTGCATAAATCAGCAAGAACGTCACCACCTACTGTCCTGAAGTTCCATGTGAAAACAATTTTTATGTAGTAAAACAAATAAATGAAGCAAATGTTTTACATTACTGTCTACTACACACTACTTTTAGAAGCAACTGAACCAATATACACAATTTCCACTTCTTCAACTCCATATAAATGAAAAATGAGGTCAAGTACGTGTTGTTAAACAGTACATATTTACAATCTATATTCAATGAGTCACTACTTAGTATTTCTTTCAAACTTACGTAATAAAAACCCCGCTTGACAATACAAAAAGCATAGACATCACCAAAAATAAGAAGTCAGAAACAAAGGCAACTCAAATATGACCAAATAAAAATGATAATGACCTTGCAGAATATTCCATAGAGCCCCTTTGGGCAAGCTCTTCCACTGATTGTTCCATTTTCACCTATGTATCCTTGGGTGCCACCTAATCCACCCCTATGGTGAAGGCAAACAATCAAATATCAACAAAAAGTTAAATAAAACAATAAACATAGAAGACATGTGTTGAGATATATTTTAGATCAACATTTTAGTTAATACTATTAATACTTGATTATTGCTCCATTTGTCCCACCTTTTGTGTCTTATTTACCGTAGATACATGAATTAGGTAAAATATAATTAATAAATAATTATAAATTAATAGATAACTAAATAGTATAATTAAGATTAAAGAAATTATAGATTATAAAATTTAAGATGAGATTAAAATGTATAATCATATTCCCTAAAAATAAAATGACAAATAAGGTGGAACGGACGAAAATAGAAATAGTAGATAAAATAAGTGGAGACGAAGGGAGTATTATTTAGGCATATCAATTAGATTAAGTTGTTATTATTTGATTCTATACTTTTTGCACTATGCCTATAAATAAAACCCTAATTTCATTACTAATATAAAACTCAAATTTCTCCCAAATGTAACATGGTATCTCAGCCCGTTCTCTCTGGGAACATCCCTATACCCCTGGAATGTACCGGAGACCCTCAACCACCACTGTTGCCACTCCAATCCTCGTCTCTTTATTGTTCTGGTGACATCTTCCTTGGCATATTTTCAATTCATCTGTCAAAATTTGTTTAAGATTTTGATCAGATTTTTGTTCGGTCTTCGATCATATGTCCATAATTCTTGCATCAGGGTTTAACACCGCCACTACGACAAAGAATCGCTGGCACCACCAACATGGGCACCGTAACAGACGATCAATTTGAATGGTTTAAAATTGATATTCGATTATGAAGTCTGTCCATATATAGACTCTGCTCCAGTCTCTGTTACAAAACTCAAGCAAACTTCTACGAAACCACCTCAAGATTGAAGTGGGTATTAGATATTATTAGATTATGTAAATGACTGTTTCACCTAAAAGTTTAAACTTGTAGAAATACGTATCGGGTGTGTTTGTTTGAGAGTTTGGATTTTGAGTCGAGATTTGAATAGTAAAAATTATAAATTTGAATAGTTGTAGGATGTGATATAAATAGGTGTTGATTTGATGTTTTGAATGTAAAATTGATTTTTAGTATTAATATAAAAAAATGAAAAATAGGTGTTTGATTTGATGTTTTTGGGGGAAAAAAATGGGATGAATAGTGGATTTAAAATCCAATCCCCCAAACAAACACACCCATCATTTATTTATATTGTACGGGAGTCAATCAACATGCCCCTTCACGTATAAGGGGATATACACTACCATGTGAATCTTACACGTGGACGACAACGAATGAGGGCGAGGGCAGTGAGACTCGAACAGGGGACTCCCCGGCTCTGATACCAAGTGAATGTCAAACTCAATTCTATTTTATTTCACTTGAACATGATTACGTAAATAAACACTAAAATATAAACCACATTTATCTAAAATATCAGAAAGTCCCCTACACTATTCTAAATACAAAATTAACTTATATACAATATATTTAACATATATGTTTTTGATAAATATTTTAGTTAATGATATTTAGATCTAGTGGATATTATTTACTCATATCTACGAGAATAGATTGTTTTCATTTGAGATTATCTCTTTTGAATTCTGCATATATATATGCTCTAATTTCATTACTAATGAATAACTCAAAACTTTTCACATATGTAACACAATGCAATTCCAAAATGCTCTTGCCTGAATACATGGCTTTATCCCTCGGGAAAAAAAAAAAATCCCCTAAATCACCTTCAATATATTCCCAAACATGCAAATGAAGTTACGTTTAGTGCATCGCTAGGGAAAACATTAATCTATTAGTTTGGTTATAGCTTTCAGCTATCTATCGGATCTATCTAATTTGTACCTTAAACTTGTCTCCTCATCAATAAGCCAATTTACTCCCTGAAAAAGATATATAAGGTCATACTAATCAGCAGAAAAGGCTAAAGGAAAAGCTGACAGTGTTGTAGAGGGCCCCCAAAATTGGGTAGTGAAAAATTAGTATGGATGGATAAGTGTTTGGCCAAATAGGGCCAGCATACATGGCCATGGCCATCTCCTTTACTTTAGGTTGAAACACATCAGAATGGCATAAACATTGAAGAAATCTTTTCCGTTGAAGAAATCCTATGAAGCATCGTCAGTACCCCCATTCGGACCTATTCTCATATTCGTGTGAAGTTCAACTTTAAAGATGCCCTCAACTGAATTCACGGGGCTCCACCCCCTTGGAAGGTTAACTCAAAAATAAATAAACTCCACTATCTTATCTTGAGATGCCCCTCTCATCTCCTTTGAGCACATCCTCTGATCCGAAAATGGGATGGCAAGACGCTTTGCAAAGCATTTGAGGGATCGCCGGTTTTTCAATTTGGCTGTGAGTAGAACTAAACTCCCCAACATTTCTCCCTAGCTTGGTTCTCTCTATGTACTGCACAATTTCAATATAAATAAAATCTCCTAAGCAAGATACTGGTTTAGCAATTTTCATTGCAGCAACAACCCACTTCATCAGTTGTATCTTGTACCTCACCACACTTCTCCAAATAACAATTATCACAACAAACATTAAGACACCGAATTAGATATGTAGAAATCTGAAATTATCAAGGAAGGCTGATATGCAGCAGGAAGTATCAGAACTAACCTTGTTTGAATGCTTCCATTCAGTGTAGCTATTGGCCAATACACATCCCCCGTGGGAATGTCTGACCAATGAAAATGAATCCTTCCTCCACCTCCTCCACCGCCACCAATAGGGCTACCTTGGCCTCCAACGCTTGATAAGTTTCCAGATTCACCCATTGATAAAAAGCGCAAAAATAGCAAGATAGTACCACCTGATCCACCTCCAGGGCCCATGGTCACATTATCAACAGAGGATTTAATCTTCAGGAGACTCCCTCTAAAGCTATCCCCATCTGCTCTAACAGAACCTTTAACAGATAAAGTTACCAGCGGATGATCCAATGAACCCATCACTGCATGGAGAGGATTAAGTTTATTAGGGTGGCAACATAAAGTGTGTATATATATATATATATGGATGGTGTGTGTACACAGTAGGAGAAACGTCAAATTATGATATACATGAACTCAAGAAGTTGATGAGACTATGAAATAAGTATTGTCTGTGTCCTAATCATAATCATAATCATAATTCATAACAACAACAATAATAATAAAACTGGGTCAGCAGCATACATTATTTGGTGCCAAAATATCCATGTACGTTGAAGCTAATTTGAGATAATATCTAAAACTACAGCACGGTAAGCTTGTTTGGCTACCCAATACTAAACTGTTCCTGATTTTATAACTTGTTTAAATCGCAACAGAATAAGTATGTTCATAATATCATATGATGGGGGAATGGAGCACAAAGAGAAATACAAGAATAAAAGTTAACATTCAAGAATCCAAAAAAATAAAAAGACAAGTCAGTCACTCACACTCCCATTACCTCAGCAAAAAGCACATCCTTACTCAAGAGTTCACACCACAAACTAGAAAATTAAAGAGTAGCAGGGTGAAAAAGCAAGCATTTGCATGAAATCAAATTAAACATGGAACTGCTAGAATAAATAAAATTACTCAACAACATAATTAATCAACGTATAAACTTCAGCTCACCCAGAACACCACCACCAGCAGTTGATTCAGCCAAGCTATCATTACCGCTGCCACTACCCAATTCACAAGGTAAATTAGCATCTCCATATGATATCCCACCCTCAATGCAGCTTTCATTATAACAGCCCATTCCACCTCTACCACCGTGACCGCCACCACTGCCAAGACCATTACTCAATATTACTCCTTGACCAACACCACCATGACAGCCTGCATAGAAATAAATATAGGCTGTTAAAGACAATGCCAATGAATCACATTTGACTCCAAGGCCAGAAGTGAAACAAAGAATTAATACCTAAGCAAAGAAACTTACCCATTCCAGATGTGCTTATAACTCCAGATGTTTGTACATTGATAGTTCTGGCTCTATGAAAATGAACCACTGAGCCTTCAACCAAACCCTCCACAAGGATGTCCTCCACCCGACAGATCTGCATAACAATACCAAATATTGAAAAACCTTATGTGAACAGCATAACTACATACTCCTAGCAAGAGAGAAACAACTTATACCAAATGACAACCATAACAGAACAATAAATAATTGGAAAGTCAAATGCTCTTGGTTGGAGGATCCTGGCCTTTTGCCCATATGGAGATTGAACATCAACATAAACAAGCTCCACCTGTCTATGGGAAAATTACCCTTCAACACTTTTCAATAATTCCCCAAGTTCTAACAAGACAGCGGACTATTTTGCATAGAGAGCTACTAAAGGTGACGAGTTATCTGTCTCGTCGTAATTAGTTTTCTATTATTTCCTTTGGCCCTAGCTATATGTATCTCTCTTTCCTAAATAAAATAAATGATCTCCTTAAAAAAAAAAAAAAGGCAACAGAGCAATAAGAACTCAATGTTATGTTAACGGCAAAACGAGTACCTGTAGGGTAAAGGAGAGAGAAGAATTCACGTTACAATCTTCAGGTGGGTGAAGCAGTTCAGCAGGACAATCTTGTGAACCACAATAAAGTTTTGGGGTACTAACAAGAAACAAAAATTAATTTACAGCACTATGAATAGCATGCATCTGATGATACTGAACAGAATAGGGAACTTACACTGCATCATTAGAGGAATTCCTTAGAGGACCACGGAGAATAGAACCAGGTCCAATCTTCATCAGAACAAGAAGAATAGGCAGAGAAACAAAATTAGCAATCATGAGAAATGTCTTGTGACATTGGGATGTGTGGAAGTAAACCTCAATGCTACTCCACATGCTTAAATATATCAAAATAACAAGCAGCTTTAAGGGGATTAGGAGAAGCTCAAACGCAACATGCTTTCACCAGAATAGTTTATATAATTGTATTAATTATAATATTAGTGTAAGCACACTGGTATAAAATGTAAATGTTTAAAAAACTACTCAACACGAATCAGAGCACTATCTACCATGAAAGTTATATCAAACTGAATCTAGATCAGAAAAAGTAGAGCGCGCCCAATAATGGATCAGTGACGAAGTCAAACCAATTGCATACCACAACTACAGGCCCTAAAAATAAGGATAAAGAAACTCAGCAACTAAGCTGCATGAAGTGTGCTTGGTTGGCATCTCAAGTTAAGTTGCACTATGCTTCCAACTTCTTTTCCATATATTAAGTCATATGGGACCCACTTAAAATCTTATATTTCTATTTCTCTCATTAATATTTTATATATTCGAAACTATTCATTTTTTATAAAAAAAAAGGCAAATTTCAACCTTTACTTTTGACATATTCTTTTCCTGAAAAAACCAGTTGACAGGATACAGGAAAGCTTCATAGTAAAAGTTTTCCCGGTGTCGATGAAGATAAAAAGGTTAAAATGAAGCAGGTTAGAACGGGCAAGAAAAGAAAATTTTTCCAGTGTTTATGAAGATTAAAAGCAAAGTGGAGGTCAATGTTCAAGTTCAAAAGTCTGCCCGACTCTAAAGGAGGTGTAATCTGTTAGACCAAATTCCCGCCAAGTGTGGATATGATTGTTACAAAAAAATGAAATAACCAAAGCTGCTGGAATTAAATATAAATACTAAAATAAAGGCTCCATATTTAGATCAAAGCTCAGCATAAAAAATATAAAATAAAATAAAAATAAAAAACAGTAAAAGGAAACAAAACTGCAAACGGTAGGCAACAAAATGACTTATCTAGCTTGATGCATTGCAAATAGGGAAACATTGCTGTCAAACATAGATTTTTGCTTACATTGATGCCATAAAATAATGATAAAACCAGGCGTTGTGCTTCGATACAGTCTCCAGGGCCAGATAAATTTAATGAACCTTGTCCATGAACTCCCAAGTTGGCATTAGAATGAATGACTGATTTTTCCTGGTGAAATAAATTGAAAAAGCAAGTAATGCATGCATGCCAATAACACAATGCCAGAGGGTAACTAATGGTGAACTTACCCTTAGCACTATAAGATTACTAGCTTCAAGTGAGGATGTATCAACATTTTTATCTCCACCGCCATCTATGAACATGCTTGAGTTCCACATTAAAAACATCTTAACAGTCATGCGAAGAGCACCAAAAACCTAAAAATAAATGGGAAAGAAATACAAGTTTATAAAACTAACTTCATAGAAGCATTAAATAAAGAATAAGTACACGTAAGGCTCAATCCCATCGAAACATCAGATAAAAATCAGGTAATCACAAAGTGGTCTTCAAAAGATGGTTGCAGAAGAAAGCACAAGAAAAAAATGTCAATCGATTCATATAATCTTCCATGAGTTTGTATAATGAATTTGCTTACTCTAATTTCAGAATCACTCATCAACAACTCTTCTGCAACTAGCTCAAACTCTGACATTGAATAATGAGCAAGCCCAAAACTCAATAGTGCTCCGGACAATAGGCTGATTTGTCCTTGGACCTAGATGGAAAACAACACAAAATTAGATTCCTGATATGTAATGTTTGAGACCCTATGTAACAGTAGCTCAAAGGCCACAATAGCAGGTAGCAAAATAGTTTAGAAAGATCACAGCATCAAAAAATAGATATATCATAAATACAAAATGAATAAATAGAAAAACAAAAAACGCTTGAAACGTAAACTGCCAACAGCTAATAATAAAGGTTGCAGATGCTGAAGAACTTTAATTTCACGGACCTGGACACGACTCCACAACAAAGGTACAGCTGCCTTTGCATCATTCAGAATATAAACATTTGTTAAAAATGGTTGAGGGAATTCCATGAAGAGTGTTTCCGTGTATGTTGTCTTATGATCATTGTTGACAGTAAGGCTGCGAGGCACATAATCATAAAACGTTCCAGCAGCACCAGCATTTTCAGGGCAACCAAGACTGCTGCCACCTACAATATAAGACATTGACAGGCGCTTAACTGGCTTAATCATCAGGCTAATAGAAAGACAATATGGTACTGATGTTATTTATTGTTATGCATTAGACCACTAGCGTAAACATTGGGGGCAAGGAACAACAATTTGCTGAGGTGAGTAAAGCAGAGACATGGAAAAAATCCAAGTGTTGAACTCTTATAAATCACTAGTTAATAGTTAAACTGTTCTATACACAAGTAGTAAAGTTTCCAATCAAACAATTTCTCATATTAGTTGGCAATAGAACTAATAATCAGGATATCTTGCTTTGCCTAGTTAGAAAAAACACATTGAAGCTGATTCATCATAAGACATTAAGGTTGCGTTTGTTTGTGAATTAGGTATCTTGGATTAAGATTTATTTTAATAGAAAATAAATCTAGATGGGGTGATTGGATGGAAAATGAGTGCTAGATATGATTTTCAGGGGGGATATTTTACTGTATGTTGCATAATGTGAAACAAGTTCGAAGACACAAATCCTAAATCATTAGGCAAGGGAATCATTTAATAAATACTCAATAGTCAATACAATAATAAGAGCATCAAGTTAGAAATAGGAGTATGCCTTGCCATCAAAATCAAATTGTTTGAACTTCAAATTTGACACATATCAAAAACTTGAGCCTTCAAATCCAATCAAATTCGAATTCTCTTTCATAAAAGCTGAATTCGATCTCGGAATTAGGAATATCAAATTCAATGGGTGTGTGTTTGTTTGGTTGTGATTTCAATTAATCACCACTATTCACATCGCACGGTTCCCAATAAAAATACATATTTCCTCTCATAAAACATCACATCAAAATACCATTCAAACATAAACCCAATCAAAGCCCCATTTCAAATCAATTTCAAACCACAACCAAACAAACCCTTAGGGTGTGTTTGTTTGGGGGAGTGGATTGTGGTTTGGGACTTGAATAGTAAAAATTTTGAATTTGAATAGTTATATGATGTGATATAAATAGATATTGATGTGATATTTTGAATAAAAAATTAATTTCAAGTATAATATTCCCTCCCTCCCAACTCAAAGTACTTTTTATTACAATTTTCTTCTATTCCACTCAAAAGTATCCCTTTCTAATTTTAGTGAAAATAATAATACATTAATTCCAAAATACTCATAACTTTTACTTAGATTACAAATATACCATTACACATACAATTATTTTATACATAAAGTTAACGGGTAAAATTGTCAAAATGTCTTGCACACTTGACTGATAAAACACCATTATTTCTTAATCTACTACAAAACCCCAAATGGGTACATTTATCCAGGACCGGGGAGTTTAAAAAGTGAAAAATAGATATTTGATTTGATATTTTTGGGGAAAATAATTTTTATGAATAGTAAAAATGTTATAAACAAACACACCCTTAAAGTTCGGTTTTATCTTTTTGTTTTGGATTTTTGTTTGAATAGTGTTTGGGACGTGATGTTTATGTGAAGAAATAGTATATTTATATAGAGAATGACAAAGGTTACACGGTAGAATAACATAAATCAAGACTCCAAAAGAACATGGCCGACATTCAGAAAAATATAATTTTGTGGTCAAATTTCAAACTAAATTGTGAAGTAGGCCAAATTGACTTACTTTAATATCAATTGTGAATTAGATATAAATGAAGGGTGTGTTTGTTTAATGTTTTAGTTTGAAGTATTTTTTTACATGAAGTATGAAAATTATATCGATAATATAAAAAATAATATTGTGTTGAATTTTGACTTTTGTGGGAGAATAAAATATATATATATTAGAAATCGTATCAGAATTGGGTTGGGCAAACAATCCCTAATATTTTACATTAATATAAGGTTGTGTTCCTTTGGCACAAAATTTCCGAAACTCATTGTTCTGCTATTGTTTGGCGAAAATGGGGCTTCAAACTCCCCCTACGTTGACAACCTCTGACCCTACCCATTTGCCTACTTTGCTTGTCTCATTTATCTTTGATCCAGCTACCCTAAACTAAAATAAACATCAGCAAACCTTTCCTCGTCACAGCCGAGAACACACATCAACGTACCGGTGGAATGGGTTAGTGATTCCGGCGAAAGACCCGCGTCGCCAGCCTGAGTTGCGGCTGTTCCAGTGAGACCAAAGCTAACTCCAGTAAGAGTCGCACTACAGCAGAGCTTCTAAAGAGGATGGAGGAAGGAAGGGGAATCAGGAAGAAGACGAAGAAATTAGAGAAGAATATGATGGATGAAGCAAGATGAAAGCGCTGTTGTCATGGCGTCGCCATGGCACCCGCTTTCTTGAAAGCGCCAGGACTCATCGCCTCGCCTCATTAGACAAAGGGGCGTTGAAATGCAACGGCGACACTATGGTGACCCCTTAGTGATGCCATGGCGACGCCATAGCACTGTTCTGGCTAGCCCAGAACACTGTGAGTCTTCAGGTTAGCCTAGGCCCCCAAACCACACCTACCTTAGCCCCTACACCTTTGAACTCGATCGAACCCAAATTAATCATTCTTTCTCTGCCCCTGCTCTCTTTGATCTCCTCCTCTCTTTTCCCTAATCTCTCTGGTCTGCAGAGGATGCGTCTTCATCTCATTCATCTCACCGCTACATCCCATTAGTGTTTTTATTCACACTTCAAATATTTTTAAACTTCTAATCTAAAATTAGTGGCTCCAACCCCACTACCTCCAATTTAATAGTGCTATTTTTTTTATCCTATTATGTAATACTTATAAAATATCATATATATGTATATGTAAATTTTTATGCACAACGCCGTGTTCGCCATTTTGTCGCCATGGCGGTCCACCTGTGCCACGCCGCAAAAGGGCGCCGTGACAACCTTGGACAAAAGAAAACCGGGAAGAAGAACAAATTAGAAAAGAAAAAGAAAGAAGGGTGGAATATTATTATTAATAATAATAATCAAATTTATCTAATCTAACACACTATTACTACCTGTCAATTCAATACCCCCATCAAAATCCCTCAAACCCAAAGAAAACATATTAACCCAAAGGAATACATCTTCACAAAACTCTGCAAAAATTCAAATCTAAACTAAACCAAAACAAAATCTTCCCAAACTTTTCCCAAAGGAACGCACCCTAAAGGTTCGGTTTGTTTTTTATTTGAAATTGAAGTTTTGATTTGAGTTTTGATTTAAATAGTATTTTGATGTGGATATTCTGTGAGAGGAAATAATGTATTTTTATTGGGAACCTTACGGGCTGAATAGTGTTGAAATAGGTTTGAAATCATAACCAAACACATCCTAGACCATATAATTAAAAGTCCAAATGTTTTCTTGACATTAACCTAGGGGTGTGTTTGTTTGAAGGATTAGGGGGATTTACATTATTCATACAAAAATTTCCCCTCAAAAATATCAAATCAAACACCTATTTTTTATTTTTATATTATACCAAAAATTAATTTTACATTCAAAACATTACATCAATACATATTTATACCCATCATACAATTATTCCAATTCAAATTTTTTACTATTCAAATCTCAATCCAAAATCCAAACCCTCAAACAAACACACCCCTAATATCTTAGAAAATGAGAAACAATCAATTAATGCCGCTCTAATGGAAAATCCGAATATCAAGCAATGAGAAGGGCAATTTGTGAGCTAATTAAGGAGCCGAGTTGCCACCGTTATAATTCTCTTTTCTTCTCTTATTTTTTTTTTTGTGTTCGTTCAATCTTCTTTTAGTTCACCTCTTGTTCTCTATTATGTTTCTTTTCTTTGTTTCCTGACCTCTTCTTCGCCGCCGCTGGCACTTCCGTCACAACTTTTTTCAAATTTTATGTTTTTCTTTTTTTTTTTTTTTCAAGATTTCAAGTAGATGGGTCTTCATCAAGTCTAGTGACGTAAAGTTGGGTTTGAAAATTTCAAGGTTGATTCAGGTATTCAATATTTTTTTAATCGGGTTAGGTCTTAGGTCTTAGGTCTTACTATACTCGATCTATAGCCATCCCTAGTAATATTAGTAATTAGCAATTAAAATGCCCAAGTTTATTGGTCAATTAGTATGCTAGATTAGTGCCTAGAATTGGTGACTATTTTTTTGGAGTTTGGTTTCTAGTTTTTCACTAAACAATCATTGCAATTCCCTATAAAAATAGGGTATTTTCCCTCACAAAACATAACACCCCAAACAACTATTCAAACCAAAAAAAAAAAAAACAAACTCCAAATGAACACAGCCAATAGTGTATTTGCATTAATTATGTGAGTTGAAACTTTGGAATTTAGATATTCGGAAACTCTAAAATTTCCTAACTTGCACACTCAATCTTCAAAAGACTACCGTATATTCAGGAAAGGGGTAAGAGATGTAGATCTCAAGAATCTATTTCTCCAAAGCATCATTCTAGCTATTCAAGCATTATAGACGGCATTCCCTCAGATAGTTTCAACCTCCAAGATGTCACACCAACTTTGTTAGCATGGTAAGTTGGTTCAAACTAATCAAAAAAATTAAGGTTTGTTTACTTGCGTAATGTGATTTTAGTTTGTGTTTATTCCATGATTTTAAAGTGAAATATTTGTTAAATGTAATATTTCAAATAAAAAGTAAGTTGAATGTGATATTTTTAAAAGAAAATTGGGCAATTGAATAGTAAAAAACAAGTAGGAAAGGAAAAAGTAAGCAAACCCTAAGGCTTATTCTCTTTAACATTTTTCATCAATTTTTTTACTTGCAACTTCATAGTTCCTAGTAAAGATTTTTCATACGAAATATTACACCCAACAACCATCTCACCCAAAAACAAAACACAAACACACAAATAGTGCACGAAGTGAGCAAACCTAAGTCATTGTAGTTTTACAGAAAAATGATACTAACACATTCTTGTGTTTAAACATGGCATCATACTTAAATTTTAAATAATACTCCCTCTGTCCCATATCTATATATTCATTTGTTTTTTGCACGGAGTTTTAGAAATATTAGTATTATATTGGGATAAAGTAGAAATAAAGGTAAAAAGACTAAATTAACCCTATTAGTATTGTATGATATAAAGGTAATGGCATTTGTGTAATATATTGTAAATTGGAAGGGTATTTGTAATGTTAGGTAGATAGTACAATTACTAAAAAGAAAATAGATACTTTGTTATAGGACATACCAAAATGGAAAAATTGATAGATTGTTAAAGGACGGAGGGAGTAATAAGTGAGCTTTTTCTTTAAAATGATTATTTTTTTGTAAATTTGTACAATTGTTCAGTGTTTATTGAATTTAAAGTTAAGAAAAGCATATGCTCTACTCTATTTAGATTTTTTTTTCTAGTTTTTTTATTATGCAATCTTCATGATACCCTGCAAAAATACACATTATTTTTCCTTGCAAAACATAACATTCAATCACTATCTAAACCTAAAAAAAACTAAACTAAAGCACCATACCAAACACAAGAAGAACAAACACATAAAGAACAAACACATAATATTTGTGAAATAATCTTGAATGAAAGTTTACATTTAAATATTTGTAATATAGATGTATATACATAAGAATTGTCAACTGTAGTTTTTGGTTGTTAAATCTATTTTAGTTATTTTATTTTAGGAGAATCTACTTAATTATTGCCAACCCAAAAGCTAAACTTGCATTAACATCCAACCATTTAAGGGGTTTCTTATAATCCTTCTAATTTTAATCAACCAAACCGTCCCAAGCTGCCACTCTATATCTTAGTCCACAACACGGCTTTAGCACATGAGAACAGGTTGAGAGTCATGATTGAACATATTAAACCTTACTCAAATCCAAGTTGTCCATCTGCAACCTCTACACAAGAAGAATACAAAAATAGAAACAAACTAAACTGTTTCCAATGCCAAAACCAACAACATCACATTTCAAAACTGCTGGTTTCCAATGTATAGAAAGTCTTGGATTGCATTGCATTCTTTTATAGCTAGACCTAAGAGAAATTTGGCCCATAAAAGTGGCCAGCTGATATGTAGTAAAACAGAACGAGGAAAGTATGAAGATGCATTGTGTCCCATAAATCCAAACATAAAAAGGCAAGAAAGAAAACCAGAATCCATACCATGTACAGCGATGCGAGGCTCTTCATGTCTGCTAAAAATATTGACTGTAACTCTGCCACCGCCGCCGCCACCAAAACCATTACCCCCACAAGCACTTATAAGACCAATTCCAACCCTGTGCTTCACAAGAGATTAAAAACAAAAAATAATAAATACACACACAAACATGTGCAAGCACGGTCATAATAAGCAAATGGAATTCAATACTTCCCATAAGCAGATCAGATTTAGACATCAAAATATACATTGATAACAGATATAAAACATCATAGTTACGAAGATATTGCCAAGCACTGGCTCAAAAACCAAACAGACTCAGTTTCACATATAAAATTAGTAAACTGCATCTTGCTAATTTGATAATGATGGCCGTTGCTAATTAGTGAGACCTGCAGAGCGAGCTAGCTGAATCTATCTAATTCATTGATAATTCCAAGAATATAACACACTAATATAAAATACTAGAAGAAGATTTTGTTTTTAGTCCAAACTACAAAATCATGAATACAGTATACAATGTAACTGCCGAAAACTTACATTCTATGGGCTTCGATGTATATGCTGCCTCCAGATCCACCTCCACCTTTGGCTCCTCCGTCTCCTCCATCAGCCAAAACAGTACCGTTCACCTCCAAGAGGTTTGAAATTATAAACATTACCCTGCCTCCTCCTCCACCCCCATAATCAATTTCCTTGCTTGTCGTCCCACCTCTACTCCCATAACTCCAGGGCAACGACAAACTTGACCAGGAATAAGTATCTCCTCCCCAAACATCTTCTGGAAGCTTAGTTTTATTCATCAAACAAGCTGCACCCCTGCCACCATACCCCCCGCCAGCTCCATCCACTCCTTGTGGCGTCCCGCTAGTCTGTGGCGGTGGCTCCCCGGCCAGCCCAGTAGTGTTAACGGTCGAACCATTCCCAAAACTAGCATTGTTTGAGACTAACTGAAATGTTCCACACAGAATGGATGAATTCTCTCTCAACGTAAAGTTTCCAGTAATATTTATTGAGAGCTCACATCCTTCAAACGATGAGCAATTCACCGTAACATTTGGCAGAATGATGACATCGCCCTTCCCTTCTAAATACACATTTTTCGACAGATTCACATTAGAGACTATCTCGCAGGTCGTATCCAGTGAGCCAATGCCGCCGAGATCGGACTCGCACGACAACGAAGGCGGGTGTGGCGGCGGCGGCGGAGGCGCAGGCGGCGTGTAGTCCTGATGGAACAACAGAACATCCGATTCGAAATCCAAGTCAAACCCCGAATCCTCCACACCGACAACCCGCCTAGGGTTTCCGAAAAGTGACAGCAACAGAACTCCCCCCAACACCTCCACCACCAATCGAAGCGACGGCCGGTAACAAAGCGCGCGAGCAGCCATCTACAATCGAAATAGTCATCACACCAGGCGCCCCAAATCAGGAGTAGATTGCATCTGAAGGAGCCCAAAAATCAAAAACCAAAAAAGGATTTCAAATCAAAACCTAGAACAAAACCCCGCGAAAATTAACGGCACGCAGCCCTCCCTCCGATCCCCTACAAGGTCGCAGCGCGCGGTGCAAGGCACACGAATGCGTGCATCTGATCGAATCGAATCAAATCAGGCAGTGATGCAGGTGCGGTTTGTACGTACAGATTGCGGGGAAGGAGGGTTTTGGAGCTGAGGAGAAAAAGGTACAGAAAATAATGAATGGTTTTAGAGAGAGAATGACTGCGTTGTGAGTATTGTAATCAGTTTTCGGGTAGAGTGAGAAACCAAATTAGCAATTGCTTTGCAGTGGCAGAGCTGAGTCAATCACAGTTTCCCCTTTTTTTCTTTTTTCGTTTTTTTTTACACATTTATAACATAATAAAAATAAATAATTATTGCTCCCAGCTCATGTGTTTTTAAAAAATAAATAAATAAATATTCGGATTTAATTGTTCAATTTATATAGAAAAATCACATTAATAATTATTTAAATTGAAATTTTAAAAAAAAAGTACATCCATTAAAATCGCTAGTTTTAGTTTGACCGATTTTAAAATTATACACCTGTAGCAAAATATACATAATTTTTATTTTAAATTATTTAATAATTATTCTTTCTTTTAGTAATTATGAATCTATTTTCTTTTATAAATATTTTCATTTTACTATCGTATTATTCTCTCGTAATTTTTTTAGTTTTTATTTTCGTTCATCTCACCTAATTTATTTTTTTCTAATGTAATGATATCATATTTTATATTTTATATTTTATAATTTTTTTAATTTTAATTAAATTATTTATTTATTAATTAATTATTTTAATTTTAATTTTAATTTATTACTTTAAATTACCTAATGTTACAATAGAGTATATATTCTCTCCGTCCCACATAATTTGTCCATATTTTCTATTTTCGCCCGTGCCACGTAACTTGGTTTTTTCTATTTTTGAAAATATAATTATGCTCTTTAATTGCATTTTAAATTTTATAATTTTCTTAATTTTAATTAAACTATTTATTTATCTTAATTTTAATCTATAATTATTTTTACTAATACACTTCTTAATTATTTATTAATTATATTTTACCTAAATTTCTGTATCTATAGTAATAGTCTCATATTTTATGGGACGGATGGAGTATTTTTTTATTTTATAAATGAAACTTTAAATTATAAAAAAAAAACAAAATACAGTACAATATTAAAAAAGCTATTTCCATATTGTTGTCTTTTTAGGTTTATTTTTTTATTTTTCACTATTTGAATGTTTTGTAAATATATATTTAGTTTTTGGAATTTAATAAATATTATATTTTAATAATAATTTGTGATAATTTTATATACTTCCTCTCAATACAATAGTCTTGTTTACCATTTTTATCTGTTTCAAAACAATAGTCTCATTTCCATAAATAATCATATTATTATAAAATTATCTTTATTTTTTCATTATTATTACATAATTGTCACTACTTTTTACACTAATACACTCACAATTGACATAAAAGTCTTTTACTCGTACTTTTATCAACTATCAATATAATATCAATATTTCTTAAATATCATGACAAACACAATTCGAATTATAATTTTGGGACGGAGGGAGTAATATGTAATGAGATTTATATTTGTCTACTTACCAAATATACCGATATAATTTTTTAATGAAAATATTTTACTAATAATAATCATAACCATTGTGTTTTTATTAGTGCTTACGTCACCCTTTGACTTTTATATGGTTTTGCTTTCTTGGGCATTCAATTGCTAACGTTGATCAATTGGAAGTTTGTCGTTGCCTATGTCACCTACTATTTTTAAAACATTTTTGTAATTGTGGATATTATTATTATATGTATTAGTTTAGGTAGGTGATTTATTTTATAATATTTTAAATATTTAAATAATAAAAGTATATTAATATGAAGATAATCATGAATACTACCAATAATAAAAATACTATTCATATAACATAAAAAAAATGATATTATTATGTTTATTTATTTAGTATTTAAATTAAAAAAAATTAACGTGTGATATGAAATTTTATTTTGATAACATAAAAAATAATTTTTATATTAAAATATTGATTTTGTGAAAGAATAGAATATGCTTATTATTTATATCAGGTGAATGTGTATATATTATATTTTTTTGTTATTATTCGTTGAATTGAATTGGGGAAAATAAATTCACAATTACTTTGGCATATGAATTTTTTTGTACGTTGTATTTGTTTGTATATTTTAAATATTTAAAAATACATATTTTAAATTTTGTTAATCATATATATATTATAAGTTTTATTTTGAAACTAAGGGTGTGTTTGTTTGAGGGATTTGTTTGGATTTTCACTATTCATTTTATTTTTTTCCCCAAAAATATTAAATCAAATACCTATTTTTTAATTTTGTATATTATACTAAAAATCAATTTTACACTCAAAACATCACATCAACACTTATTTATATCACATCATACAATTATTCAAATTCAAAATTTTTACTGTTCAAATCCCAACTTAAAATTCAAACCCTCAAACAAACACACCCTAAAAGTAATAAACTTATATAAAAGAATATATAATACTTTATTATTATTAATTAATTAAATACTTTTTACCTTAAATATTTGTCCCCTAATAAAAGGTATTATTTAAAATTGAATGAAGGAAGTAGTAATTTAAAGCCAAATTTAAGCACAATTTTAGACTTATTTATAAAATAGTACTCATTTTTTTATTTTTGTTCGTTTCAAAACAAAGATATTGTTTTTTAATTTAGTGATTGTATTACTTACCCGATATAACAAAACTTTTACAATCAATAATTATTTTAATATTACACAATATTAATAGATATATTTTTGTAATTTCACTATACATTAATATAATATTAATATTAAATAACTTTTTTTTTAAAAAAAAAAAACTTATTCTTTCCTTCTCAATTTAAAGTATCATTTGTATTATCTTCGACGGTCACACTTCAAAAGATAATCATACATTAATACAAAAATATTTAACTTTTACTTAAATTACAAACATATAATTATACATACAATTACTTTATACATAAAGTCAAAAATTCTTTGTACACTTGCACCAACTAATAAAATACCGATATTTCTTAATTTACTAAAAAACTTCAAAAGTCACTTTGATTTGGGACAGAAAAAGTACTTCATTCATCATAGGTTAGATAACTTTTTTTTTGTTAGAGAGAAAATATAAGTTTTGTAAATTAGTAAGTTATGATATTATTTTATTTTTTTATATGAATAATATTATCGGTATTTTAAATATTTGTAGCATTATATTTCAATAAAATATACAATATAGATATCATTTTGTAAATAATAAAAAATTTATAATACAAATAAGTAAAAAAATTATATTTATTTATTTATTTATAATTAACTTAAAACAAATATATTTATTTATAAAAAATAAGAAATTTTAAATATAAATAATAATATTTGTTTATTGAAGAGATAGATAGACATAATGGAATTTTTAGTGGATTCTACACGTAAAATATTAGAAATTTAATTAAATTAATTTATATTTGTTAAATATATTTAAAATGAATAAAGTTAGTATTACAAATAAAAATAAATCATCTTTTATAAAAATATAAATAAAAAATAAAAATCATTAGTCATCTTTTGGCGTGACTTGCTGTCGGGGCTGGTTTGCAGGATATTAGATTCGGTCGGGTTTATTAAGTGCGTATTTTCGAGTAGGGGTTGTGGGTTATAAAAAATACTTCATACTTCTAACTACAAAGTATACATATTTCTATTTTTGGACGTATAATTACAAAGTAAAAAAATTTCATTAAATACCATATTTTTTTTCATAAATATCCTTACTTTACGTCACATCATTATTTTTTTACCAAAAAGTAACAACAAAAATATCGTTATACTATTTTTATTTATCCACTATAATTAAAATATTATTATTTTAAAAATTTTGAGTTAAAAATAAATGTATATTTATTCTTCGAAGGAAGGGAATATAATAATAATAATAAATAATAAATAATTGTCGTTTGGTATACGTTAGCACGTGTGAGGCATTGACGAAATGACAGCTGGAGTGAAAGAAATCCAAAAAGATCTGATCTTGTACGCTGTCCTAAAAGGTAGACCCCACTATTATTTGGGCTAAACGACAAACCTCTCCGGTAATTCATCATTGAGCTTTGTTTGCCTCTGTCTATCAAAGGAAAATTTTGATTTAAATTTTGCATTTAAATATATATATATTTTTTTTCGGAGCATTTAAATAATATTTGAATGGATTTTCTATGGAAGAAATAAACATATACTCCATTGTCGTTTATTTTTTATATATAAATTTTTTAATATTAATATTGTTAGAATTTTGGGGGAAAATAACAAAATTGTGTTACTGATCATGAAAATAAAGAGTCTATATATAGACAATACAAAACAGACTCGATAGATTCAAATCTAAGTAATCTAATCTATGTATACGATCAAATTTAAATATAAATCTACTAAATCTAAAACGAATATCTAAAATACCACAACATCCCTCCTCAAACTCAAGTGGTATAACATAAACTAATTTGAATTTGATAAGAAAGTTGAATATAGACACAAAAGAAAAACACAAATAAAAATAATAGTTAATTCTTCATCGAAGCCGAAAACGAGATGACTTTTCACCCCGGAGCAAAAAAATGAGATGACTTTGCCGGAGCCGAAAACGAGATGACTCCACTAGAGCCGAAAATAGATGATTCTCCACCAGAACCGAAAATGAGATGACTCTCCACTTGAGCCGAAAACGAGATGACTCCACTGGAGCCGAAAATGAGATGACTCTCCACCTGAGTCGAAAACGAGATCACTCAACCGGAACCGAAAACGAGATGACTCCACCTTAGCCGAAAACGAAATGGCCGAAAACGAGATAACTCCACTACAGTCCGAAACCACATGACTCCATCGGAGCAAAAAAAAATGACATGACTCCACCGGAGCCGAAAACGAGATGACTCCACCGGAGGCGAAAACGACATGACTCAACTTGAGCCGAAAACAAGATGGCTCTCCACCGGAGCCGAAAACAACATGACTCTACCAGAGACGAAAACAACATAACTTCACTGGAGCAAAAAAAACGAGATAACTCTCTATCGGACGAAAATAGATAGATCGCAACACCAAACATATCGCACGCAGACAACATACAAGCAACGGACATATGACATATCGTAGACAATTTTTGGCAACAAACAAGCAAGAA